CACACACACACACACACACACACACACACACACACACACACACACACACACACACACACATACATACATATGTACTATCAACATGTGAAGGTACGTACATACTTACACGCTACTCACAGTACGTAAGTAGTACATGCAGTACTCACATGGCACCACGTGCAACACCATGGCATGGCTCTCGCTCGACCCCCCATCACCACCACCACCACTACCGCCATGGCCAGGTCTGCACAACTCGAGTCGAACCTTGACGCGCCATTGCCAAGACCCGTCTTACATGTGTACACAGCACATCCACGGCTAGGCACTTCTAGCGGCCCTGCATGCACAACGAATCGCCAGTCTGCCGCTCTCGCTCTCGGCCCAAGCGCTGATCCCCGTTTACAAAAAGCCCATCAACACCCTGGCCATCAAATTGGCTGCTCTCGACACCTGGCAAATGCAAATGCAGCCGAACAGGACGAGGCTACTTCGTGCCGCCGCGAACTCATCTTCACCTCCCACACCAGCCCCTCTGACACTGACATGGACATGGACATGGACCTCCGCCTGCCCGCCTGTTGTCGTCGTCAAGTCAACCCACGCACCGGCAAACGGCACGCCACCATTGGCCCTCCAATGCCCAAAAGCCGCCAAATTTGCCCATCGTACTTGAGATTTGCCCTGATTCAGGTCCCCGCACAGGAGCGGGTGGAGTGGGAAAATTGCTGCAAAAATCTCGTCTGACTCTTACCCACAAACACAGGTCTCCCCCCCCCCTCCCTCCCTCTGATCAGCCCAAAACACCTGGCCCATGTGAACTAGGGCCACTGCCCCTCACGTCAAAGGGGGAGGGTAAAGGGAAACTCAGAGTGCAAACACCATCTTCCAGCCTGAGCATCCCCAATCGGACATTTGCGTGACAAGTGCCAAAACCATATCCCATCTATTACTAAAATCAAATGCCCACCCTACATGAGACACGCTGCAGAAGCTGTTCATTGTGCATGCCAGCCCGCCCGTTCAGGTTGATCTGCACGTAGCCTCCTTTCATCTTGCGGCTGACTTTTCACTCCCAACCTCTCGCTCTGTGTGCCTCTCTGCTGTGTGCTCCGCTACCGCTTGCTACATATTCATCCCGTATCCGCGGCACGCTCGCACAGAGCCAGCCACTACCACTCCACAATGGCAGATCTTCCAGAAGCCAATAATCTCTCTATAGTGCCACGACGTCGTCGACATCGACCGACGCACTTACCCACCCTGTTATTTCCCGCCTGTGTGACTGGCTCACTCCCCCTAACCCTCATTACCCCCCTCCCTTCACCGCCACAGCTAGGAAAAATGGGCAATCAATGTCGGACGCGCAAGAAAACTTTGGCGACAAGATGCAACGGGTGTATCCTGAAGGCCTGTGCATCCAGAGAGGCTCTGTGTTCACGCCCCCCCCCCCCCCACCCCCATCCTCTTTTGGCTCAAAGGCTAATACTTACTACTACTGCTATGACTGATGCCGCCGCCCGCCCCTGTCCATGAAATGCATGGACATCTCATCTCCTGGCTACGAGCTGCGAACCACGTATATAGCCCGTGGCAACGACATGCCTCTTGTCTCTTTCGTAACGGGCGTTCCTCTCCTTTTGCTTTTTTCACTGCACATTGCGTATGACCGTGGGAGCTAGACATGGACGTTTCAGCATTCCCCACACCCTGCATTCCCTCTTTCCTTCCTTTTGGCGCTCCTCTCCCCACACATAATCACCACCAAAACACCAGCCTCGCACCACGTCTCTAGTACCGCTACACCAACTCGCACCGTGCCAACGATTTAGAAAACGACAATAAAGCCACAGTAGCCACTTGCTTAGGTTGACGTACGTGCGCCCCGTCGCAATGGTGCCGCAGGGCGAGCAAAAGAGCCGCATGCCAAAATGTTGACTTGCACGCTGGTGGAGCCCATGCGTCCCTGACTAACGAACGCTACTTACCTACTCTGGCCTTTTAGCTGCTAATGCGCACGTGCTCGCCCTGGACTAGCACTCGATTCGACGAGACTCGCTACGAAGCCAATACTGAACTATGGCGTAGCGCTGTGCTTGTACCCCTTTCTTCTTTCAACCGAAAAAGGTCACCTGCTACATGTGTTCGTACCTACATACATATGTGTGTCCATTTCCAGGCCCCCTTGAAGCCATCAAGAACATGTGATAATACTCTTTTTTTCTTTTTCTGCAGTAGGCTTGCGAAATAAATGCTGTAGGATGTAGTTTGTGAAACGACCACACTACCTCAACGGGTTTGTACTTGCTCTTGCTTTTTTGGTCGTGTTGCTTACTGGCTACTTCCGCTACTGACACGCGATGACATCAATCCTAGTCATTCGTGGATACAACCTCTTGTGTAGATACTCGTTCTACTGCATTCCCTGTACTACATGTGAACCACCAAAAGTAAGAGGACAAGTGTAGAACAAAATCACAGGAAGAGAAGAGTCAGACATATCACCTTCACATAATACAAAGAGAAAGGTAACATTAATCTTCCCTCTTTAAAACTCATGCCTGAATGGCTCCTTCCCAGCTCATTCCTTCTTGTCGTCATCTCTCCCCTCAAGCTGCACTGCAGCCTTTTTTCCAGCAGCTCCCTCTTCCATTCCATTACTCCGCTTGCGTCTTCCATCAACATGCCCTACCACATGCCGCCCACCCGTCGAAGCACCATCATCATCACCACGACCCGCTTCCCGAGCTCGTTGTAGCCGACCCTCTTCACGCTGTTTCTGTTTGCGCAACCGCGCCTTTTCCGCACCTTGTTGAACAACCACCTGTTTCTTGTCCTCGATAACGATGTCTTTTCTCGTGCTTCCGGGCACCGCAATCTCTCCTGCCGTTCTCGAACCAAGCTCAATTTTTTTATATCTTACACTCCACTCACACACGCCTTCTGGCGCTCCAAACCCATTTATCCGTACATCTAGCGTCGGGAACCCCACCAGTGTCTCCGCTCCAGTCTCGTAGTCCTGTCGGAACACGGCCGGCAGAGTGTAGCGCACGTCAGATGGCCGGAGCAAGTCCAAGGCTGCTAAGATGAAGCGGTACGGGCGCGCACAGGTTGCATCCAGCATGTCGGCTCTATTCTGCTGGTACGTGGGTAAGTGGTGAGCATCGGCCTTGCTAAAAATCCGAAGAATAAGTTTGTCCCTGGGAAGGAGGTTGTGGAGCTGGATCCAATAACGGCCGTCAAAGAGGCGGAATGGCTCGCCCCGAGAAGGACGGGAGTTTGGGGATGGGGGGTATATGAGATAATTTGCAGCATCTTTCCTCTCGTTTACGTCAAGAGGCTGCCGCGTGAGGAGCCATTCTCGCGGATGCGGCAACGACAGATCAATACCCTCTTCTTGATGCTCAGGAAAGGGAGTAGGCTGATCCCAGAACCGCCACCATACACTAAAGACACAATAGTTCTTTTTACGAACTCCATCCCAATGACCCACATCGTCATCCTCCAACTCCTCAAGCTCTGGGTAGATGCGATGTATGGTCGCCGCAAGCTGGCCGAGAGGCGCCTTGGCTCGTGGTGTTACCAGTTCGGCGACCCGTTCCAGGAGCCCATAAGCCGTGTTCTTTGCCTCGATCTTGTCGGCAGTCGTCTCAATTGGGCGCGAAAGGAGGTCTGAGAAGAGTGGAAACCTGACAATCAGACAGCCTGTTTGAATGTCGAGCTTGATTAGGCAGTTCTCAAAGAGCTTCTTTGCAAGATCTTTGTGTTTCTTGACACGCTTTTGCATATGCAACGACACGTCAACCAACGATCTGACCCTGAGCGCCTCTGGAAGTTTGTAGTTTTTGTAGATATGACGTATAGCGTTGCGAGATGTCAACGTCTGTATCTGGTTCGTCTTGTCTTCTGCCCAAGCAATGCCTTTCTCTTCGCATGTCGCAATTAGTCGTGTCTTTTCAAAATCAAGAAGTGGCCGCAGAATCTTGATGCCTCCCTGCTCAATAGGAAATGGAATATTCAGACTAGGACGGGGCTTCAGCGGATTGCCGCTATGGTACACTCCGTAAATACCCTCACATTCGGGTATCCATTCTTTGCGCTGCATAGCCTGGAGTCCTGACCGGAGTCTGTTGTTTGCCATTCTCATCATGACTGTCTCGGCCTGGTCGTCAGCATGATGGGCCACTATCAGGCGGTTAATTTTCATGTCTCTGCATGCTCGACCAAGGGCCTGGTAACGCAGCATGCGTGCTTCCGTCTCAAACCGCTTGCTATCATGGAGATCAAATTCTGTAGGCCATGTGAGAGAAATTATAGTGGAATCGATACCGACTTAACCAGGTCAGTAATTGTAGAGTAGAGGAATGATGTGTGCCTACGCTTGGAGCGCAATTGCTCTGCCACCCAGCTGGCTTCTTCTGTGCTCTCCGGGCGCACTTTGTGATCTACAATGAAACCATGGGCTTTGGGCAATTCTGAGTCTTCTTCTTGGAAGTCTTTGTATAGAGCAGCCAATGCCATTGAATCCACGCCACCGCTTATGGCAATGCCTGTATTAGATGGTCAGCCAGACATATCGTGAACTACTTTCCACAATACCCACCCAAAGCCTGTCTGCTTGACCAAACATCTTGCGCACCGTGCAAAGAATTCCAGTCTAGAGCCTGCCTGAACTCATCTTTTGTAACTGGCAAACTCTTCACAGAGCTGTACCGTCGTAACGTCCTCACTCCATAATTGACTGACACAATAGAGGAACAACTCCTCAATCTGAGGACATTGCTTCTCCACATATAGGTACCAAGTACCCACGTTCGTCGCGACAGCCGGCAGACAAACAAAATAACGTAGCGCGCAAAGGCACAAGAAAAAATTACTAATTCTGGTAATGCGCGAGATGGATGTGTTCCGCAGGTGATTCCGAGGTACTACGGTGCACGGACATGGAATTTTCTGGAAAGGCAAAGCACAACATCCTTCAGTCACTACTACATCCCAACGACCTCAATTCCTCCTTCTCCCCGCTACAAACCCGCCGTTCAAGCTTCCTGTGATACCCAATTCCCACCCGCCTTCCTTCCAACCCGCCACAATGGTAAGTCCCGCCGCCTATACTACCTGCCCGCACCACCACAAGAAATCGGTCTTTGCTAACAATGCCCTCGCTCTCTACACAGTCCACCATTAAGTCTATTCGCAGCATTGTGCCCCTCCTCGACCGTATCCTCGTGCAGCGCATCAAGCCCGAAGCCAAGACCGCAACCGGTATCTTCCTCCCCGAAACAGCCGTCAAGGACCTCAACGAAGCAAAAGTCATTGCTGTCGGCCCCGGCGCCTTCGACAAAGACGGAAAGCGCGTCACCCCCAGCGTGCAGCCCGGCGACAAGGTCTTGATCCCACAATTCGGCGGTAGCCCGATCAAGGTTGGCGAGGAAGAATTGAGCTTGTTTAGAGACCATGAGTAAGTTTTTTTGCGCTTTTATTGGATGTGGCTGGGCATATTTCAAGGAAAGATGAGGGAATACAGAGCTAACTGGTGATTCTTTTAGGCTGCTGGCCAAGATCAACGAGTAAATGGAGAGAGACTCTTGTGTAACATAGCGAGTGGGTTCGCATGAATTCACTTGTACAACTTTTTGTATCAATACCCTCTTCCCAGACCAAATACCTTTCTCCGCCGCCGCCCGCTTTCCGGTTTGGATCCTACAAAAAAAGTAAATTCACGCAATGCGACTAGCTTGATTGCCGGGGTCCCGTCGTAGTCATATATACATATAATCTGGCCTAAGCAAAAAACATATTCTTTGGTGCGTGGAGAGCGATTCTTCAATATGCATGTATTTAACAAGATGACGGTTCGGGATGGTTGAATGGGAGACACGAAACGAACGAACGAAATGAAATAAGAAATCTCTGCTCCAATTGCAAATTCAAGAAACGTATGTGTTTTGTGAAGATGTATTGTGCATGCTGAGTTCCATTGTACAGGGAAATATTGAAATCAAAGTACGTAGCCGGCGACCCAACGCGCCCACATCTTAGATTACAGTAACCCACTCACGGTTGCTTAACTGTATCGTTATAGTCAACTTAAATTGTACTTTCTTACTAGTTACTTTACTTTACAAGATTGTTACCTATTAGCTAATTGAATAGATTAGTAGTTGTCGAACCTATTGTCCTTCTCATAAGTATACCACTCCACTCCATCGCCAGACAAACTCTCATGGAGCTTACACTATCCTGCTCGCCCTAACTTGGAGTAAGCTTAGAGAAGTATCAGCACCTAACCCCGTGTAACGTTTAAGTTAACTACAACGAGAGTAATAATGAGGGGGTTAGGAGGACATAGCTTCCTATATCCTTATAGCAGCCTATCCTTAGCGGGAGACCAGGTCACGTGATCAACGCCCCGCGATGATCATCCTTCCCAGCAGGATCCTAATTGGTTTCCTAACCATCTGTTATCATTACTAGGATATGAATCCTTTCTATTGTTACTTATAACAAGAATGTTATTATCGCAGCATTATAGTGGTTGTGCAGAGTGTAAGGGGCTACGCCCATGTGTATGGCTTGGCTAGGCTAAGCAGATTGAGTATATCTACGCAACTACCTTGACTTCAAGACAAGCTTGAAGTCTTGTTACTGCCTTTTTGGCAAAATGGTCGACGTAAGTAGTTGTACGTTGGGCTCAAAAAGCCTGCCCATTACACAAACCCCGTATAACACTAATCTAATTTTTCATGGTACCCAAACCCCTGTATAGTACGTTAGCATAGTGGGTCACAATACGGCTTAAAGATATTGCAAAAACTTTAAATCAAGTTTACGTAGTAACCAAGGGTTGGGGGGGTAGTCTAAGGCTAGAAATGCCTAGGGTTAGAGTCTAGAGATTAGTGTATAGGTCGGTCTATGGCGCTTATGGCTACTGCTGCCCCTCTCCCCTAGGGCGAGAGCAATCTCAGGAAACACGGAAACAAAGCTGAGGCTTGCGTAGTTTGCATTGCTAGCACTGGACTCGCGTAGCATGCTTGCAACTGCTGTGACTCATGGGACCCCCAATGGTGCAAGTCTAAGAGTTGGGGTCAGGCAGGATATTAGGACTTACGGCAACTAGGCTGAGGCTTGCACGGTATACATTACTCGCAGTGGACTCGCGTAGTATATTCGAAAATGATATTTCATAGAGCGCGAAGCCTACGAGGGTCAGGATTGGTGTTGCTTTTCTTATTCTTACAACGGTGCCAACATGATTAATTTAACATCACTTATCTCTATTTCGCATGTATAGTAAGGATTAGTATATTCAATAGTTATATTTTCATATCTTTTAAATCTCTTTTCTATACATTTTTTGCGGTAGCTATGTGCATAACGCTTCGCAATAGCCGTAGTTATATAAGTATAGTAGCTACAATACCAGCGAACTCAAGTTTACTTTATCAACGCCTCTACTATAGATTAATACCATGATTATTCTTTCTATATTATTCACGTAATAGTTAGCACTAAACAAGTATATTAGAATTAGAGTCGATTTTTATCATTATATAGCTTAAATTAGTATACTGAATTTTTAGAGTTAGCTGAATCTACCTCTATATTATAAGATAACAAGGCGAACTCTCTTCTTAACGCTAGACAGAAGGATAAGAGAGGCACAATTAGACACTATAGCTACGAAGGTCTGCGTTAGAAGGTAATAATTATCGCGGGGTAAGTGGAGTTCACATAATATACTATTCTACTAAGATTAGGCCTAAAAAAGCATCGCTATACTTAAGCCTTAATAGTAAAGAGCAAGTAATATTAAGAAGCTATATTAAGTAAGATAAGTGTGTAGACATGTAGAGAAGAAGAATATTCTTCTTCTTATAAAGATCTTAAAAACTAATAGACTAATGGCTCTTATAACTATTAATAATAAGTAGTTAATATCTACCTATCTACCTATACTACAGCTCTTTATATAAGTATTAAAGTGCTCTAACTAGGCAAGAGCAAGCTGGTGATTCGCCCAGCTAATAGGACTCACTTCAGGAATCTAGTCGGCAGGAATATTTTCAAACTAGATGTTGATAAGCACCTTGCCCGCAAAGACAACAAAGGGTAGTATGTTCATCATTATTCGTGATATGTATGGGTGAGGTGAGCAAAAATCAACCTACCCAATTGGAAACTCTGTTATAGACACACACACACACACACACACACACACCCCAATGCCTCTCCACCTGCGCTTGTACTAAAACTCCTGGATATCGATACAAAGACGTCTTACCAACCCGAATTGGCACCACCACCGCCCCACTGCCTCCCACTACCCCCCGACTGACCCTGATCATACGAATCATACGCCCCACCCTGACTATACCCACCATAACTATTCTGAGGTGGCGGCTGGTGGTGGTGAACCGGCGGCTGACCCTGATATCCCGGTGCAGCCCCATAACTCTCATAGCCCTGCTGATAACTCGTCGGCATCGCATAACTCGGTTCCTGGCCCTGGCCTCCCGAGTACTGACCGTGGGACCATCCGTAGCCGCCTGCTGGGACCGCGTTGCTATACTCGGCGGGAGGCTGGTATGCTTCACCTGCGTACGAGGACTGGTAAGGGTGGAAGTTGGACCATTGGGGGGAAGGTTGGGGCGAGGGAGGGGGGCGGTAGGCGAATCCGGTAGGAGAGGCAGGGCCTTCGTCGCCGAATTCGCGTGACTGGCCGGTACTACTGCCGCCGCCTAGGCCGCTGAGCAGGCCACCGAGGGGACCGGGAACCATACCGCCTAGAGAGCCGAAGAGGTTGTTGGAGTTGCCAGAGGGTTTGCTCGAATTGCCGCCGCCGCTGTGGCTGTGGCTGTGGCCTTGAAAACTGGCTACGCCTGCTGCACCGTGGGAGTGGCCGTGGGAGTGGTCGTGATTACCGCTGTGGTTGTGGCCTTCTCTTACCGACTCTGAGGAGAGAACGTCGTTCAGATCCTTACCATGGTAGTTGTGCGCCCAGTTCTTGACTACCTCGAACATATTGTTGTGGACCTCACAGTGGGGATCCCGGAGAGCAGGGTGGTGGAACACGCGGACTGCGTCGTCCAAGACTTGGTCGACGGGGACGTCTGGATGGTCCCATGCGTAGATGACGCGGGGCGCGACGTATTGAAGGATCGCTACGGCGACCTGACCGGCAGGCGGGTTGAGAATATTTGAGAAATGGTCCTTGGACAGCATGCTGTGCGTGGGGTTGGTCGAGGTAGGGTCCGTCCAGACTTCAAATTGGTGCTTGGCTGCCGAGTCAATGACAGCTGAGGAGCCGCTCTTCAGCTGGCCCGATGCCGTTTTGATAATTGGGAGGATAAAAGGTGCAAGCAGCGACAACACGAAGATAGTGACGCGCTCGGTGATGGTCTCGATCAATTTCTCGAGGCCAGGGATCTTGGAGATGATGTTGGAGATGCTACGAACAACATTATCCCTAAAAACCAGGATAGGGTAGATCTTAGGAATGATAGTCGCAGGATCCATGTTCGTTCCTGGAATATCCGGTCCTGGCGGTCCACCAACTGAGCCGGGCGGAGCATCAAACTGGTCAGGTCCGGCTCTGGAGGAGCTGTAGTCGCCAAACCCGGAGCGGGAATTCTCTACAGCTTGTGCATCTGATGAGGCCTGCAGACTCCTTGCCTGGTTGACAAGGTCGCCAGTGCCTGGGACCATGTTCAGAGCATCAATCAAGCCACCGCATGGATCAGATCCTCCAGCCCCCCCGGATCTCTTGCCATTGGACGAAACTGCATCCACAAGGGCAGTGTTGACCTCATCAATCTCGGTCTGGGTGATGTGATCGTTTGCTTCCCCTAGAACAGAGTGGAAGAAATCAACGCCACCAAACGTGCCTGTGACCAGCGGGTAGGTGTGCTTTCCGTTGAGATTGATGGCAGTCTGTACACCAGTATGAGGGAATACGTTATTGTATCCAAGTTCCCGCAATACCAGCTCCGTGTAGTTTGTGTGGGCGCCGTAATCTTCGAGGCAGTGTAGTCCCTGACCAAGACAACGAAGCGCTTCTGCCAGGTCCTCGTCTCGTCCTCGCTGGCCTTCAGGACCATGGGTGTACAAACGACCAAAGTGGATGGCTCGCGCAAATGAATATTTTACGTATCCCGAAGATGTCGCCCAGTTACCCCGCTCATTGGCAATGTAGTTTTTCATTCCTGTCTCAGGATCAACGGCAAGCTCAATTTCTGATACCGGGCCACGAAGACGTGGGTCATATTTGCGAGCATCCTCGTTATCAGCATAGTCTTTCTATGACAATATTAGAAACAGTAAGAACTTGGTTGTGTCTTGTATAGACTTACGGGATTGTCTGTCTCCTTGTTAGCGTGTATACTTGTGACTAGGCTAGCTTCGCTTACCGATATGTTCTTCGGGTCTGTAGACGCCTAATCTCTCGGCTGTGACCTCAAATTCTCCAGTCGCATAACCGAATGACATGAAAGACAGAACCCAAACCAGAACACGGATAGTTTCTCCCTAGTTAGCGTCAACATGCTGTCATGTATTACAACTATACTTTTTGGGCGCACCTGGACTTTGGCCAATGTACCAACATCAACAGCCTAAAGGAGTTAGCACGTCCGTTTATTTATCTTTTCGTGATCTTCTTAACTTACCTGTGAGTAATCGCGTAACCAGTTACCAAAGTACACACGCTGCGCCAAACGTCAGTATTTGCAGTGGGTGTGACATGCAAGCTTGCTCCAACCTTGATCATTTGACTCTTCCACTTGTGTCCCTTCAAGCAAGCGACTGTCGCAAGCATATCCTCAATATCTCCATGGCGCCAGTTTTTCCCCTCGATTTTGGAGATAGAAGCGATATTGCCGGCGCCAAAGGCATCGACACTGGTTGGCAGCAGGACCAGGATCGCAAGGGCGACGAGCAGCAAGTATTTGGATGAGACACCCATTTTTGCTGGGATGACAAAGGGAAAAGGTAGGTGTAGGAGGAAGAAGAACTTGTAGATAAGTCGAGTGACAGTTGGAAGGTGCTGACCACTTATGCACCACGCCGTCACACGGATAAGGCGGTGCTGGGATGACGCCACAAGTCACGACGACCCACCTTGTGATTCCAAAAAGAACAAAAAACTGGCGCGCAGGTTGCTAGACACGGTGTGAATGGATTTCACACAAGCAATCCCAGTTTCATATACCCACATCTGGTGAGGCTTTGCTGCCCGACGCACTGTTGGGTTGATTGCGCCACAACTGCCCCACTTGCTATGCAGATGATGTAGTGAAGGGGGGCCGCGAGCATGAGGGGCAGCTTTTCAGCTGAAGCAACCAGCGCTTACGCCCAGGGACAGTGACCGACCAATCCTCAGCTGAGCGCAACGCGCTGGTCGTGTTACCTGCCGTGGGCGACTTTGCTGCCTAGCGGATATGTTGGAGGGAATAACTTCCTTTCGATGCGGCGCCTACGCGTTATATCATAACTTTCTCCCATACACCCAGCATGGAGCATGACCGGCACGGAAGTGAAGTGCCTGAATTGGGATATCAATCTTCCGCACCGCCTACCATGGAAGCCGAAGCCGAAGCCAAGTCAGAACGACGTCCACGCACGCCTGAATCGTTTCGGCAGCTATTTCCAGATTACGACAAATTCTATGATGCTGCCGCACATGGGGATATCGAGACGGTGAAGACTATGCTAGACGCTGGTGTGGATGTTGAACGCCAAAGAGACGATGGAGCCACACCACTAGTCATCGCCATCTCCAAGCGCCACGCTGACATTGTACAGCTCCTGCTAGAAAGGGGCATCGATGTGGACAGCCCAGTCCTTAACGCACCCCCAGTATTCCACGCAGTCAAGGCATCAGAACATGCTCCTCGCCTCATACAGCTGCTACTTGACCATGGCGCCGATGTACAGGCTACTACAGGGCCTGCCAATATGACCGCCTTGCATTGGGCGGCTGTTAACGGCATGATTCATGCTGTTGACTTCCTTATCGACAAGGGATTGGATGTCGACAGGAGATGCAAAAGGGGAAAAACTGCTCTTGTTCTTGCCGCAGAAAACGGACACACGACGGTTGTCAAATTGCTTCTTGCAAAGGGTGCAGATCTCCATGCACGCAGTGGGAATGGCGGCACTGCGTTGGTGTGGGCTGCGAGCTGTGGACATGTAGAGACTGCGAGATACTTGATAGAAGAGGGCAGTAGACTTGAAGATCGCGATGAAGAGAACTTGAGTAGGTCTAGAAACTGTTCTGAACTACTGCTAAACCTGTCTGACACCACTAGCCGCTCTATCCATTGCCAGCGACTCAGGTCATTTGGAGATGGTAGAATTGTTGATTGAAAAGGGTGCAGACGTCAACGCGCTGAGTACTGAACCGAGAAAGTCTACCCCGGCCGTGTGGGCAGCAATTTTGGGACACGACAAGGTGCTCAAGACACTAATACAACACGGAGCGGATCTTTCAGTCACCTTAAATGACGGGGCGACTCTAATCGATGCCACTCTGAAGAGAGGTCGTCTCAACACTACAAAGACATTACTCGAGGCGATCGGTGGGCCAGACTATCCAAAGGACAGTGTAGCACTCCAAATTGCCGCAACAAAATGTGTTGCTGGAATGAGTCCTCTGATAAAAGTCATCTCACTAATGTTTCCGCATATCAACACCCATGATGCTCCGCCGGAGAAATGGGGCTGGATAGGATGGATGCTCGACCAAGGTGGAGAGCTCGTCAAACCAATGGCAATGCTCAAGCTGCTGCAATTTGCACTATATGATGGAGAACTTGGTATAGTAGCTGAGCTGCTCAGACTGGGTGTTGATCCAAATACGACTGTCTTTGACGGGGATACGCCACTTCATGTCGCAGTAGGCCGTCACAACAAAGACCTTTTGCGTATCCTTCTCGATTCCGGTGCTGATCCGGCTCGGCCCTCAAAGAGCGCTGATACCCTAATGCTCACACCGCTACACTATGCTGTAGTTCAGCTGTCTACCGACGCAAAAAAGGACACTTCAATCGTTGATATGTTGCTTGCGACAGGCAAGTGCAGGCTTATGGAAGGCGAGGGCGCAGCCTGCACTGTCTTCGCTTACGTACTGCGTAGATTTGAACGTTGGGAAAATGGATTGGCCGAGGAACTAGCATTTCGAATGCTAGACTCGATATCAGACGTCAACGAAGACCGTTCCAACGACGGTTGTACGCTCATGCATGCTGCGTACAAAGTGCCTGGCCTGATAGACGAGCTCCTGCAGAAGGGGGCTGATATCAACGCCAAGGACAAATACGGCAAGACACCTTTTCTCATGGCTTGTAGATCAGGGCCAGGGCTACTTAAGTTTCTGGTCTCGCGAGGTGCTGATCCATTCGCTGTCGCCATCGATGGCCGCTCAGCACTGCATATCGCTGCTGCCAACGGTCGTGGACTGGTACTCGAGTACCTCCTCAATTTGGACATTGCGGAAGAAGGCAAATTAGATATCGAAGCCAAAAACAACCGAGAACATGTGCCTCTGATAGTAGCAATGATAGCACACCACGAAGAAGCAGCACTGTACCTGCTCGACCGCGGCGCAGCACCTACCGGTCACCGTTTCGACCGCAGAAAGGCAACAGCACTACACTTCGCAGCCATGGCCAGCATGCACCGCGTTGCGGACCGAATCCTCGCAGACCCAGACTCAATCAACGAGATCAACGTTCACGACACCAAAGGCCAGAGCCCCCTAGCAATGGCGTGCATGGCGCCCTCCCCTACCATCGTCCCCGCCCTCCTCTCCCACGGCGCTCACATCAACGACCCCAACCCCCTAACCGGCGACACCCCCCTCCACACCGCCCTCCAACGCCCGCACCACATGGGTCCACGCGACAAACGCTATGGCAACCCCGCCTTGATCCTCCTCCACCACCCAGACATCGACATCGCCCCGCGCGACTCCCAACTCCGCACCCCCCTCCACCTCGCCTCCCTCCACCATAACGTCCCTGCCACCGAACTTCTCCTTGCCAAAAACGCAGACCCAGACTGCACCGATAAATACGGTAAAACGCCCTTATCCTACGCGTCTAACCCGAACATTGCCATCTTGCTGCTTGAACACGGGGCGAATGTCAATCACGCGGAGCCAAACGGGTGGACGCCTGTGCACAGGGCCGTGGAGAGGTGCTGGGTTAATGCCTATGAAGTGCTGGTGAGTAATGGGGCGGATTTGGAGACCAAGACAGGGGATGATGGGTTGAGTGCGCGGGAGAGGATGAAGAGGATGGGGGGTTATGTGAGGTGGGTGAGGAGGGAAGATGAGTTTTTGGTCGAGGATGTGAAGATGGAGGAGCAGAGGGCGAGGGAGTTGGAGGGTTAAGAGGGATGCTGGGAGGTAAGTTTGTTATGTGTATATGTTATTTTGTCGGGTTAAGGATAACTACGTCTTTTTAGTCAAACATATGTGAAATTGAAATTCTTAACGATTCTTTGGCAAAGTACGTGAGTTGCTGTGGTAATGTAGAACCATATCACATGTGATGATCTGACATCAGGTACTAGTGCACTTAGGAAAAGACAGCTGATCTCATAGCATGTATCAATGGCATACAGAGAGAATGGTGAATGCAAATCATGTCATTGAAACATTACAAGATAACCCATTATATTCTTTTGTGTCGGCGTTTTCCCACCCAGAGCTCATTTCTCAGGCTGTGCTACTGGGTCGTATTTACCCTCAGCCTCAAGCCTCAACGTAGGCGTCGTATCCTCAATACCCCCAATGGCTCATACTCTACTCCATTCTTCTCTAGTGACCAGGCTTGACCTTCTTGGCCTCTTCTTGGAGATCCTTGATCTGTTGCTGGGTGTCCTTGCCGGTCTCGGATCGGTCTGCCTTGATCTGTGTATTTCGTCAGCCAATGCTCTAATATTACCACTTTGGTGTATTCCAATGCGTGAATTAATGTCAGGGTGAACATACGGCGCTCTCGCTGTCACTGGCAAGTTGCTCCTCCCAGTTTGCCTTGCCCTCCTTTTGGTTCTTCAGTTGCTCCTGCTTCTTCTTCTCGATCTCTTCAGCACGGTTTTCGCTGTCTGTCGAAAGGTCGTTAGCTATGTCTCACCACGCTTGTTGCCATTGGGCGGCAGGTGCTCTGCATTATTGACAATGGACTGACGAAGATGGTTCAAACGTACGGAGGGCAGACTCCTTGCCCGCGGCGCGGACTGTTGACTGCGAGAAAGCTGCGCGCTGGGCAAAGACAAATGGAGTGCGACGGGTCGCAAAGGCACGGATAGCAGACATGGCTAGTTTGGTTGTTGGGAGCGGAGATGGAGGAGTAATGGTAGTTTGTTGAGGGGTTTCGACGATCTGGTTTGACGCGTCAAGATTCAGTTCTTCGGTTGTTCAATGGAGATTCTGAGTGGAAAGAAGAATGGATGAGTTTTATATCAAAAAGAAAAGAGTACAGATGAAGCCTGCAAACCTGGAAACTAGTATGCTCAAGAAGAAAGGATGGTTGCTCGAGGAAACATAGGTTCCTCGGTTAGTGGAGAGCTAGCATTCGAGAAGACGTCATAACGTCATAGCTGCCCGGCCGGCAATCACCATTACGACGATTTGCCCGGCGGGCAGTAACGCCAACAGCAAGACGCTTATTAGTCAGGATGTTTTTTGCTTTTGCGCTTGTGAAGACATGAACGGAGGTCTGGATGTCAAGGCTCCGTTGGTGCTTCTGTGGCTGCAGATGCTGCACAGGTGATCCCTCACCCCGCTCGTGAGTGTGGCAGAAGAACCACGGTCGGCTGAGCTTCCTCCTTGTGCCTGGATGCGTTGAACGTGGCGCATGCGGTCCATGTCCACGGGGTAGCCGCTGCATGGATGAGCTTCTGGTGATGGTGGGGGCGCCAATTTGCATGGCTAAGCTGATTGAGGGGCGCAGCAGTCTCCTCTATCCATAATAGAGTAGTAGGCGGGTCTGAGCTACGTCGTGTCCGCCCACCTCAGCGAGCCACGTAGTAGGCATTCACTCGCTCAAGTTCATCACGATGCAGCACGAATTGACACTTTTGTTTTTGATATGTTAACAAGTTGCGTTTCCATTCCTAGGATTCACTGCCCTCGAAAACGAGGCGTGTAATGTATGAGGAGAATAGAGCTCCCGAGGAAGAAATGATACTAGAAAGATCGAAGAAGAGATCGAAACCGCCCAGTCGAGGGCGTCGTATAAATCCTCATACAATGGAAATAGAAAAAAGAAAAAGGAGAAGAGACCAACGAAAACGACCCTGCGCCAATGACTGCGTAGAATCATCCCAGCGTCGTACAGATGTTAATGCACCCAAGAAACCGATGACCCACAACACGCTTTGACACCGCCGCTTCGCAAGATCGCGCCAACAATGGTATATACCGACACCGCTTGAAAACCCCAGAGACCAACCGTACATAGGAAATCTACCCCTTTGTAGAGCGCCATGATAATGGCAGCCGGGCGACAGCAGTGTCCGACAGCAACGCTATAGAACACCTACGCCTGTAACCAAAGGTTTTCAAAGTTTTTGAAAGGTATAAGAATAACCGAGAAATGCGACCCAGAAATAGAAAAACACCAAAGATGTGCAGACCGCCGTGAATGCGTTAGCGCTTGAAAGCAAGAGACCGATACTCTCTATCCGGAAATCATGTTTGTGTACTACAATTGCAACGCCGTGGCCGGTTTAGTGGTAAGCCCAATATGTCGAAGAAGATATCGTTGTTTATACAGGGAGAATCGATCGTGTAAAGTGGATGAGGCTCCGGGGATATCGAGAAGAGAGCGAGTTAAGGATCCAGGTAGCCACTAGCCCGGCAACAAAGGAGGAGCTGCAATGCTGACCGAACAGATCAATTGGTCTCGTGCCAGCAAGACTCTGCTCTACCAGCGTCGCGACATGAACTGTTGCTGCATCTGTCGGTTGGGAGAGACGCTTGGTGGGGGGCTGGCAACAGCGCGTGTGGACGGGTCGACAATGGGGATGGCATTGCGAGTGCGCTGGGCTAGTGGCTGGTGTAGCTTGGTTTGCGAGTTGTTCTGTTGGAAGCCGACGGGAGTGTATGGGTTCGGGGCCGAGGACAGGACAAACGAAGGGGTGGGCTGCAGCTGGTGCTGCAGAGGAGACTGCTCAGGCGATCCGCTTGAGAGCGAGGAGCGATCTGAGCCTGACGAGTGGATAGACTGCAGCTGTTCATCGAGTGTCAGCGCCTTGTTGGGGCGGATTCGACGACAGGGGATGGGTGGCAAATGTCGTGAGGTAAGCGACTTACATCATCCTCGGTAAGCAGGTGAAAGGGGCAGAACATCTCATCGTCCTCAATGTCAAACGACCTTGCGGCCTCGAAGTCGCGCTTGTATGCGATGAGGGTGGGCGGCTCGACGTTGAATTCCTTGGGGGTGCGGACTTGGCGGAACTGCTTGTTGTGCTGCTGGGCCGAGATGCGGGGGGCCCTTCGTGAGCGGCCGCTGTGGTGGTTGTGCGAATGGGCGTTGAGGTGCTGAGGGTGGTGCTGCTGCGCACCATAGTTGAAGAACTGCGACATGATGATAATGATGACGGAGGGGGATGGGTGATGATGGGTCGGTCTGTTGTTGGGTGAGGGGCTGTAATATGCGGTCCAGGGAGCTCGACGACAACAAAGTGAGACAAAGGAGGCTTGGCTCGGGTAATGGGGTCTGCGAGGGTGGATTGGGTAGGCAGGTGAGAAAGTCGGTCGAGTGTAGGAGCAGGAGGGAGCAGTATTAACTATGGGAGTTGCGATGCGAGGCTGATAAGATGTGTGTGAGAGAAGCGGAGGTGCGAGAGTGCAAGTGCGAGGAGGCAAGAAGAGCGAAAGGGCTGGAGAAGAACGGGCTGGGTCAGACGAGATGGGCGGGGGGCCGTGCGACGAGCTTTTGTGGGCCCACGCCGGTGATTGGGCGCGACATTTGCCACCACGCGCCCCCTGTGCCTGAAGCGGCCTAGCCTGGCATGGCCAACGAGCGCTATGGGCCGGGCGACCGCTCTGGGGCTGCTGGCGGCGAGGTCATGGCAGTGGTGTGGTGAGGTGAAGCGCCGCCCGGGGCCCAGGACACGGCGCTGCCTGCATGCTGGGAGCGGGCAACGAGTGGATAGCGAGCAGCCAGCAGGCCAGCATCCACCGTTGCAGCATCGCCCATCTGCCATGATCCCAGCAGCCAGCATCGCCATGGCCTCGAGAGCCGCCGACTCCAGGTTGCACCATCAGCAGCGCAGCGCAGTGTACAGGTTCCCTTAGTGGTCGCGCCCACTGGCCAGGAGAACAAGCCCCAAGCGGCGCATTATCAAACAAGACTTATGCGACACACTGCGCTAGGACGCCAACGAGGCTGAGCAAGTGACCAACGCTGCCCGCGCCCTGACCGCTATTTTCCTCTTCGAGAGCGTCGACTTGCACATCGTCGCCAGGGGAATGCATGTCCACAGCAGCTAGCAACCTAGCACGCTGCCAGCCCGACGATGCGTTGGTCGGCAAAAGCATCCCGCAGCCCTTCTCCGTCGTCGACTTCAGGGCGCGTGCAACGCTAAAGCACTGGCATGGCGGTTGAGGGGGGCGCTCCAGGGATCCGTGGCCAAGGCACTGTCCCTGCGGGCGCACATCGCTTCTGCTTGCACAGCTGTGTGGGTGTGGGTGTGGGTGTGGGCGTGTGTATGTGTATGTACTATGGGAGTCGAGAATGCCAGCGCTGTTTGGTTATGGATGGGCACGCGAACACTGGCACCCCCAGCCGCTTACAGCCATCAAACCCACGCCGTTGCACCCTCGCCCGCCCTCGACCACGTCCGCCCGCACACGCCCGCCCGCTCGAGATTCGAGACACTTACATGCTCGGGACGGGGGGCCCGGGCTTGTTCGGAACACTGGCAGGACGAGAGTGACGTTGGACTCGTAGGCTGCCTGCCCCCGCCCAATCACATCGCGCAAAAAGCGAGACCAAAATAGCGCTCACTGGTTCTGTCCGGCCCGAGCGCGAAGCCTGTCTGCCCAGCGATCGGCGCTCCTCGCGCGCACTCATCGTTTTCGCGCATTCCGTCACTCACTCCATCTTCGCATGAGCAGTCTCGCCACAACGCTCTCACCACTGCGCCGCTGCAACATGATCATCACAGCGGAGCCCGGTCTGGCGTCCCCTCTGCGCAAAACATGCCTGTGACAGGCCAAGCCACACGCATGAACGCTGCCCTACACTCTCGAAACACGCTCATTTGCTGACCTGCCCGCCCTGCTCGACAAGTGCAACTTGACGCGGCCTGGATCAATACCTGCGAAGGCCGCCAGCACCCTGAGCCCTGTTAGTTAGTTACATGCGCCTGCTTAGCTAATAGCGTATCGGCACTTTAGGTGCTGACCACCTCGTTAAATGCGAGTATCACAGGGCCTGCTCCTGGCAGTCGCACGGGGCAGTAGTTGTGCGAAAGGGCCCCTTTTTGCTGCCGTCCGGTGGCGCATGCTCACGCTTTTCTCGTTGAGAGAGTTGAATCAGCCAAGTCGGCCGTTGACGCCATGCTGTATACACAAAGCCACCAGAAACTATCCCATCTATCAAAATGTTCCATGTTGCGTGTTGCGCGATTCGTGCACACTATGTTACTCTCCATGCTATGGCCTACGGAACATCAAACCTCCACCTGTCCATCCATCCACTCGCCATGTTTCCACTCAAGGCATAATCCGCACATGTCCCAAACACTCGACTTCTAGAAACCGACCAAGCACAGCCGTAAATCCCTACTTTACTTGTCCAGCCCTCTAGCCTTGACAAACTTTGCAATCTGATCTTTGCACGTCTTGTCCGTATACGACTCCCAGACTTCATACAGCGAAATCAGCTCTTGGGTGCATTCGACAACAGCCTCAATATCCACGTTGCTCTCAGCAAGCCAGTCGACTAACTTTTGTATCCGCGCCTGCATTCCTTGCCCGCCTCGAGCGTTGCCCAGCGTTTGAAGTGCGTTGTTCATCCCCACTGCATTAACCTGCGAGCCGATCGGTTTCAACACGACTGCTAGGAACATTGCTGTAATGGCAATCACATGTGGTGCGTGCAGGAGAGGCAGGTCTGTGAGATAGTGGTCGTTGATGATTGACCATGCAAGCGCATTCTCTTCCTGTGTTAGCTGGAATTGGGTTTGTAGTTCCGCGAGGCTGCGGTATGGGTGGTGGAGTATCAACTGCGAGTTCATCTCTGATATCAGCGAGAACTCGCACTCGCCAATTTTAGATATGTCGTTGAACGAAGTATCTGTAACACTGTCAGAAAATGTTTTGGTATGCGTTTGGTCATCATGTTACCCCAGCAGTGCCGCGCTTCTGCCAGCACCATCCTAATGTGCTGTGGACATTCCTCCATCTTGCAGGCCAGGTACAAGGCTGTTGCCAGCACAAGCGCTGGGTTCGTCCGCCGTATCTCAACTTTGGTATAGAAACGCCGTACATAAACCTGTGCAGTAGCCAAGGCCTGCTGTCGGACACCTAGAGGCCTCGCCATCTTGGACAGTTCTGTAACACATCAGCAGTGGTTACAGACGCGCCGCACAAGACTTACGGTGAGAGAAGTAGATACTCAGATGTCTCCGGTCCGGAAGGGGATATAGGTTAACGAGGTTTCTTTCTGCATCTTCCATTCGCTTTCGCTCTAGGGCTAGGTCTTGCTTTGTAAACGTCCAGAACTTCCGCTGGGTAGACTCCCAGTAGCTGGATGACATGTTGGATATCTGCTTTGCCAAGCCTTTTCCCGTGTTAAACAATCATAAACGAGTTTTGTGGGAGTCACGGTGTACGCCTTGCTCTTTGATTTGTTTAGTATGTGTTACAGGAGGTTGTGAGGAATCGTCCTCCCGGCTGGTGTTTTGTCAAGCCGAAAGTTAATACCACGTTACAAGGCAGCAAGAGACCAGAATAACAGCACTGGTCGGACACAGCGGACTTTTGACTTTTACAGGACTCGTCTAACAATACATGGGATAAGAGCAGTTTGCATGATAGTGATGGAACGGGACAGAAGCGGTAGTTGTGTATGGATGCAGGCCCAATCATGTGTGAGCTAAAGCCGGGGGGTTGTCGTGGCTTCCCTCGGCGTCGCGGTCTGTCGGCCTAACCTCTTTTAGCGAGCCTCTCCAAGCTTTGAGACTGACCTCATACCCCACGTTCGAGTCCTACAAGCTTGTATCTTACCCGCCAGTCATTCTACCCGTAATCTGCCTCGTCCCGGTGTCGATAGCCGCCCTCCCTCGCGCGTCGCGACCTCAGCCATGATAGACCGAAGATAGCAGGACGACAATGGACACACAAAGCGCAAGCGTTACCGACGCCAGGGTGGACAAACTATGGTCGACGCTCGACACGCGCAAGCAGGGCCACCTCGACCTTGCCGGTCTCAAAAAGGGCCTGCGAAAGCTGGATCACCGTAAGGGCCGACCTTTCGCACTTTTGTCCCTTCGCTAAGAGGATACTGTAGCCTTAAAAAATGCGGACCAGCTCTTGGATGATGTGATGGAGGCTGTCGATACAGACGGAAACGGAAGGATCTCATACAACGGTCAGTCGTCTTGACAGGAACCTGCGCAATGCCTGAGCCCTGCTGATCCGCTGCTTTGCAGAGTTTCGCACATTTGTGCACGAGACCGAAAAAGAACTCCGCCACTTATTCCAAACTATCGACTACAACCACGATGGAAAGTTGTCAAAGGAGGAGCTGCGCTCTGCATTGAGGACTGCTGGTCTCACGGTCCCCAATCGCAGCCTTGACACCTTCTTCTCTGAAGTAGACACAAATAACGACGGGGTTATCAGTTTCGAGGAATGGCGGTACGTAACTGACTTCGCCGCTACCTGAAGCCTGGCATTTGCACAAGCATGCTGACCGGCTCAAAAGGGACTTTCTTCTTTTTATACCCGTCAGTGAGCCGTCGTTGGGCGCCGTCATGTCCTATTTCTCCGCCACGATGAAAGTTAATCCAGAGGGCGATGTCCTCATAAGTGATGACACAATCCAAGGCTTAGGTACTGCACAGCGTTTTCTTCGTTTTCTATTTGGTTCCCTTTTTCTTGTAGCGCATACACCGCCCTACAAACCCCTTCCACCAGAACATCATGCGCCGCTCGATGTGGAATCACCTTTGAGTTCGGCGCTTGCCCTCCCAGACACCCTCCCGCCACGATCTAATGACGAGAAGACCAAGTCTTCTGTCCAAGAGATACAGGCAGGCATCATAGAGAGCTTAGGAACCATGCTGATTGCTTGTGTTCCCAATCCAGGCTATTTCGTGGCGGGAGGCATCGCAGGCATTGTTTCTCGTACCTCTACTGCTCCCCTCGATCGTTTAAAAGTCTACCTCATAGCGCAGACCAGTGTGGCGGAAGAAGCTGTCGTCGCAGCGAAACATGGCAACGTTGTCAAGGCTGCCATGAACGCTTGGAGACCACTTGCGACCGCCACCAAGGAGCTATGGCAGGCTGGCGGCATGCGTAGTTTGTACGCTGGTAGGTGTTCTAGATGGCCTTCAACTGGCTTAGACTAACGAGGCATGCCAGGCAATGGCTTGAACGTGGTCAAGGTGATGCCAGAATCAGCCATTAAATTCGGCTCTTACGAGGTAAATATACTTGGAAGTAAACACGACACACTCCTAACTTGTCCAGGCTGCGAAACGCATCTTTGCTAAGATTGAAGGACATAATGACCCGGCAATCATACACTCGTGGTCAAAGTTTGTCGCAGGAGGTCTTGCTGGTAGGTGCCACGATGCCGTGTTGAAGTTGCAAAAGCTAAACAGTTGTAGGGATGGTCTCACAATTCGCCGTCTATCCCATTGATACATTGAAATTGTGGGTAAATCTCAGTTGTTGGGTGCAGTAACAAGCTAACTGTCTCTAGCCGTATGCAATGCGAGACTGTCTCTGGCGGTCTACATGGCAATCGCCTGATCTGGGCCACAGCAAAGAAGATGTGGACCTCTGGCGGCATTGCCGCATATTACCGCGGGTTACCCATGGGCATTTTTGGCATCTTTCCGTATGCAGCACTTGACTTGGGTACATTTGAGTACCTCAAACGCTACGTGGCCCGGCGCAATGCTAAGAGGCTCGGATGCCATGAACAAGACGCGGAACCCGGCGGCTTCATGACGGCAGCTATTGGTGGGTTCTCTGGTGCGTTTGGAGCCAGTGCCGTTTATCCGCTCAACTTCCTCCGAACACGACTACAGAGCCAAGGCACTGTGCTGCATCCCAGGACGTATACTGGTATCATGGATGTGACGAGGCAGACGATTGCTGGTGAGGGTGTGAGGGGACTGTTCAAAGGCCTCACACCGAACCTGCTCAAGGTTGTTCCTGCTGTTTCAATCACGTACGTTGTATATGACAAGTCGAAAAAGGCCATTGGCCTACCATGAGCGGGTGTGGGGAATGGAGGCCTCAAACTACCCGACATTGTGAAGCGATGGGTTATCGAGGACCAAGGCTCAACCACATGAATAGGTGAATGGCCACGTAGCCGTACCCTAGAGGCACACCAAGCAGAAGTCATGTGAGGTGTGTGTTAGTCTAATACACATTTGGAATCCTAGGATCTTACAAGTAGCAAGAGAGGAAGAGAAGGAGAGAGATAGTCTATTTTTCGTTTGCGTATATCAAGACAATGATACCCCCTCCCTTAGCTTGCAAACATGGTATGAGTTGCGGCACCATCAATCACTATTCTTTCCAAATTTTGAAGGGTACAAAGAGTATTTGAGCATGCTGGCTGCATACGCCTCTGAGGATGAATAGGTAACATGTAGTAAATAAATCAAGGAGAAAACGAGCCAGTATTGCTTGTGCACAAGGGGATGTGTTGTTGCTACAAGATGAAGTGTCTATAGAAAAATACACTGGTGAAAATGACTACGAGTAGATGCGCACCTGTCCCAAAACGCCACTACCATGCCATTGGCAGACATAATCTCTCAGAGGAGAAGAAATAAGAAAAGGAAAAGAAAGCGACTCTCTACTTTGTAATGATAATCAACAAGACAAGAATAACAATGAGCGCCACAATAACCGTCAAACTCCAATTCTCCCTCGCCTTCCTCGAAAACCGATCGAGGCGACCACGCGCACGATTGAACTGAGCCTGGTGCCTATCTACACCTTCCTCGACATCGTCAAGCAGCATGACGTGGTCATCTAGCTCCTGCCCAATCTGCATACTAAGCTCGCGCTGGCGGCCGATGCTAGCACCGAGGCGGTCGAGCTGGTCATCCTGGTCGCGCAGGACTTGGCTGTGGTACTCGTGGATCTGCTGGTTATCGAGGTGGGAATGGTCAGGAGCGGCGTCGGGATCTGACGAGGGGTCGTCGCGGTAGGGGAAGAGGGCTGCGCGGTTGACGGCATCGTCGTCATCGTCGTCTGCGTCGGTGAAGCGGACGGATTTGGATGATCTACTGCCGGTGGAGGTGTTGTTCTTCTTTTGGGCAGCGCTAAAGTCCGAGGCGAGAGATGGGTCGTTGGGGGTTACGAGGGTGGCGGAGGATGATGACGAGGCGCTGGCGGAATGGTCGAACTGCGCGGTGAGTTCGGCTAGCTGGGTGCGTAGGCGGGGCAGTTGCGATGTTATGGATCTGAAGGCGGAGATGTGTTGGCATATGGAGGCACATATGGTATGGATCCAGCCAAGGGGTGTGGGTGGGTGGGTTTGCTTACTCGTCTGATGTGTCCTCGACTTGCGACTCAAGGGATTCAATGCCGGACCGCAATTGCTCGAGGGAGCGCGAGATCTGGCCATCTTGGCTGTTGGAAGGGAGGTTGAGGGAGAGGGCGCGTTGGCGCTCGAGCAGGGAGAGTTTGATATGGTCGGCCAAGAGGAACAACTGGGGAGGGTTGGTAGCCATGGCTGCTGCTGTAGTGGTGGTGTTGATGGTGATGATAGTAGTGGTTGGTGGATGGCTGGTGGTTGCCGGGTGCACAGGATGCGGCGCTACGGGAACCAGCAAAGGGCGTCAATGCTGGAGGGTGATATAATAATACCACGACCTGAGGCACCCGCGCCAGAGAGCGGGATCAATGCACGGGATGATGGTTGGGCGGGTGGAGACAAGGCTGGTGCTTTGGTCTGCTCTAGGAGCGGACCGCTGACGACAAGCCCGCTCCACCTGCACGTGGCCGGGGGCTGGAGACGCCCGATTGGCGGGGACGAGCACCCAAGTTACCATGTACACCCATTGCCCGCATGCTCCCTCTAGTTTCGGGACTATGTGCATTCCTGACCGCCATCCATGGTATTTGCTTCTGGCGCTGCCCTGCTTGGGAGACAATAAAACCACGCGCCAGGCTCCATAGTTGCTCCAACCCCCACCACCGCCTCCGCTGCCACCATCTCTCCTCCTCTCCAGTCTGTCCCCGCCGCCCCCAGCCATGCCTTCGCCCGGTCCCATCCCATTTCCAGCAGACCGGCGGTCGTCGCGGTCGTCTAGCGCCGCCAACGAGCACGATGAGAGAATGACGGTCGGTGGCCCTCCTGGCAGTCCTTCGCCTTTGGCTCTTCGTGTGTCAAACTCACCCTCATCCAAGCGCCGACAGAGTCGCATAGTCAAGGTCCCGCCCGAATTCCAGAACCTCGAATACCTCACCGAACCCGACAGCAACCTCGTCTGCCTCATCTGCCACACACCCTTTGACAAGCCCGTCCAGCTTTCGTGCGAACACTACTTCTGCCGCGACTGCCTCGACCATGCATGGGCGCCCCAGCAACACACCCGCCGAACCTGTCCTACGTGCCGCCATGCTGTCGAGACGGATCAGGATATACGTCCGGTGCCCAAGATTGTCGAGACTATGCTTGATGAGTTGGTGGTCAAATGTCCAAACACAAAGGCTGGCTGCAACTGGCAGGCCCAACGCGTCAACGTGCGCGACCATGTCATGCTGTATTGCGAATACACTCCCGTCATGTGTCCAGCAGTAGACTGTCGCTTGCCTACAACCCAGAAAGACTTTCACAAGGGCTGTCTGCATTACACGGTGAGCTGTGAGGACTGTCATACTTCACTCATGAAGAGGGATCTCGAGGTAAGTCTGGTCGATAACTATGCATATGCGGCGGCTACTTACTATTGTCGCACAGGAGCACCAGCGAACTTCCTGCGCAAATCGCATCACATCCTGCACATTGTGCTCGGCTGAAGTGCTTCGTCTAGACCTCAAGCCTCACATCAACAACGACTGCCCCAAACATGTCATCTCCTGCCAGGGAACAATTGTGGGGTGCAAGTTCCACGCCGAGCGTGCCCAGGTTATCGCACATGAAGCCGCCTGTCCGATGGCAACAATGGCGCCTCACTTCCGCGAGCAGCAAGCCAGGATCGAGAGGAACGAAGCGCGTATGGAACCTCTCACGAGGAAGGTTGGCATCCTCGAAGATGGCCTCACCAATATCACAAACTACCTGTACCCCGCCAATGGAAACGACACTTCTTTCCCAGTCACGGACCCCTTGAATGCCAACGACACTGACCCTCAAGCACCGGCACCCGACTTCCGACTGCCACCAGCCTCGTTTCCACCAGTTCCATCCACAACCGATGGCAACGCTGCCCAACCACCTTTCGACTCGCAGATCCACCATCTACTCACACTGCACGACTCCCTCCGCGAGGAAGTGTCTCGCATCGCCAACGCCCTCACCGACCTCGATGGGCGCACGAACATGATGATCATCAACGAGAGCCAGCGCACCAAAGACGAGATGCTGCACGTCAACGCGGCCATCAGTAACATGCGTATGCATCTGCAGTGGGTGGTTAGCGCGACGCTCCAGCAACGCTCTAATGCCGCTGGCAACTCCAGAACCCCAGGTACCACAGCCGCAACGGCAAGCGGCAGCAACCCAACGCGCGCCACTGGCGCTAGGCCCGGCCCTAGTGTCATGTCTCAAGGCCCGTTTCGACGCCTCAGCGATACAAACAGGCAGGACACTAAATTGTAGTCGTCTGAGGTGGGGATTGTTTTTTGTTCTTCGTCTTGTTTCTGGTTGGAGAGCGGTCTACGCTATGGCATGATTTAACGAAAAGTGAGATTCCAGGCGTTTTAAAGTAAGAGGGGAATTCGGGAGTAGCAATGTGCTCTTCCCCGTAGGGTTTGGGCGATTTTCTTTCTCGGGGTGTTATGGGACAGGCGTACGACGTGACATGTAGATATACCCCCTTTTTCCTCTCCCTTCCTCCTATCTAGGTCTACAGTGGAGACGGATATTTTATGGACAGTGGAAGAGAAAAGTACTGTTAGTCATGAATGAAAAATAATTGAAGTATCATACGATATGCAGCGTTCATTCATCTGAGATCGTCTAAAGCCCGTTTGTTCTGTTTCTACCGAAGACATGTCTTCTCTTTTCATTCCCAACAATCACACCTACATCAAATCCTCTTCACTAATGTCATCCCCTCGCCGACTAGCAAGATACACCCTCCCCGTCTCATACGCCCCCAAATACAATCCCGCACCCACAAACGTCCACACAGCCCTCAGCGCACCACCTCTCCACAATCCCTTCACCCCCTTCTCCGCCACAATCTCTCTTCCAATCCCCCAACTACTCTTCCTCCCCTTCCCACCCTCCTGTATCAAATCCCTCGCCGCACTCTTAATCCCCTCCTTCGCCTCGCCCGGCCCCTCACCCGCCGCAAGCATAATCCGCGTCTTAACCACATCAATCGGCGTCGTAATCACCGCCGCCACAGCCCCAGCCGTACCAGCACTAAACGCAGTGATACACCCACTTTCCACAATCGTACCACGGGTTAGTCCGCGCTCATCGCGGTACTGCTTAATCGATTCCTTCAAGCGTTCTAGCAAGGGGAATTGCATCGCTGTAAAAGGTAAGTTGCGCCCTGCGAGTGCGGTGTAGCCGCGCCAGAGGGCGAGGGGGTTGGATCGGAATTTCGAGAGGGTTTGAAGTGTTGCGTTTGTTGAGGATGAGGATGCGGATGAGGAAGAGGAAGAGACCATTTGCGCATTTTGTTTTATTACTTCTGCAGGGGTGAGGATGGCGCAGGAGACGAGTTCGGCGAGGGAGGAGGCCGAGGCGTGGATCAGGGGTGTGGGGAGGACACCGCTTGGGGAAGAGGAGGTGGTGTTTAGACGGGTGAAGAGGGATTTTGTGCGTTCGTAGGTTGTGAAGAATGCTCCTGCTTTTGGTGGAGTTAGATTTACTAGGGGGTTGATGGTTGGAGATTAAGGATTTCGAGGGATTATGGCTTGGGGATTATAGAGATGATGAAGGTAGTAGAAGTGAATGCATGTTTCTTACATGAAGGTAGTGTGGCTATTATCACGCTTCCAATTCCTTGATACACGCCGCGAAACAAAGCTGGGTTCGGCTTCCCTGTTTGCGGATTCGTATACACTTTTGCATAGTTGGGCGATTGGATGCGTGTTTTCAGCGTGTCGAGCGGGTATACAAGGAGATCGACTGTAAAGGCTGCAATTGCGCCTGCCTAGATTTTTGGTTTTCGTTAGCTTCTCGCCTGTTGCTGTGTATTTTTTTTCTACCAAATTAACATCTATCGCTCAACAATCCCTTGGTACATGTCGCATATATACTGCCGGTCTAGATACATATAGAGTGGCGCGCATACAAGGAATGCATTACAACGGCGTAATTAGTCACTTACAATTAAGATGTCTGAATTGGAATTGCCCGACATTTGCGACGACCTGAAGCTTGTTTCACCCCGTCTCTCAAAATATGATGGTGCTATTGGTACAGAGCAGGACGTTGCGTGGAATTTTTTGGGAGTTGATCTGCAGGGTCCTGGATAAGTATGTACTACGTCATCGTTGATGCTCTAGGTGCGCACATAATCATGCATCACAAAGACATTTTTAGTAATAGTGCATGTAGTGATTTACCTAAGAGTTTCTTTCTCAAGTTTCTCTACTAAACGATACGTTAGAAGGGTGGATAGGACTATTCGTGTTCAAAACAACCTTTCTTACAGACTCTATCCCTACTTGTCATTACATTACCGCTTTGGATATTATCTATTACCAACTGCAGATTATTTAAAAAAATGAGTACAGGTAGCAGGTGATCGTACTAGGATCTTGGTTCCGAAATCAGAAGCACGTGCAGGTTTGCGACCAGTGCTACCCACAATATCTGTGATCAGGTAAAAATAACGCTTTGTCGCCGTGACACAGCCCACGCCATGCTACTATCCAGGCTGACAAACTCGCAAAAAAAAGAACCTGGGATATCTGACTGAAGCCAGACGAATGCTGATGAGAGTGGGACTCGAACCCACGCCACTTTCGTGACCAGGAATATGATGTTAAGAAGACCTTAACCTGGCGCCATAACCAACTCGGCCATCTCACCATAAGATATTTGATGGAAGTTTTGAAAAATATGATCAATATCAAGTTGATATTTGTTTTGGGGAGCAGAATGCATAGGCTGCATAACCTTTTCGACCGTAGGCATTCCCACGTTCGCCGAGCTCAATACACTTCCTTCAACACTATCATTCTCAACATTGTGCGAGCTTTCCCAAACATGATTCATGTATCAATTAGAAGAGTTGATATAGAGTGAACATGCGATAAGGATTCAAGCCATCATGGGTCCAGTATTTCAAGGTCTTCAGAAAACACATTTGGGGGGCTCTGTTGACTTGTAGACTGGTAAAGTACTTTGGCCTTCTTTCACTTTCCCCAAAAGTCTTGGAATCTGACGGCTGCAAGCTCTTGCAGTGCCCACGCGCACACGAGTGCGAACATCATCCATTCGTGGGTGCTCAGATGGCTGCCGGCTACTTCCTGCAACCATGCCTGTAATAGCACCTTCCTAACTGCGCCAGGAGTCCTGAGGTAGCACAAACGTAAAAACATGGGATGTGAAACCCCACTAATTTGATTGACCCTTGCTATCACTGTGTTCATTGTCCTATCTAAGCACGGACCGGGCAGCCACAACTGGGCCGGACTGGTGCTGCGCCTCGCGTGGATCATCAAGCTCAACATCAGACACCACAGCCACCTTACCCTGCATCTAGCCAGCTAGCATGAGCTTCGTGAAGCACACATCCCCGCAGTGAGGTGGGCGCGCGCAAATGCAGCCATCGCTTGCGGTAAAGCGCCATGACGTATTGGCCTATCTCGTCGCCCTCCGTCTTCGCGGCTACTAAACGTACGGACCTAGGGCGCCCGCATGTCTCGAACGATGGCTTAGAGCGCAAGCAACCAGGCGACCAACACGCTGAACCAGACATTGTTGCAGAGTCTCACCCGAAGGAAAAGAAGGCTACGGACAACACAAGCGGAGTAGAAGAGAAGGAGGATGGGGAGCTGTCACGACAAGCTGCTCCGAGTCCGCCGGTAGAGGATGACATCCACGGAACCATTGTTGCTATCAGAGTGACTAGGAGTGGTCACTTGTTCGCAACCCTTACAAAAACAACGCTCACAGTCTGGCAGACAAAGGTACCATGTGCTCGCCTCTTTGGTCGGCCTTCACTGATACACCCTATAGCCTACCGTTGTTTTGGCTTCTGTGTTACGCTCCGAACAATCCGTCAAAACATACGGCCCCAATACTGATGTGCTCGTTCGCCCCGATTCTCAGATATTCGTTGTACAAACCACGCTCGGCTTTTTGATTACGTATTCCCTTGCGACAGATCGTTCTTCTCGTATCTACAAAACCCAATTCACAAACACACACGGAGGACACGCGAGAAGAAGCAGTGCAATCACTGGCTTCAAGATACAACGGCAACATGAGGCCAATGCGGGGCCAGGAGAGGGCAATGGTTTGAGAGAGCTCAGCCTGCGTTTCCGCATGGTTATACGGGTCGATGCTGGGATAATACGAGCCCTGGCTCTAGACGAGGAACTGATTGTCGCAACGGAGAAGCCTGCTGCTATACAATGCATTCGATGGGCGCCAGACAGTACTGGAAGTCAAACGAGCACCGAGCTGTTATCCAAAATGACGTGGATTGGAAAAAAGACGACACTACGTGATTTGGTTCATGATCGGCCTATGAACATATCTTGTTGGATTACGAATGATGGTCAGGCATTTGCTGTTCAAAAAGTCGCGAAAAAAGACAGTGAAGATCCGAGTCTTTTCCGCGGGTATGGCTTCCACATGCCCGAGGTAGATGCGGACAAAGGAATCAAGGCTGCGATCAATGCGCGGTTCTCTCTACTTGCGGTTGGCAGCGCCAGTGGTGAGATATATGTGTATACTGCAAAAGACTACACAGGCAACATTCCTCTCTCTCACAAGCAACGTCCGAATGCCACATCGCCTGGGCAGTTGACTATCTTGACCTACTCACCAGATGGGTACTGTCTATTCGCTGGTTACGAAAACGGCTGGGCAATGTGGAGTGTATACGGTAAGCCCGGTGCTACTAGCTTTACAGCAGACAGGACGCTCTCCAAGACAAACAAAGAGGGTTGGCTTCTCGGCATCAAGGAAGCCTTTTGGATTGGTGGGGGAGCCGAGCTCTTGATGTTGGCCAACAACGATAATCGTCTATATACCATGGAAATGGCTCGAAGTGCGGTCACTGGTTGCTTCTCATCTGCCAATGTATCACGATCCTTGATGCAGACCAGCACTGGCTTCATGATCTATCGTGGCTACGACCTTCCAGACCTCACGACCATCTCCGCTGATGTCTCTTTGTGGCACCATGTACAGGTTCCTTCGGCCTATCTTGTCGACCAATGGCCAATCAGAAGTGCAGTCATCTCAAATGATGGGCGATACGTCGCAATCGCAGGCAAAAGAGGACTCGCACATTACAGCGTGAACAGCGGACGTTGGAAGATGTTTGACGATCCGTTTGGCGAGAACGAGTTCACTGTTCGAGGAGGAATGTGCTGGTTTCAGCATGTTCTGATTGCAGCGGTTGAATGCCATGAATCTCACGAGGTACGATGAATGTGGGACGGTTTCGATGACCCATACTGACTTGGTCCTATCTAGATTCGAGTGTATTCTCGCGAGGCGGCTCTGGAAAAAAGCCGCATCATGCACGCGCAGAAGCTCCCTGCACCAATAGTTCTGATTGCGCCTTCAGGAGAGGATTCGCTTCTGGTTTACACATACGAGAACGTCTTGTACCACTACGTTATCAGTGTTGCAGATGCCAGTGTCAAACTAGTTCAAGTTGGTCAAATTGCACTGCATGGTATTATCCGTGCGCCCCCGCGAGTGCGAGCACTCAGCTGGATTTTGCCTGAAGACCAGATGCGTAAGTTCTACCAGAGCATGGTTCTACAGAAGCTGACATGGCTTAGATAGCGGAGACCCGTCGCAAGACGTGTCGGTTGCCACAATATTGTTCCTCGTGGACGGTAAACTTGTGCTACTGCAGCCAACTACAACAGAAGTCGGTGGGCTTAAGTATGAAATGCGCATCATTGCGCAGAACGTAGAGACGTATGCGCTCATGCGCGACCACCCTGCGTTTGTGCTAGACAAACAAGCTGACTCCCTACCACCAAGCCCTTCAGTAGGGCTCACAATGGACGGCATGCATGGCCATGATTTGCGCGATTCACTGTGGTTCTTTGATGGCCAAGATATGCGGGTGTGGATCGATATGCAAGACGTCCTGGCTTCTGCATCACCTGAGATTGGCAGAGAGCTGCCTACCCCTGTGCAGATTCCGGTCGACTTCTACCCGCTATCTGCATTGATCAATAAAGCCATAGTATTTGGTGTTGAGTCGGAGTTGATCCAGCGCAGAGACACAAACTTTGCTTTCTTGCGCTTCGGAACGAGGGTAAGCTGTTCCGTCTCTCTCTATGCATGCCTTGCTGACATGTGTGATAGACCCACTTATTCCTTCCCGCACTGCTGCGCTCCCACCTGGCTCAGTTCAATCACCCTGCGGCCCTACATCTCAGCCATCATTACCAGCATCTGCTTTACTTTCCTCATGCTTTGGAAATCTTACTACACGAAGTATTGGACGAAGAGGTTGACACCCAGCCGCCACTTGAACAAGCCCTCCTGCCGAGCGTACTATCATTTTTGAGTTCGTTCCCGCAGTACCTTGATATCGTGGTGCAATGCACGCGCAAAACTGAAGTACGCTCCTGGAGAACACTGTTCTCGAATCTGCCACCGCCAGAAGAGCTATTCGAGGAATCGCTCCAAAAAGGTAATCTCAAGACTGCTGGTGGCTACTTGCTTGTTCTTCATACGTTTGAAGAGCTACGGTCGACGGGCGACCAGGTGGTGCGCTTACTGCAACGTGCTAAAGACGAAGGTGATTGGGAGCTGTGCAAAGAACTAGCGCGGTTTCTGATGGCTCTGGATGAATCTGGTGCAACGCTCCGTAGCACGCTGGAGCTTGTGGAGCTGAAGAGCCCGTCAGCAGAGTCTGGGTTGGGTCAGCCCCATTTCACCTTTGATTCTACTCGTCTCAATGTGCCGTTGAGAGGGCGGGGCAATGGGCATCGTGCGTTAGGCGGACTAGGCGGACTAGGCGATGATTTTGGGGTGAACAGTGTGAGCATCACGTCGGAAGAGAGCGATGGTGTTAGCCCTGGAGACGTTGGTGCGAGTCCTGGGAGGGGAAGCGGACAGCAAGCTCCCAGTGACTATTTTGGTCTTGGACTGAGCAATTGACGCCAGTAGCAACAATCCCAAGAGGCTTGGTAGACAAGTCTATTAATACAACCATGTATAATGTCCCTCTGCTGTATCACACGTCTAACAGTGCTAAAGCCTGTGTTGGCAAAGGTAGACGGTCTAGCCCTTTGGAGTAGCTGAGGCTGCATCCACGGTCCCAAAGTTGTGGTAGAGTTATAAGCATGCCAATGATGACACAGCTCGCGCTCGTATGAACTCCACCGGGCTGCTTACGGGATTCGGCGCCAGATGAGTCGAAACGAGTGATTGGTAAGTAGGGCGGCCAACACGCCTATAGCAATATCATTACACCCAGCACAAGGCATGGCGTACCCAACCCACTGGTACGCCGGTAAGCGAACGTTGATGATATGATGGTATTGGTGAGTTTTTTGTGTCATTTGAGATTGCATTCGAGCTCGTATCTTGTGTACGTAGAGTCATAGTAGCCATGTGCGCGTGTTTACGCCAAGGAGACCTTTGTGACGTGAGAGGACTGGGCCCGTGGCTCATCTGAGAGAGGTGTGTATAGATAAGGGGGGACCGCATTGGCGTTCCTTGGGAAATGTCGCGGGGGTATGTGTCGGAGGCGGTGAGGCCGGTTCGATGTCTGGAGCGTTACATGGTGCGATTGGTGACAGCCTTTGCACGTGTGGAACGGCATCCAATGGGGGGTGTCGACCATGTTGCAGGGCGACCGACATTGATGGGCCTCTGCACTGAGGCAGTTCAGGAGGAGGCGCACTGCGCGGGCGGCAGAGCCATGGGCCGGCGGTCAGGCCAGCAACGTGCCCACGACCGAACGTAGGCCCACGGTTCGTTCGCCCGAGTTAGCATCAGGAATACAGCCATAACCTTTGTATTCCAGCGACACCACGCTGCCACGCGTTCCCCCAACATATGCTGCATGCCGCTCAACTGCCTACTGCCTACTTCACGAGGCAACACAAGGGGGCCCTTAGACGGCACGTCCTGCGCTTTGTGGGATGCTGGCTCAGCCCGACAGGCAAGGCATACAAGCATCCGCACACCTACGTACATATATGTCTTCATCAGGCCCCCATATTCCCTCAGCCCTACCTGATACTGACCGATCCCTCGACCGCCCCTCCTGCTGCTGCTCCAAGACATTTGCTGGTCTGATCGAGGAACCGCCCATTTGTTTGCACCATTTTCTTGACTTTTGTGCTGGGCAAATCCCCTCCCTTCCCTTTGGAGCATCGAGCTAGTCAACAACAATGACTGCCCCTCCAGCAGAGCTCTTTCTCTTCGCCGCCACACATCACATGCATTTCGCCTATCCCTCACCTGCATCCACCGTCGACTCTGATACGACCTTGCATTGCAGCCCTATGTCGCCACGTTCGGAGATCAAATGTAAGCGAAGCTCTCTTCGTCTTCACTGATAAGTCGGATGTGCGCACGTTGAGTGCATTACACAGGCAGCAAGCCTGCCGTCACCATGCCGACGTCTTGGTCTGTGCCTGCACCTGCACCCACACCCGCACCTATGTCCATTGCCAATCCAACGCCACTCACTCACATGGACATGAACGCTCGACATTGCCGTCCTATCGCCTCTTGTGTGGCAGCATATACTGACAGCACATGTAGCATTGCGTTCGCGCAAGACGTCGAGCGTTTCGCCGACGGAATCATCATCTAAAGATGGAGACTATTGTTGGATTGTCGCAAATGAACCCGCCAAGTTCAAAGCAAAAGATACCATGCATAAAGTGCGCCAAAAAGCTATGGTCAGCTATCTCGAGACTGGAAAAAGCCGAGGGGCTGCAAAGTCGAGGGCGGGTAGTGAAGCTTCCGACGAGTCGCATTCAGGCGAGGAGACCCAAAGTCGCCCAATCGCCCAACCCAAGAAAAAGAGTAGCGGTGGAAAGAAGCCAGCTTCCCCTGGTACCTCTTCGAAATCAAAGTCGAAAGTCGGCGGCCATTCAAGTCCTGATACCAGGATAGCAAAAGTAGGACCACAGCAATCTACTGTCCCCCGAACGCCCATAGTTGTTCCTATAAACCCTCAAATCAACTATGCGTTTGACAAACACAACATACCGCCATTAAGATGGATAGGCGTGAGCATGGATCCCTTCGGAACCATGTTCCAATCGAGTAACCCACACATTTCTGTCGAGAAATTGAAGCACCACTGCAGGACGTACTTTGGCACACAAAGCCTCGGCAGAGTGTGGATACCAAAGTGCCTCGACCATCCTCACACTTTTCTTAGTACGCTGTTCATGGCATCCGCACATGACGACGTTATACAGCAGCGCGAGGTCGAGAGTCTCGAAACTGCAGCATTGCGCCAAGACGTTGTGGAACTTGTTGTAGAGAAAATCCAGAAGTCCAAAACAAGGATAGATGATGCTAACATTATCGCCGTTAGTCAGCTCATTCTTGGTGAAGTCATTAGTCGGACAGAGATGAGTCTGGCTTATCATCAGGACGGCATGGAGAAGATGATCCGAGAGCGTGGTGGGCTAAACGAGTTGGGCGTAAATGGCTATCTGGCATCTGCAGTCTCTTGGGCACACCTGGCGACCGCGGTCTTGCGCGAAACAACACCTAGCGCAATGTATGTCGAGTACTGCGTAAGCAATTCGACCAAGAAATACCCGCCCAATGTCGCCGCCCCAGAGTCTCCACTCTACTGTCCCCGCGGGAAATATGTGACAGTCGAGGATTCACGATCAGTAGCATATCAGCCAAATATACTGAAGCTCCTGAACGACATGCGGACATTGATTGAAGAATTCCTTGAGGAGTCGAAGGACGCCCAATGGAATTCGAACAAGCTCACAAGCATGACTTACCGCATCACCCAATACCCGGCCTTGGAACAAATGTCTAGGGACAACGTGCGTACACAAGAAGACTGGAAATACGAAGCGATACGAATCACTGCCGTTGTCCAAGCATACGCAATCAACAACCGAACCCAGCTGTCTGAGGCCATTACACACGCATGTCCAACGAGAAAAATATCTGCAGTTTACACATCGTCACTAGCTTCGCAATCCAGTGAATCCCTACCTTCGCCCTTTGATGTTTCATACAGTACCCCGGATACCGATTACTCGACGAGTCCATCATTCGGCGGCTCATTCAGCTTTGGCTCTTCTGCACAACAGCCGAGCTTTCCCTTTGTCCACCGATCCTCGGACGCCTCAACCGCCTCACACCATCCGTCATTGTCATCCCAATCATCTGTCTCAGCAGAGACACTGCGCCACCAACGGCGTTTCACCACACTCTCAGAAGTCAGGGAGGCACTGGAGAAATCCAACCTCTCCGACTGCTGGGGCGACATGGCCGGCGTGCTCCTCTGGATCGGACTCGTCATGGGAGCCGCCAGTTACCACGAGAAAGACAAGGTGCTACGACGATACTTCTCCGCGCTCACGATACGAGCGTGCATCATGCTCTGCTTTGAGCATCCAGAGGCTATGCATGCCACCATGCTCAAGATGACGGACGTAGTCGATGCGTTGCGAAACAAGGACGAGGTGCAGATTGCGATCAGCAGGAGAGAATTTGAGGCACCGCGGAAACGAACAAAGGCATAAAAGAGAGAGGACAGAAGAGTCGTCGCCGGTGAAGTTGCAACAAGCTTTTCCCCACAGTGGCGATGTTCTTTTTTTGTTTTGGGTGACCGTGCGTGCAAGGCCGTAGGGCTGATATACGGCCCAAGTACCAAATTTGGAGTTGCAAAAAACAAAAGTTGGCAAGGGATTTGGCAGGGAATTCGGTAGCCATTTTTTTCTTTCTTTTCTTTCTTTTTTCCTTTGCAAGCGGTGATAACTGTTTTCTGTTGTTGTTGTTGTATGATATCATTGGGGCTTTCTCAACTTTTTCTTCTTCTTGTTTTAGCAAAGCGCTGGAGTTGGCGCTGAGACCAGGTAGATGTGGCAAAATGCTCGAATGTGCTCTAGCTAGTGGGGACTCTCTCATATTCTTCTTAAGAAATTACTTTGGATGCACGCACCGCAGTTATATTGTGAATAATCGTGACTTTGATTCATCAGTGTCATCTAGTATTATGATGTCTGGGTGCACACGCCCATGTTCTATCTTCATTACCACTTCCAGGCAGGTGTGCCTCATCCCTCCAGAACAATCAAGCCGTTACTATGCAGCAACCTCTTTCTTAACCGTGAGTAACATCCTTGACGGTACCATGCTCATCAACGTGTACGTTCAGCCTGTCTGGTTTGAAATCCATAGTCTTCATCGAGTCGGGCCCGAGGACACGGTGCTGCTCTGGGAGATCGGTCTTTGCGAAGGTCTGGCGATTTCATGAACTCGTTAGTACCCGGTTTAAATACATGGATAGTATCGCAGTTCTCAGGAAAGGGAGAGTGGAAAACGAACCACTTCATCATGCTGCTCGCCAATCTTCTTGCCCATGAGCTTGGTCATCCACTCCTCCTTGGAGTTTCCGTCCTTGGACTGGATACCGGGGACTACGAGAGGCATTTTACGTGGTGGAGTCGTATAGGATCTTGTAAAAAGAAGTCGTAGGAAAGCCGTTGGGGGCTTTTCAATGTGTAGGGGTTTCGTGTGAAAGGTGTTATGTTTAGTGAGGATAAGGGAAAGGGGGAGACGACCGAGTTACTTATGTATGCAAGTTCGGCTTAGTAGGGGACACAGACCCTTGCTCGTAGGTAGGCTTGGAGTGAAGGGGAACCTGGCTGTTTGATGGGGGCGTGTCGTGGCGTGGTGGTCACCAGGCGGCAGAGATTAGGGCCATGTTTTCGTTGCGTTGCAGGCGGGGGGTGACGTCACCCGTGTCTAGCCGCGGTGAGAAGGTGGGGGTGAGTGTAGGGCGGGGTTGCTATTCGACTGGTTCTCGTAACTCTGGTAGCTTGCGTGCGCCGGCTTGTTTCTGTTTCATGTGGTCTTGAGGAGATGGGACTGACGTAGTGTTGTGTATGAGTAGGCTAGTACGTGCTTCTGGATCTTTGCTCGATCTTTTGGTTGTGTCTCACATGTAATGTACTAGGTTGGATTCTGACGTACTTTTTTTCTGCTACACGTGCTGTCTTGTAATTAAATAAGGGTAACAGTCTTGGGTAACTATGGATTTGGTGGACCAAAGGGGCTTGTCTTGCAACTAGGAATGTCTACCTTCCCTTATCATCTAGCTCAGTGACATGGATCAACATCGAAGCATTTTCATGACCACATAGTCTTGAGCAATAAAGTCGATGCGAACGATAGAGAAGACTGGGATATGTTACATATTAGATTGACTGATTTGCAAGGTTTTGGATCCAGTTGTGGTTTGACATTGATAAATGGACCCTGGCGATTAAGGGTCCAAAATGTTGAAGTGTCCTGAAATCTGCACAGGGCGCCATGTAATCTACAGAAATAGCGGAAGTTCATTGGCATATCTGCAACTTGATATCGATGGATTCAGTGTGCTATCCCAAGCTTAGGTGTATTCGTAGGACATGCTTAGAATGGCTACAATGGAACTATGCACAAACATGACCAAGTTGTGATTATCTCCTTAGATTTTGACAATAGGGATGGATATTGGATAAGGCCGGCAATGCTAGAACGTTCACTGCACTATTGCATGCTTGGAATCAGGACGAGGATTAGATATTGAGTATGCTGCTGAGTTGGTGGCCCCTAGATTGTCTTGATGAATACAGCGAGGCTTCCGCTTGTAGAATCAAATAGCGATCTGAACAGCTTAAGGCTTAAGCTAGAGTAGCCCTGACAATGTATTGCGGTATTTGATTCATACTCCGGACTTAAAGTGTTGATACTGGTTGACAGTCCCGGTCCCGACAAAAGTCCAGAATCGCGCCCAGACCTCAACGCGTGCTCACGCGTCAGGGTCCCACTAAAACTATCGCATTCGCACCTCCACATCCACTTCCAACCAACATACCGACCTCAATCGCACACCTCTCCACTGCGCCCGAAACCTCTGGTTCCCTCTAGCGAGTATTTTGTGGTTCAAAATGCCGCCCAGGAAAAGCAACGTATCCGCCGTGTCAAATGAACCCAGTCCCGTAGCACCAAGATCAGCGCCGCGGGATGACAGTCTGGGTGTCGAGGTGCGCTACATACTGAGTCAGAATCGGAGCGCAAGGCTGATGACCCGACTATAGGATCTGAACTTGCCCAAATCGATAGTGCAGCGTCTGGCCAAGGGTGTGCTGCCGCCGAATACTCAGATCCAAAAAGATGCGCTACTTGCCATGAGCAAGAGTGCAACCGTGTTCGTCAACTACATTACATCATGGTATGTCTACCTACTCTCCGCTGCTATGCCCAGTGTCGCATGCACCGAGTCATCTGCTATACGGCTGAACCAGCACTGACAATGGGATGTTGACAGCGCCGCCGAGAAAGCCCTCAGCAACGGCAAGAAAACCGTCATGCCCAAGGACGTCTTCGATGCCATGCAAGAACTCGAATTCGCTTTCATGTTGCCCCGTCTTGAAGCCGAAGTCACAAAGTTCACGAGCATACAAGCCGACAAACGGAACACTTATAGGAAAAAGGTTCGCGAGGAGAAGAAGGCATCATCGTCAACTGGAGGTGCAATAGGATCGACGCCTACGAAACTAACGGCGGATGGAGACGTCGTCATGGAAGAGGCAGATGACGATGGAGAGAGGGCAGCGAAGAGGGCAAGGCGAGAGAGCGGGGATAACGCCGAGGGAGATGTCACTGAAGAAGAGGGGGATGAGACAGCAGACATCGAGGACGAGGAAGTCGAAGATGATGAGATTGAAGAGGAGGTAGAAGAGGAGCGCTTGGTAGAGGATCCGCTTGAAGAGAAGGAGAACAGAGAGGACGATGACGACGACGAAGATGGCAACGATAGTGACTGAGGGGCTATGCTTTTTTGTACGGGTACTGAGATATCACTGCATGGAAAGGGCGTTTTAGCGGAACAGAGTTGAACATTGATGTTTGTTCATGAATGGAAGCACAGAGCTATCCGGGTGCACAATGCACCTGCTCGCACAAAGATGCTTCATATAACTTGTACGTACGGCTCGATACCCGACAACACGCTTGGACATATCATACATGGCGCGTTTTTTTAATGCCATAGAGCCCAGGCCTTCTGTTCGTCGTATAACCACAACCCGCCAGTGTGTTCACCTCATTCAGTAGTATGATGCTCCAGTCTCTCCTTTCAGCGCTTCGTCTTCGCGGCCACGCTCGCATCTAGAGGATCGCCGTACCGCACTACCTAGATATCAGCCAACTTTTCTTTCTCCGACAAGATTACACAAAAAGGGATGTCACTCACGTTTGATCATATATCCTTTGTCAACAATGTTGTCGAGTGCTCTGTTTTCCTCCTCCCTCGCCCTTGTGTTCATCCACTCGTAACCCGGCTGATCCTCCTGCTTGCTCCACTGGTAACCTGTCTCAGGGTCCGTATGTGTCCCGCTTGTGCTCAGGGTGTTTGTTGCCGAGGATTGCATTGTGCCACCAGACAATGGGCGCTTGCCGTTGGAGTTTACACCCAATGTCTCGCGAGTCTGGGACTGGGAGTTTGGCGGCGAGATTTCGTTTACGGCGGCAAGATTTGCGTTATGTGGCGTGGCTGGGTTGTTTGGAAGCGCCTCGTCGGGAAACATTTCGTCGTCCGAGGCATTGCGGGGGGAAGAGTGCATGGTGGAGTCTCCATCGCGGTCTGATGGGGGTGTGAGCTCCATGCGCGGCCGCTTGGACTCCGTACTGGGTGGTGTTGACAGAGTAAAACTTACCAGACATATCTGCGAGTATTGTGGGCTTGCAAGCCGATTGTAGCTGTAGCGAGGGCGTTTGCGACACAGGGTGAATGCAGGGTGCGAGGCAGCAAGCAGTGAAATGACATAGCGCAGCAGCTATCTAATCGCGGGATGTGGTGGCTAGCTCCCGCTGCAGACAAGGGTCATCGGTGGAACCCTCGAAATATTGGCGGGCTGCGACATCATAACCCCAGACCGACACTCCTCTTATTCTGAGGTAGCTTCCAACAACAACTCCGTTCTTTTAATTCCTCTTACTTCCACAAGTGATAAACTCAGAGATACGATGCCACCAAAGAATGCGCTCGCTGACGCCTGGGATGATGACTGGGAATCTCTCGCCGACGTACATATGCCCCTCTTCGCTGCTTTCATTCGCTCACGCCTTGTAGAAAGAAGAGGAGAAACCAGCCGAAGAGCAACCGAAGCCAAAACTCACAAAGGCACAACTAAAAGCCCAACATGCTGAATTCAACAAGCAGCTTTGGCAGGCCGCGTATGCCACTCCTCACATCCCCTTCATCACGTCCCGAGCTGACGACTGTGGACAAGCGAAAACCCGGAGCCCCAATGGTACCCCGAAGTACGCCCTGCACCTGCAGTAGCAACCTTCAAACCAAATGTCACAATGCTCGCCCGCAAGCCCTCCCCTCAGGTTCTTTCTCGGAACATGGCAGGTATGAACCTCGAAGACGACGACAGCGAAGAAGAGCGCAAAAAGAAGGCCGAAGCAGATTTCGAAGAGCGAAAGGCACGTGCGCAAAAGGAACGAGCAGAGAAGGAGCGCAAGTATGCTGAGGCGCGTGAACGTATCTTTGGCTCGCCAGCTGCCTCTGCTGCAGAGGACTCGCGCAACAACTCCCCGAGCAGGCCCACAAGAGGAAAAGGCCGAGGACGTGGTGGGAGGGACAGTCAGCCTAGATCGAGCAACGAGCAATCCCCCGCACGAGCCACCGCTCCTGCACGCCAGCTCTTTGATCCAAGCTACACCCCGAAGCCTGGCTCAGTGCATGGCCAAAAGAAGGAGTCTGGTATCAGCCGTCCATCAACACCGGGTACACAAGAGAAGCCAGTCCGCCAACCCCAAGGACCTGCACGAGGCGGTGGGCGGGGCTTTGGACCCAGAGGAGGTTACGGAGGTGTCCAAGCAGGCCCGTCAACATGAGCTCGTAGCACTCTTGTTGCACGGAAAAGTAACTCCGAGTGCAGTGCTGAGGTTTCTCGATACTTTCCAGAATGGCTGTGTCGGACAATGATAGCTGGACTAGCTGGACGGAGTACCATCTTTTTGTGACCAGAGTAAGAAGAGGCGGATCCAGCCAATCTCTCGGAAATCAAAACACATCTCAAAGAGCCTGAGATCTGCAGAGCAGCATCAATAGAGAGCTTGCCCTGGAATAGCAAAGCCAATTTCCAGCATTTTGCACCTTCGAGTTTGCCGGGGTCTCCCTCCACATTCTCAGGAAACTCGGGTATGTATGCGAGACAAAGCAACCTCGGTGGACGGCGACTCACTATAGGTCTATTCTACTCAAATACGGTTTGCCTGTCTTACAGCAACCACCTACACAAGGAGCAGCCCGCCCTGGCTTGGCGATACAGCGCCTGGACACGATCCCACAAAACTCTGCTTTCTTCCAGCCTTGCGCCGAATTTGGGGAAGTTCTTGGAGAGCAGCATCCAAGTTTGGAATAACCATGATCAGAGGGGGAGGGCTATAGGAGGCACAAGCATGGAATGAGATAGAGAGGTGAGGGAAAGATTGACGAAAATCGAGAAACTTGAAAGGGAGAACTTGTTGGAACTAGGAGGTTTGTAGACATCATTATGGGAGCAGATATATTTTCGTTGGTGTTATACGAGAGTTGGGCCACGACAAAGTGCTCGATAGAGTAGAGACATAGAGGTGGCATGTAGCAATCTCAAGTTCACTCCGTCAAGACAATGTTTAGTGTATTAAAGGACTTCAGAACGTGTATTGGAATTAAGTAAGGATTATCCAAGGCACTTCTACTAGATTAGAGATGCAAGTTGGCGTTGAAGTCTCGATCCTGGCTCAAACAATATTTGGGAGTACCTGTGCTGCAATTTTGACGGCAGTGAAATCTAACTACAGCCACCATTCAAGGTGACGTCAATTTACACGCCCCTTTCCCCTATAATCCTCTTCTTCGTGCTCTCGGGCTAGAGCACTCCACACCTGGACCCCACACCCTCGCCCCTTGAGGAATCATGCTCATTCAGCATGCAATCCCCTTCAACACACATAATTTCTCAATCCGTCTGCATGTCCTCTCCAACCTGACATGCCTCACTGGAACCTATCGACAACCCCTGCATCGCAAGATTCGCCGCATACTCATCTACTATAAGCTTGATGTCGCGGTACTGAGTGCTGCTTGGCCCAAACGTTGCTAGTGCGTTGCGGAGCGAGGTTTGGAGCTGTGACAATGTTAGTGATAAGCAGACATACTAGTGAGATGATTGTGCTCGAGAATCAGAGTATTTCCATGGACAGGTTTTGTTGTGACTGATTATTAAATGTATAGATGGGGACTTACAGAGAGTAAAAGGTCATCTGGTTGAGACGGCATAGTTGCTCGTGAACTCTAAAGTTTTTTTCTAAGATAGTGAAAGAAGTCAAAGTCCAAGTCGTCGGTGAAAAAAGTAGAAAGCGAGATTAGTGACGATGTGGATCCGGTAACGTATCGAGCAATAGCGACTGCTAAATCTTCAGGTTACTTATGCCAATATAAATTGCAAAAGGAACAGTCTTTTTGGACTTCATGCAAATGGCAAACGTGGTTAAGTGTGAGTCTTAGACCCGACCTCGGAACAGAGCGGGGCATTTCGCTACGTGCTAGCCCCACACCTTGTGGGGACGCATAGATTTGATTGATACTCAAAACCTATCATCAGCCTATTGATGTTTTGAAGAAGTGCTATTAGATATGTTAAAGGCTTTCCAGATGAAAAAACGTAAATATATTTTAGTAAATTGAATCGTTGTCCATTCAATTCACAAAGGCAAGATGGCCGAGTGGTCTAAGGCGCTGCGTTTAGGTTCGTTCTAAACATCCTCCGCAGTCTTCACGGGCGTGGGTTCGAATCCCACTCTTGTCAACATCTTTTTTGCTTTTTTATCGTATTTGATTATTCCTGTAAACCCATTTTCCTTTTGGGGACGAGGGGCGGGGTGGGAGCGTGAATCGCGGGCAGTTGGGCCAGTTACTGGTGGCTTGTGCTCACTTCCTATTTGGGAAACTATCTTATTACAGAAGTGTTGGTTTGCTAGTTTACAGTTATGTTCCTGGATATGACAATCGCTCATGGTAGACTGCAGTGCTTGAGTGAAAACTACGCAATAGCACGTATCTTTTCTCTGTGCCTGGAAGGCTGCAAATATAGCAGGTTAAGCAGGACAATCACTTTGGTAGGAGGAAAATAGCTTTCTAAATAGAAGCCTCGAAAATATTATAGCACTTCAGGAAAATAGCCGTCACGGCATCTATCAAAAAAGGTGTTGCAAAATTCATGGGTTACTTTCGTCGCGCTTCATCGTGGGCGATATATCAGGAGGATGAAGATCACCACGAGAGTAGTGCTAATGGGACTCCCTCCATCTGATCTTTTTTTCTTACAATGGACGCGCCTAACGTGCTGTGTAAGACTTGATTAGATGTGAGTTGCGGCAAAACGGAGCCAAAACGCCAGATCTCCATCCAAACTAGCATAAGACGATTAAAACCAGCGAGACCACATGTCCAACCAAACAGATGGACATGATCTCTTCTGAAGACGAGAGTGGAAGGACAGGGATCTGAGGTTCAGTATGGCTTGAGTGGCCTGCATGAGTGTAGAGTCATCCTACAGTCAGTATTCTAGCACTGAGCTCCGTAACCACAGAAAAAAACCTCATAGTCACACGCCTATCCATCAGTCTACAACTCACACTACCGCTACGGCGAATGTGCAACATATGCAGGACTTGACATGACACTGACGTGTCGTACTGTGAATCATGAGCATTCAAATACAAACCTGCTCGGCGTGACTACAGTATGACACATCAACCGCTCATGTGCCGGCAAAGTCACGCTTGGCGGCAGCAGAGTCATACAACACTAGGCATCACCATGATACATCGAATGAAGTAGGAGTCATTGATAAAGAATATGTTTATAAGGAGACTATCGCATATACTAGAGCACGAAAACATTCTCACTAACAAGCTCGTCGAGAAACCGAAACATCGTCAGCACCACATTACCACTCCCGCCAGGCGGAGTCAATCTAAAACCACATCGGGGAGACTGCACACCGGCGTCAAAAACACAAGCACAAGGCGCGTAAACACAAACCGTGGGTGATACGACCGCGAGAGAAGCCAAAGAAGGGAGTTGCGAAGAAGCAACAAGAAAGGAAAACTTTTGCCGAAAGGCAAGGCTGGTTCTTCACCAGCTCCTGACGACCACTGGGGGACCATATGAGAGAGACGAGGACATTCATTGTCCGCTGTATCCATGAGCCATAGCAATGCTCTTCCATTTTTCGACCTCAGCCTGCAGCTCAGAGTTGCGCTGCTCGAGGGTGCTGACATGATCAAACTTGCGCTGACGAGACTCACGAGCAGCAAGCGTATTGCGTGCTCGCTTCAAAGCGATCTTGTCATTGGGGTCTACCGTGATGCTTGGTAGAGGACCCTTTCGCCGACGAGACTTGCTGACGCCGTTGATGGCAGGTGAGTCGGTAACAGATGACTTCCTTCGAGTGTAGCTGTCCAAAACGATGGGGGAGCCGGTGCTGGAAGAACCAGATCGCTCCATAGACTGGCTGCTGATAGTGCGCTCCAAAGGCATGGAGATGGCGGGCGCATAGACGTTATCAGAAACCTTGGTCTCCTGCTCGGGGAACAGGGAGAACCAATCGCTTGTGTCGGTCATGTTGGGCTCGCCGTTGAACATGGGGGAGCACTCGAAGCTATCGTTGATGAAGGGGGAGTCACCGATATCGGGAGAGGTCAAGTTTGTGAACGCCGTAGATGGGGGCGCAGACCCAAAGGCATCATTGAAGATGTCCCTGGGGGACACGGTGCGCGTAGACCCGGCGGCAACAGAAGGGTCGTTGACCGCCGTGAATGCGGACACCGAGTCCAAAGAAAAGCCTCCGTTGTTGAAGTTGGACATCAGGCTTGCGCCCGAGTCAAAGGAGTTGTTGCTGTTCAAGTCTGCCGGCATGGTGAGCTCGGAGTCGAGAGCACGTAGAGGATGCACCGTACCTGCCATGTTTGTGGCGTTGTGGAGTTGAGGAATGTTGTTGCTAGAGCTGGAAAACAGGGGGACTGGGGGACGCTGGCGTAACCGTGGCTGTTGGAATTCTGTAGTGGATGACGGGGCAGAATTTGCGTAGAAGTGCTGGCCGTTGTTAAACGTATGCTGAGGGGCGCTGGGTGCTCGCTGAGGCCGATGAGAGACCGGAGCTGGTTGATCGTAGAGGACAAAGTCCGGCTGACGATGCGCGAATGCGGGTTGACTCGTATTCAATGGTTGCCGAGAGGCGTTGGGAGCTGGTGAGGAAAGCCATGTTGACTGTTGGGAAGCCGTGGTGGACGACGTGAAGTCGAACGGGGAGGAAGACGGCGAACTAAAGCTGCACGAAGCTAGACTTGAGTTCAGAGGTTCCAAAAAGGAAGACTCTGAGGTTGTGGGTTGAATGGGGAAAGTGGGTATGGTGGCGGGATCCAAGGTGTCGGCTGTGAGTCGACTGCGAGACGCGGGGGAAGCTAAAAGGCAGCCATTATGGATGACTGTCTTGTGTGTTATGCTTGTAGTTGTGGATGTGGTGAGTAAGAGAGAGAGAAATTTCAGGCAGCGAGGGAAGTGGGGGGGTTAAAAGTGTTTGGAAGCGAGCGCGGCTTCACAAAGGCCCGACCTGTGACTCACAACTGCTGCAGCAGCGCCAGTGCCCCTCAGCCAATAGCCTCGACCCGCCGCACCCTCCTCCATCAGCCCTAGCTCCCAATCAGGCCGCCGGAAGCTGGCCCTTTGCGACACGGCGCACTCGGTGGATGCGTCGCATCTCTTGAACGGCCTCATTGACACGGACAGCACACCAACTTACACAGAACACGAGGCCCCGTGCATCTTCTTCTGCTGGCAACGCACTCGTCTGTTCAACCCATTGAGGCCATGCTTGCGACTTGGACCCGCGCGCCGTGAGTGCGGCGACTCGCACCGCACCGAATTTCAGGCATCAGCATTTGTGCGCTTGTACCAGTAGGGCGCGCAGCATGTTACATGGGGGCCCCCATGTCAGCTGCGCGCTGAAGCCACTTGAGATGATTACCAAAAGGCCAACCTGACGCGGGTGAGAGGGCTGGGGAAGGCCTACAGGCAGGAAGGAGGCTTAGGTGCTGCGCCCTTTTCATCAATTGCATATTGGTGGATGCGCGGTATGCGCTCTCTCAGTTCCATCTCGGCTCATTGGTGTCGTCTGTCCAGGCTTCAGCGCGTGCCCAGGCGCATTTCTGCGCAATTGGAGGACCCGGTGCAGCGGGGAAGCACGTTGTTTCAAGAGCGGTGAACACAAAGGTGAAACTATGTTTGCTGGCTTGGACATCCAGCTCGTCGGATCAAATGTCCTTACGTACGCAGTTGGCCTGCGAATGGAATGCATTGTAGGCACGGCACTCGGGCCTCTTATCGATACGTAGACCCCGTATTCAGCCGCTCCAATACAGATAAGCGGCTCAGCGGCATCCCTGTCACATGCTGCCTCCCATTTGCGACTGCTTCTCTCTGCCACCACCACTGCCCTCGCTTCACGCGCTGTGTTGTCTACCCCCTCTATCCGTGACCTGCGTCGCCGGCCGACAGCAATCTGCAATGTTGAACAGCAAAACCCCACTTCACCGCGCGCCCCTGAATGCAAATGCACTGCCTAGGTCCTCCACGGCCGCGGATACCTATAGGCAATTCGACTCCACGACTTAGCTCCACGAGAGGCCTCACGGCCTCTTGTCCCCGCATGATCATGTTTGATGAAGAACTCTTTAGTTGCATCGCCGGACTTGCCTCGCTTTCTTAGTATCCCGTTCGTTCATGGACACATGAGCGCTACACAACGCTCGTCGTGCAGATAGATAGCATGCAATCTACATGCCGTCATTAAGTGGGGCGCATGTCTTCCTGCGTCCGTTGCAGCCATCTGCACGTGAGAGTGCATGGAAATATTGTGTCTCCACATCATGAAAGCTTACCTTGTCTTGCCTTGGCATGTAGCGGCTAACACTCAGAACTACAATACACGACGGTACTGAGCCAGTCTCCTTTTGGGGAAGCCGCCCTTTGTCTCCGAGTAACCCTCCGTGAGGTCGCATCATGTCACCAGGTCAAGGGTCGGTGCGAGCAGCGGAAAAGCTACACGCGGCTTGCGATGAGTGCAGTGAGTACCTCAAGCTAGGCTCCCACATTAGCCTTACGCATCTCAACAACACCCAGGGATACGAAAACTGAAATGCTCTGGTAACACGCCAAAATGTCTTCGTTGCACAAGAGAACAGATAGGTTGCGTTTACTCGCCTCAGAAACAGATGGGCAGACCTAGGAAGAGGAGGAGAGAAGGCAAGGCAGACGAATCTGCCACATTTATCCAAGGGCAGGATGAAAACACCAACATTTTAACCAGTTTTTCTGAGATGCAAAACTGTTCTACTTTTGATGGCTTAATTTCCCCACCGCTCCTTCAAGATACCTACTCGTCAAACGAGTCATCAGGACATGAAGCTTTGACGCCAGGGCAATTCGACCTCAGTCTCCCTGACCCGTTGGGAATATCACCTGGATCCAATTTCACGTATGTGCCCTCTGTCTAAGGACCCACCAACACACTAAAGAAGCCCAGGTCTCATTTGGAGCCGGCAATTGACCCATCATTGTGGGAACTGCAACCTGATACGTTAACCAACAACATCAATGAACCTCTATCAAACCAACAGATTGTAGGGCCATGTACCTGTATCACAACAACGTGGATGGTACTTACTGAGCTACAAGCTGTCACAGTCTTCGACTTTCCCCAAGTAGTCATACCCTTGAGAAATGCCATGTCTGCATTGGCCAACATAATCAGCTGTCCACAGTGTCCCAAGGAGCCCTTCAGCGCAATACAGAATGTCCAATCCATAGTTTCTTTGATGAAAGCAATAATCCAACGCTTCAACAGGGTACTGTTAGAAGTCGATCGCGAAGCTGCTCGCCTGGAAGAAGCCGGTCAGAAAAAGCCATACCGGATTGGTGACAATAACCCTGCCTTATCCCACCTACATACTGGAAATTCAGACTGCCCGATGGGCTTCAATATTGAATTGGAACCCGAGGACTGGCGGCGTCTAGTCAAGACTGCGCTCAAGGCAGAAGTGTACGGAAGCGGAAGCAATCCATGGCCACTGCTAGGCCTAGTGAAGAAGAGCGAAATGAGACAAGAGGAGTGGCACAATGACCGACATTCTTGGGTTGATGAGATGATACAGTTACATGGTGGAAGAGAAGAGTGCCATGTTTCACAAGGCTGTGAGGCTTTGGGGGCGCAACATATCCGGAGAGCGATTGATAATCTCAAATGGGACTGATTAGAGACTGGACATGAGTGCAACTGATGGGTGGCACGGAACGACACTGCTCTTAGATTTTTCAGACTTCGTCAACTTCAAAACTCCACCATTATGACTTGCGTACTAATTGTCAAACTTGTGGTGAATGAAGCTAACCGTACTGGCTATCACTCGGGCACCAGGTAATCTGAGCATACAGTAAGCGATCTTAGTATGGTTTAGAGAGAGAGACAGAGAGAGAGAAAGAGCAATTCAGAGATATCTAGGTTAGACACAATTTAATCATAAACTTCTCAGCTTGTGCACAATGTCCAGACAGGTCCTGTACGTCCAAACAAGGGAGGGATCACACGTAGTTGCCGCGGCTTCGAGCCGGGTGGGGCGAGTCCGGGGTCGCTTAGGGGGTCGAGTCGAGACGACTAGCGTGACCGGAGCGGAGAAACAAAGATTCAGAGTGGGATGCACATGCAACTCCCATCCCACTAGGTCGGCGCGCAATTCACTCGTCACCGCGTCCCGACCCGTGTTCGTGTTCGCGCCCGATCGCACTGCCCCACCTCGTTGGTGGTCGCACCCTACAAACAACACTCACCAGCACCCGTCACTCCCCTTTAGGCAACCTGCCGACAGCAAGCGCACCATGGACGACTTCAACAGCGAGACAGACAGCGACTACACAAGCTATTGGCGAGATTGGGTAGGTACATGGACTCCCCCCTTTACTTTCGGATCTGGTGTTGCTTGCGTAGCATGATATATACCGCCAGACATGACTATCCTGTACATGTATGGGTGGCCCAAAAAGGTGCTACTCGCATGGTATGGCTCATTCGCTTGTCCTTCACTACAAGGTCACGTCTGATCATACACCAGTAACCCTTGCGCCTTCAAGGGCTACCTTGCAGCATACCAGTGCCTTCACCCTATTGATGACTTCAACAACGACTTCTTCGCGGTAGACTGGGACCCGCTCCTGCTCCTTAGGTCTCGCTGGTGGCTGGACTATTGGCTGCATCGTAGAGATGTAGAGGCAATGTAGATGTGTTCAGAACCAAACTAACACTCGCGTAGTTTATATCCTCACGAGGAAACGAGTACTTTTGCGAAATTGACGAGGAATACCTTACCGACCGCTTCAACCTCACAGGTCTGAATACCGAGGTTCAATACTACCAATATGCGCTGGATCTTGTAACCGACGTCTTCGACTTCGACTGCGACGATGATATGCGGGAACAGATTGAGAAATCGGCGCGGCATTTGTACGGTCTAGTGCATGCGAGGTACATTGTCACAACTAGAGGTCTGGCAAAGATGGTACGTGTCTTGTCTGCGGACACACGCCATGCTCCGGCTCAACAACTATACTCACGAATTACAATAGCTCGAAAAGTTCAAAAAGTCCGACTTTGGCAAATGCCCACGCGTAATGTGCGAATCACAACCCCTCCTTCCCATGGGTCAATCCGACGTGCCCAACGCCTCGCCTGTAAAGCTTTACTGTGCCCGCTGCGAAGACCTCTACAATCCAAAATCCTCGCGCCATGCCATTATTGACGGCGCATACTTTGGCACCTCGTTCCACAACATCTTGTTCCAAGTCTACCCCGCGATGCTTCCCCCGAAAACACAGCGACGATACGAGCCCCGCGTCTTCGGCTTCAAGGTGCATTCCGCAGCAGCACTGGCGCGGTGGCAATCAGATAAAAAGGAGGAAATGAAGGATAGGCTGAAGGCGCTGAAGATGGAAACTGGATTCGAGGAAGAGGACGAGGAATTGGAAGACGACGATGATGACGATGACATGGAGCTCCAGGAAGGTGTTCAAGGTGCGGCTGCACAGCTGTGACAAATGGGCCTGTAACGGCCTTCTTTTTCCTTCACACAAGACGTACAGACCGAACACAGTGATACATGATAGAGCATGGATCTACGAGTTGCTCATCATGGAGAGGGCTATGAAAAGGGTTTGGAGCATATGCAAATGCCCAAGACTAGCATGGATTCGGCGATAAGGGCGTCATGGCTGGGTTAACAATGGATATCTGAGATACCAACAACCCGAAACGATCAAAGTAATTCAAATTCTACCGTTTTTCTGAAGCAGAACGAAGCACATACACACACATGAGTACCGTGATGGAGGCGATGATTTGAGTTAAGTAACATTGTACGTGATTTGCTATAGCAGAGGAGGACTATGAATATCAATATCTCTTTCTTCCATTCTTTCTTGATCCAAGGTTGGAACCAGCCCATCTCAGACTACTGTATACCTACATGCCACCGCCGAGATCCAAGCGAACGATGATACAAAGTCGACAAAAGAGCCAAAAGAGTAAAATGTATAGTTATATATATATATATATATTGTAATCCATTAAGAAAGAGGGAGATGGAGAAGAACCAAAAAGTACAGTAATAAACTATTAAGACAAAAGAGGTTCCTATCAAGAAAAGGAATGAAGGGGGAAAAATCGATCAAAAAAACGCCCACGCAATGCATCATCATCGCATACACTTCCGAAATCCTCCATCTCGTAATCCAAATGAAAAACAAAACAAAAACAACAACAAAAACGTAGTCGACATTTCATGGCATGTACACGTTCCTTGGGCAGAAATCAAAAAGAAGTTCGTGGAAAGGCCGAAAAAAAGAGTAGTAAGAAGAAGAAGGGAGAAAAGTAAGCGAATCCCTTTGGAAGAAAAAAGAAAGGACAAAAGCATGCAGAAAAAAAATCTGCTTGACTCCAACTCCCACATGTTTTGCTTCTTTAGAAACCAGCAATCTTCTTGAACCAGCTTCCCCTCTTGACAGCCGGCGCTGGTGCCCCGCCTTCTACCGCGGGTCTACCATCCCACGTCCTAACAGGCGGCTCTTCGTATGCAGGTGCATAGCTAGTGCGTCTAGCGTTCCTCTTGCGATCACGTTCGTCATCCATGGGCTTCATAGTCTCGTAGTTGCTTGCGCGGCGGCTGTGCTTGTATGTGCGGTCGCGGTCGCGCTCCTTTTCTTCGGCTTTGCGGCGCTCGGCACGCTCCTTGTCGCGCTTGGGTCCGCGGCGGCCTGCGATTCGCAGGCGAATGTCTTCGTCTTGGGATTGGGTTTCTTCGTCGTCATCATCGTCGTTGGCGCCGGGCGCAGGGTCGAGTACGGTCTCGGAGATGGGGGGAGGTAATGGTGGCTCGTTGGATAGAGATTCGACCCATGACGATGTTTTGTCACCGCTCTTGTTGTTCATGTACGGCATATTTTCTTCTTCCCGTGCTTGACGAGAACTGCGGTGCTTGGAACGGTTGGCGACGCCGTTGCGCTCGTCAAAGTAGTCGGTGATGGGCTCTCCACTAGCTTGTACTGGGTATTCGGAGTGACGCCTGGCAGCACGGCGTTCTTCGTGACGACGGCGACGTTCTTCGTCCTCGTCAATGTATGTCCGCCGGCGTTCGGCCTTTGGACGCTCTTCTTCGCGGGCCTTGTCTTTGCGACGCGATGAACGCTTCTCACGATCCCGCTCATCAGTCGGCTTGCGATCGCCTCGTGTCTTTCGCCGTTCTTCCTTCTCCGCTATGCGACGCAGTTGTTCCTCTGCTTCCTTGTTGCGACGTTCCAACTCGGCCATTTGCCGAGCCTTCTTCTCTGCAAGCGTCGCACGCTCGTTTTCACGCTCGCGCTCACGGCGCCGCTCAGCCTTAGCCTCTGCTTCTTCGAGTTCGGCACGACGAGATTCTTTCTCTGCATCGCGTTTCGCCCTACGTTCAGCTCGTCTTGCCTCTCGTTCAGCATCGTGATCGGCGCTGCCGTTGCCGCCGCCATTAGCACCAGACATCATAACTTCTTCAGGATCCTGGGCGCGCGGATTGCGCAAACTGCGGCGCTCGTGTCGCAGTCGTTTGGCTTCATCATCAGTAACTGCGCCGCGTGTTGTGGATCGCTTGCGATGCCTGCGCTCGTCCTCGGTCTCGTAGGCAGTGCGGCGGCGTTCGCGAGGTGCCTCTTCTGGCGCCGCTGCCTTCTTGCGCCCAAGTCCAAACATACCCTTGAAGCCTTTCACAGCAGCAGCAGTGCCCGCGACACCAGCAAGTGTGTTGATAGCATCCGAGTTGCCTCGCGCGCGACGAGGTCGCTCACGGTCCCGCTCACGGTCCCGTTCACGACGGGGCCGCTCAGCCTCGACTGGTACAGGGTCCGCCTCCATTGGGTCAGCAATGATAGGGTCATCTGCGCTAGGCGATGCACTCATGGGCTCGAGTGGTTGTGCCGAATCGCGTTTAGATTTGCGACGTGGATATTCTGGTCGGGAAGCTGGGGGAGGTGATTCATCATCAACTTCGTTCTCATCGTCCAAAGGATATGGGTCTAGAACAGCAATCAGGCAATTAGCTTCGTGTGCTTGCGTATGACCGGGCCAGCCAATGAGAGATGCACTGTGATTAGTGGGGAGCGGCTTACCTCGACTTCTGCCCTTGTCTCTGGAATCCCTATTACTGGCTCTGCGGGACGAACCCTGCTCGCCCATAAGCCGAGCTGCCTTGGAAGACATCTTCGCATCGGTATCGGTCTGTGGTGGCGACATCATGGCGGCGTCCTGGTCGATAGAAGGTCGGCGCGATGATGTTTTCATGCCTGAGGTGCGATGTGACTTGGAGCGTGATGGTGGGGGCGGCGCAACCCCAAACATGCCACCGAGGCCTGTAGAAACCCGGGTCGTCTTGGAACGTGACACTGTTGGCCTGGCTGCATGCGCCTTGTCAGACCCTGAAGACCGTGATTTGATATCGTTATCTCTGGATTCTGATGTTCGCCGGTGTGATTTTGTGCGTGCCGCTTCAGGCCTGGTGGCACCATCCTCACCACCAGATCTTGTCTTGTTCTTTGACTTGGAAGCTCCGAACATACCACCCCAACCGCCAGAGGTAGTTCCACTACGAACTCTGTTGCGCTCCTTCTTCGGAGAATTTGCCTTGGGTTCAGGTAATGGCTCGGGAGGAGGAGTGGGGAGTTTGGCAGGCGCATCATCTTCATCTGCTGAAGCGGCATCTTCATGGTCGATTATCTCTGGGTCCTCGGGCACCTCTTCAATTTCAGGTTCTAGCTCTGGCTCTGGCTCCGGTTCAGGTTCCAGTTCGGGCTCAGGTTCTGGTTCTGGGTCTGGCGGAGGTGGCGGTGCCTTAGTCCTGCTGCTCTTCTTGGATTTTTTGTGTTTTCTTTCAGAGACCATAACAACAGGTTCAGGTTCAGGTTCAGGTTCAGGTTCAGGCTCAGGTTCAGGTTCAGGCTCAGGTTCAGGTTCCGGTTCTTCTTCAACAATCGGCTCCGGTTCTGGTTCTGGCTCAGGCTCAGGCTCGGGCTCCTCTAGAACTGGTGGCGGTGGAGGAGGTGGAGGAGTTTCGTCTATGGACCACCCTCTCGATTTACTACCCTTTTTGGACTTCTTAAGCTTCTTAAGCTCCTGTAGGACAAGAGGTACATGCACAGGTTCAGGCTCGGGCTCAGGTTCCTCAGGCTCTGGAGGTGGCGGCGCATCAACAAATTCTATGAAGTCCTCTTCATCGTCAGGGAATGCGCCTGGTGCAGGCGACCATTCCTCAGGTGCTTCGATAGGCTCGGGTTCGGGTTCAGGAATGACCAGAGGTGCTTCCTCCATCTTTGACCGTTTGGACTTCTTAAGAAGTTTTCTCTCCTCTTTGGATAGTTTCTTTGGGGGCACCTCAATAACCTCGACCGCTGGAGGTTCAGGCTCTGGCTCCGGCTCCGGCTCCGGCTCCGGCTCTGGTTCTTCAGGTATAGGCTCTGGCACCGGTTCTGGCTCTGGCACAGCATGTCGACTTTTTTTGGACTTTTTCAGCAGTCTTCGTTCTTCCTTGGACAGCTTCTTTTGAGGTGCCTCTTCAACGATCAGAGGCTCAGGTTCCGGCTCAGGTTCCGGCTCAGGTTCCGGTTCTTCCACAATCAGCTCAGGCTCAGGCTCAGGCTCAGGCTCTTGCTCTGGTTCAGGTTCCGGCACAGGTTTCACAGGCATATCCGTGATAGGATCGATCACGCTTCTGCGAAGTGAGATACCCCAAGCGCTGCCCCAGCCACCTGCTGCTGCCTTTTGTTCCCTTCTGGTAGGCTTCTCAAGCTCAGCCAAAAGTTCGTTCGGGTCAGCATCTTTAACGAGGTCAAATAGCTCATCGTCGTTTGCAGGTTCTGCGGGTTCTTCAGGGGGCGGCGGAGGTGGTGGTGGAGGTGGTGGTGGAGGAGCTTCCTCGACAACACCTCTCTTCTTTTTCTTCTTCTTTTCCTTGGAAGAAATAACCACGAGCTCGGGTTCAGGAACAACTTCTTGCTCAGCAGCAAGACGAGCAGCTTCAGCTTCAGCTTCCTCTGCCTCCAGTCGGGCTTTCTCGGCAGCTTCGGCAGCTTCAGCGGCTTCTCTCGCCTCGTTCTCCAGTCTTTCTTGTTCTTCAAGTGCTGCTTTTTCTTTAGCCTCGCGCTCGCGCCTCTGTTTGGTAGTCTCCTTCTTCTTGGATAGTCCGAATAGACCCCAACCAGAATTTTGCTCTGCTTCCTCCCTGGCCCTGGCTGCAGCTTCCTCAGCTTCCCTTTGGGCCTTCTCAGCCGCCTCAGCAGCCTCGCGTTCCAATCGCGCCTCCTCCTCGGCAGCAGCAACACGCGCGGCCTCTTCAGCCTCGAGACGTTCTTGTTCCTCGCGTTCAAGGCGTTCCCTCTCTGCTTGCTCGGCAGCCTCTTTCTCTAGACGCTCTTGCTCCTCTTTCTTTTCCCGAGCCCTTCGCTCTTTTGTGCTCTCCTTCTTCTTCGAGGATCCCCAGATACTAGCGCCCCACCCAGCAAGCTTCGATCCTGCAGATTCCTCCTCTTGCTTCTTCCTTCTCCTTCTCTCCTCTTCTTCTGCCGCTATACGTGCTGCTTCGACCTCTGCTGCGATTCGAGCTGCCTCAGCCTCAGCCTCCTCTGCCGCAATTCTAGCCGCCTCTGCCTCGGCTTCTTCGGCTGCAATGCGTGCAGCTTCTGCCTCAGCCTCTTCTGCCGCGATACGTGCAGCCTCTTCTTCGTCCTCTTCTGCCGCGATACGTGCAGCCTCTTCTTCGTCCTCTTCTGCCGCGATTCGAGCTGCTTCTTCGTCCGCTTCTTCGGCTTCTCGTGCAAGACGCTCTTCCTCCTCTTTCTCAGCCGCCTCCCTCTCTAATCGTTCCTGCTCCTCGCGTTCTTTCTTTTCACGTTTTTCGCGAGTTCGTCTTTCGAGAGTAGTTTCCTTCTTAGGCGGCTTAGTTGAAGCACCCAGAGAGCCCCACATGCTGCTAGACTTGCTTTCCTTGTCCTTCTTGCTCTTCTTCTTCTCTTCCACCGGTGCTTCTTCCACTACAGGTTTCTCGGCAGGCGGTGGATCGTCGAGCGAGATGAGATCCTCAAAGGTATCAGTCGGGGCAACCTCCACAACCTCGCCCTTTTTCTTCTTCTTCTTGGAGCTAGTAGTGGTAAGACCCCCCCAGATATCTTCTTCTTCCGCGGGTGGAGGCGCTTCAATCGCTTTAAGCGGCGGAAGCTCGGGCTCGAACTCTCCTGGGGGTGTTGGCACATTTGGCGGTATAAGACCCTTTTTGCTCTTCTTGGTCTTCTTGCCAATGTTGAATGCAGCGCTTCCCCAGGGATCCTCTTCGTCGGGTTTTTGAACAGGTGTCGTAGTGTCCTCAAGTACTTCGACCGGGACATCCTTCTTGGGATCTTTCTTCTTTCTCTTGCTCCAAGATGGCGCGCCCCAGTCATCCTCATTGTCCTCGGGTTCCTCGACGTCTTCGGGCTCCTGGATGGGCGGTGCTTCTTCAACTGGCTCACGTTCTGGAAGTGGTTCTAGTTCGACTGATTTGCTGCTCTTCTTCTTTTTCTTTGTTCCACCCCATATCGAGCTCAGACCCCAATCAGAACTTTTCTCTTCTTCTAGTGGCGGAGCTGGCTCGGGTTCTGGGATAGGCTCAGGTTCGGCTGGAGGAGGCTCTTCGATGATGACAGCAGCACCCTTCTTACTTTTCTTGGTCTTTTTGACTACAGGCGCTGCTGAACCCCAATCATCCCAAGCATCGGCAGGCTTCGCATCTGCAGGTGGAGGTTCCAAGAATTCGGGCTCAGGAGGCGGAGGTGGAGGCGGAGGTGGAGGCGGCGGGAGCTCCTCCTCTGCTCCTTTCTTGCCCTTCTTCTTCTTCTTTGTGGTCGGTGCTGCAGCACCCCAATCACCCCAGGACTGTTCATCCTTCTTCTTCTTCTCGGCCTCGGCTGCGGCTGCGGCTGCGGCTTCTTCTTCTTCTTCCATCCTCTTCAACTCGGCCTCTTCCTCTTCTATCCGTCTCTGCTCTGCTTCCTCTTCTTCTTGGCGCTGGAGCTCAGCGGCCTCTTCCTCTTCCTTGAGCCGCTGAGCTGCTTCCTCCTCCTCCTTCAGTTTGGCCTCTTTAGCTTCTTTGTCGAGCTTGATCTTGAGCTTTTTCGCTTGAGCCTTGCTGAGGCCGGCATATGGATCAACAGCAGGCACTTCTGGCTTCGGAGGCTCCGGCTCAGGTTCAGCTGGAGCAGGCTCTGGTTCTGGTTCAGGCTCTGGAGGAGGGGGCGGTGGCAGCTCATCCTTTGCTCCTTTCTTACCTTTCTTCTTCTTCACTCCGGCAGCAGCTCCATCCCACCCACCACCCCATGGATCATCCTCCTTGGCAGGTTCTGGGGCTGGCTCCTCAGGCACAGTCTCGTCGATCAAGATTCCTTTCTTGGTCTTTTTCTTAGACTTCGCGCCTGAGTCAATGCCCCAGCCATCGTCCTCGGTGGGTTTCTCTTCGGCGGGAGCGGAAGCTTTGAGACCACCAAAGTCGAAGTCGAATCCGTTTGAGTCCTTTTTCTTCTTCTTGTCCAAGGATCCCCAAGGGCTGTCAGATTCTGCGGTAGAGTTCTTTCCACTGTCAATTAGTCCGCCCCAGCCAGATGATTTGTTTGATGAGCCCCAACCAGAAGCCCAACTGCTTAGTCCAGGAAGTCCGAATCCAGATTTTGTTGCGCTAGTATCACTATTATTCATGTCAATTTTCGGTGCGCTTCCTTCGTCAAGGTTGATGTCGTCGAATGTTGTCGGTGGCCCTGCTGGTGGTTCAGGAGGAGGCGGGGGTGCGGCCTCGGCAGTCTATCGTGAGTTAGCGCCACGCGACATATAATTAAAGGAGCCGGGACAACGCGAACCTTCCCCTTTTTGCTCTTCTTCTTCTTGCCGGCGGCAGCACCGAACGAGGCCCAGTCATCCGTGTTCTGGCTCGGATTCGCCCAGCTTAGGTCAGCTGCCGCCTTTGTCACCGAAATGGTCGTTGCGGTGGCAGCAGCTGCAGCTGCAGCTGCGGCTGCATCCTCCTCCTCCTTCTTGCGCTCGGCCTCCTCTTCGGCCTCCCTTGCCAGACGCTCCTCTTCCTCTTTCTGCAAGCGTTCCTCTTCCTCCTTCTGTAGACGTTCCTCCTCCTCTTTCTTGAGGCGCTCCTCCTCTTCCTTCTTCAATCTCTCCTCTTCCTCTCTCTGCTTCTTCGTTTTCTTCTTGCCCTTGTCTCCATCGCCTCCATCTCCACCGTCTCCACCAGCAGACCCACCATCCGCGGGTGGATCATCGCCGTTGTCGCCACCGGCAGGTTCCTCGTCCTTTTTCTTGTCGTCAACGGGAGCGGCCGCGGGTTTCTTCGCTGTAGTCTTGCCGTTTTTCTTCTTTGCGTGTGACTTGATGCCAGTATCGCAGTGCCCAAAATCAATGTCTATGTACGGTGATTTCACATCTAGGCGGAAGGCGGAAGAGCCAGGTAGGCGCTTCTTGCTTGTGCGCGGACGTGTGGAAGCGGTGAGGCATAGTAAAGCGTCGAGGGAAGAGAAGGGAGAGTATTCAGGTATTTGCGCAATGGCCAGCGCATCGGTGGAGGTGTAGTCTGGAGGTAGGTCTGCAACAGATTCGTTGTACGAAGGTGGTGGGGGTTGAGAGATCGGCGGTAGTTGGTTCCATGGTTCTGGCGCGGACACAGGAGCGGAGGATAGAAGGTCAGAGAGTAGGGTCGCGAGGTCGGACCACTAAAATAAAAGTCAGATAATGAGGTGCAATGGAGCGACAAACGTGAGGATTTGATCAGTAAGGTTAGAGGAGGTTGTCATATGGGGTAGTGATTTGGGACCAAAAACATGTGGAGAAAAGGACTAAACAAAGCAATTTTGCCATACCGAGAGATCGCTGCGTCTTGATTTTCTATCGCCAGAGTCGCGAGTGTGCCGTCTATCGAGTGCAAACTCCAAATCGTCTATTAATTCGCCCATGCGACGGCCATTTCCAGACTCGCATGATGTCATGTACCCAGCGCTGTAGGTGCTTGTGGGCCAAGCATTTTCCACTTCCAAGATTTCGCTCTTCCCGCCCCAAAAATGTTCAGCCGATCCAATCCTCGAAAGCGGCAGGGTCTTTTGTTTTGCGGGTGGCACGACGGCGACGGCGCGACGAGAGCTGATAGGAGACATTATGCGAGTATGAGAGGCGCAAGTGGGAGGAGCACGGCGGAGGTAAGCACATGAGAGCTTGTGCGAGACCGCAAGAGGCGAGCGGCAGGAGGACGAGGGCGAAAGCGGCGAGTGTTGCTGTGGAGGAGGCAGAGGCAGGCGCAGGCAGGATGCAGCGTGACTTTGCTGGTGATTATGCTGCTGCAGGGGCTCGCTACGCCCAGCTTTGGTAGTGCTAATAGTGGTATTTGGAAATAGTAGTCGCAAGTAGGGAACGGTGGTAGCCACGGCAATGCCACCCTAGGCCTGTATGTAAACACGGCCGGGCCTCAACAAGGCAAATATGGCTATGCAGACCGGCGCAGAGCACAGGCGGCGAGCATAAACAGTCCAAGAGGTACGCGACAGGCGGGCAGAGATGTAGCGCGGCAGAGGCAAAAAAGCAGGGGAATAGGCGTCGCGAGTGGTCACAAGGACTGTATGGTGGGTGTAGGATGTTTCCACAAACGCCAATCGCTATCGGCGTCGAATGGCCTCCCCTCGGCTGGGCGCACCAAGCCTGTTGGAGGTTGCGGAGCGTTTCATCCACCTCGTCACACACACACACACGCGCGCGCCCGGGCCAGCAGGCGGAAAAATCCAAAAATGAGGGGTCGGATCTGTGTGCGTGTGGATGGGAGGGTGCGAATGTTTGTATGTAGTATGTGTGTATAAGAGGGGCCCGGGGGGGAGTGAGGGGGCCAGGTAGTATCACGAGAAAAGTGAGTGGGTTAGTTTGGACGGATGCAGGGAAAGAGTGATGCGCGCGATGCGATGCGCGATGCGAGCGGCAGAGGCCAAGTTATTCGGCTCGTGAAAGGAAATCGGGCGGGTTAGGCCCAGGATGTAGTCCAGGCGGCCATGGGAGAGATGGGCCGAGCAAGACTCTGCGTGTGCGTGTGCGTATGCGTGCGTGTGTTTGGAGGCGCCCGGTGCGCGCAGCAGTTAATGTCGAGCACGACTCCCAGCCATGTTGGCCGTGTGGGCCAATTGTGGAGGGCGATGTGGGTATTGGGTGATGCTGGCAAGCTTCCGTCCCATCTGTTGCGCTACACCGCCAGTCCTCTCTACATAGTCTAGCACACCCGCCCCCCCAAGCCCTCACCCAGTCCAACCACCCCGCCAACGTCCTTCGCCGACTGCGGCAGAAGCTGCACGCCTGCCACACGTGCATGCCGCGCGCCGGTCTGGCTACTATGGCTGGCCCCGTGTTACCGCCACTCTACATCAGGTGTACGTCGACAACGCACTGCCGGCTGGACGCTGCATATGTAGAGCAATGTCTTCCCGTCCGCATCCCTCCCTCGGCCCAGCATGACGACTTCTTGGCTCCGTTTGGTGGGGCGGCAACCGCACACTAGAAGGCCGCCTGCCTTCGTCACCAGCTCCACAGCATCGTTCCTCAGCCTTCTGATCACTTCTGCTCGCAGCCTAGCCTGCAATCACGGTCAAGCCCAATGCGCTGGGGGAACAGTAGAGCATTTTTTAGATTGGTTTGGTAGCCCTACGTGCATGCATGCATGACAGCCGTGTGTCAGCCTTCTAGAGCTACCTCTTACGAGCTACCAGCTTTAGAGCTGACTCGCAGCCACAAACGCAGAACAAGAAGAAGAAGAAATCCATGTCCACCTACACCGGAGTTCGTGACCCCGCGCCCGCCTCGGGGGGTATCAATACACAAAGGAAAGAAACCATCTAGAGTCGTGACCCCTCAAAAGAGATGCAAGCAAGTCTGCCAAAGTGTGTTTTGAAAGAATAAGAATCAAGACAGAGAGAAGAATGAGAAGAAAAAAAATGAAGATGAAGAAGGAGAAGAGTATCTGCAACGCTAAAAGCAAGACATACGACGACCACAAAAAAATGTCGACGAGATACGTGATATCCAGAGGGGCTCGTGGGGGACAGGGTCCGACCTTACGCTAAGTCACAGCATCCAAGTTAGACATTACCATGTAGTTTGGAAACACAAAAAGAGATTTAAGTAAGTGAACGCGCCTACTCTCAACAAGTTTGGCCGTCTTCCAGGTCCTCGCCCATGAGAATCTTGCGCGCTTCGTCAAGTCTTCGTCGCCATGCCTTGCGCTCGTACGCCTCGCCGTACGTGCTCTGCAGCTGTGAGCATACGTGTTGGATGCCTGCAGCAACGCCGTACACCAGCTGCGTCTCTTCATCGCTAAGTGCAATCCGTGGCTCGTCTCTTGAATTTTCCGTCAAGATGGAGAAGAGCTTGGATGTTTGCAGGCCGCTGGCAAACTCGGCTGGTGAAGGCGAGCCGCGAGACAGCGACGACTGAGGAGGTGAGATGCCGCTACTGCGCATGTTGATCGCCGAGTCGGACCGGAGCGACAAATAGCTGTTGCGACCAATACGCTGAGAGAGCAACCGCGATTGACCAGACATTATCTGCTGCGAGAACTGATCCATCTGCTCGTTCGCGTCCTCCTCATCGTCGTCTTGCTCTTCGGCTGCAGTGGCAAATGTGGCCACCGTCGATACCGAGTCCGCACTTGGATTCCGTTGGTGGAATGACACCCGCTTTTCAGCTTTGCTTTGGCCCTCGCCAGTCTGAACAGCCGTCACCGGCCGCGTCGTGGCTACCGAAGTACCCGAACTTGTGCTGGACCGACGGTCTCCCAGACTGTACGTTCCCATGGCACTGTGTAAGAAAAAAGTCTCGTAGTCAAATGCGTCCACTCGGTCCTCGTGTCGCTCCGTCGTAGGCATCTCGTACACTGCATCCTCGTATACACTCTCTGGGTCAGCCTCCCCGTCCTCGCCATAGACTGAGACAAAGTCACTGTCATCCACCTCGGACGGTTCATATGCTTCAGACTCTTCGGAATTGACCTCAGGCTCTTCGTACGAGCGGTCAGAGTATATATTCCCTCTGGTAGTCGCCGGTTGGCCTTTGTACTGTGCCACCAGTTTCTCTCCATGCAATTGCGAGGTTGTGGTGGTAGCAGTCAATGGCCGGTCTTGAACCTCGGGGTAGAGCCCGGTCCGAGTGTGTGGTGAAGTCGTGATGCCCAACCCAGTAGTTCCAGTAACGGGGCTTTCAGGCCGATATGTATTTGATGATGGATACCATGTGTCGGCCGAGGTAAAGGGGCTAGGTGCACGTAGACTCTGTATACTGCGCCTCCGGAGGTGATCTTCTTGTGCCTTTAGCTTCAGACTCGAGATTCTACCCCTGAGATCATTCATCTGGTCACGAAGGCCACTAGCTGCGGATGTAGATCGGTGTATCCTGGCTCCATCTTCGTCTTCGCGTAGTGTTTCTAGCACAGGCGGAGATTTAGAGCTTCTCGAGGCAGACCGTACAGCTTGTTCGCGCTCTGCGGTGTTCCAGGTATTGCGTGCATCGCGAAGTTGGTCTACGCTTCGGGATTCTTTGATGGGAAAACGCCCCTGACCATAACTCTCTGGCGCCCATGGACCACTGGTATGACCGAATGCGCTGGAGGCTCGTTTGATTGACGCGGCTCTCGACACGTACGAGGGAGTAAAGGGAAGCGGCACTGATGTTTCACTCAGGTTGCGCGAATGGCCAGAGCTTCCATTGGGGGTAAGTAACGACTGTCGGTAGGAAGAGAGGCGCGGAGGGATCGGTCCCATGCCGGCATAAAGTCTTCGGTCACGCTCGCGGCTGGCTGCCATGTGGTGTGAAAGGTCAGAGGACAGGCCGCCTTTGGGGCTAAAGGTGGGTGAGGTGACCAATGACTCTCGTGCTCCCCGAAGGTTTCCCTCCATGACCTGTTATGATAAGCATTGGCTCAATTGGGATGCAAAACAGCATAAGTTGGGGACAAGGCGTACATTCAACCTCTTTTTGGCATTAGCCAGGATGATCTCTGCCCTTCTGCTGAGCGCTGCTGACGAATAGGGATCGTCTTCGTCGTCACTGATATTGGCTGTCATGGCGTCCCCAGTGTCGGTGTCAGCCTTTGAGCGGTGTCGTCTCTCCTGCTCTTCGAAATCTACGCCGCTGTCGTCAAAGTTGTCGTGACTGTCGAAGCCGGGCCAATGATCGAGATCCTCGGTGAAGATTGAGCTGGACGAGGGACTGACTTTGCGCTGGTCGTGGCCGCGCCAACTGCCGGGCGAGTGGCTGCTGGGAGCAGTGTGGATGGTAGGCGATGAGGCCAGAATGAGATCACGGGTAGTCATGCTTCTCGAGGAGGCGACTGAATCGGCTGCGTTGCGAAGCGTCGAGCGCGAGGACTGTGCAGAAAGCGAGGACTGTGCTGATAGTGACGGGAAACTTATTTGTTGTGAGGCGCGGCGCCGGCTGTGGAGTCCTGAACTTAATCGGCGAGGACTCGAGTCGGCATGCCGGTACAGGTCGGATGGCGAAGGCGGACGCTCAATCAAGGGAATGGGCGAGGTCGCGCGCTCGTAGTCGGCCTCGAGGGCGGGCAGGATCATGCCCGCATCGCTGAGCGTCGGGGAGCGCTGTCCCCTGGGGGGAGCAGGACGGGAGGCTGCAGTGACGGCCATGAGTGGGTGCAGGGGGGGCGGACGGGCTGTTACCTTGGCTTGGCTGCAGTGCTGCTGAACATGTTCGTCGAGCAGACGGGGAGGGAGGAGGGAGGCAACGTTTTTTTTTCCTTGAGCGCGAGACAAGACGCGAATCAAAGGCAGTGGTTGAGCAGGTGGGACAGGACTCGAGAAGCGGAAGATGCTGGGCGCCTGGGCTTGATTTTCATAATGTCAGCGTGATTAGGGCTGTGGACGGTTTGCGGCATGGGCCAGTCTACGCCTGGAGACATGTTTAGGGGCAGCTTGCTAGGGGTTAGCAGTGGGTTGATTCCCCGGCCAAATTGCACGGTTGCGTCCCCCTCCGCCGGCGAGGATGATTTGGATGATTCGTGTGATTCGTCGTGGGCGGGGCCAAGCTCCCAGGGGCACGTGCAATCTGCAAGGTACCCTCTCCCCATTGGCGCCACCCATGCTGCTCATTTTGCGGGCTGTGGGTACATTTCTGCCGCCCAACGCCTCCCACCATCCACCCATCCATCCATCCATGGCCTCGCCTCGCCTTGCACCGCGACTTGCCCACCCGTCTATCCAGCCCTTCAGCAATTCGCGACTACACACCAGACAACCATTGCCGGGCGCACGCGCGGACCGCCTCCCTTTCGGGCCGGAGCCCCACGATCAACACCTCTCGCTACTGTCGTGCACGTGACCCACCGCTCCCTGCTACTTACTTCCACATGCCCACATGTACTACACACTTTCATACGTGCGTACACATGTATGCACACATCTTCCCCCATGTCCGGCTAATGCAGGTACCCCCGCCAGACGTGCAGCAGAAATAAATCTCCTCAAACACTTGCATTGCTATACAAACCCGTTATCATCGTCGTCGTCGTCATCGTTCCAGCCCAATGCATCATAGATTGATGGCTCGCTCGCATCACCACGTCCCCGCACTAGGAAGGGGACTGGCCCGCCCTCACTGGCCGTCTTGGAAACAGACTTCGAAGGCGTTGTCGTAGCTCCTAGCGGCGCGGCCTTAGTCTCTTCCGGCGGCGACATCCCTACTACACCTTTGGCTGGCGTCTCGAAAATGTGCAACGCCCCCTCATCCCCTCTGCCCTGCGCATACGGCTCCGCCGCTTTTGCCGGCGTCGCGAAAATTCTCCTGCGTACCGCATCCGACGAAAAGGTTTTGCTTGCTGGCGCCTTGCTTGGTGTCTCGGCAATGCTCGATTGCCCAAGGCTTGGAGCCGTTGTATGGCCCTGGTCCCTTGTGGCTACCATACCAGGTCGCACGCCTGACGAGGGTACACAAAAGCCGCTCGAATGAGGCGCTTCCTCCCCGGGTGATCGAACAAACGGGTCGTAGTGCTGTTGCACAGGCGTCTGCTCAACCATGTTCTTCGTCCTGCGACTAACTCGTGGCGTTGCCGTTACCTGAACATCCTTGATCGTCTTCCTGACCGTTACCGTTGGTTTCCTGGATTTGCTCGGCTGCCCAACACCATGTTGCTCCTTCTCGGCGATGTAGCCGCCAGCAGCTAGTCCCCTATTCGGCCTCTTTAGTGCTAGGATAGCCTCTTGCAGGTCTTCCTCGACTCGCTGCTTCTGCTTCATCTTGGCTGATGCAGCTGCCGACGGCTCAGCCAGATCAATCTGACGCCCCTGTAAGTGTCGAATCTGCGACATGGATTGTCTTGCTCCCTTCGACGGACTGCGACGAAAAGGAATTGCAGACAGAGGCGTCTCGCTTGCTTCTCTCTTCACGCCTTCAACCAACACCGAATCCGTAGCTGATCGGCCCAAAGATGGCGTTGTCCGCTCGGCAATCTTCCCCGTGTTGTCCGTAGCCACACGTGCCAGAGACCGCCGGGATTTCTTTGCATCCGGTTCTTTGGAGTCTCTTGATGTGCGTGAACTGAGGGTCGGTCTGTTTGCTTTTCGCTTGGCTGGCAAGCTGTGCGCTGGTCCACCGAGCTTCTTATTAACCATTAACGCCTGCTCGGGAAGTCGGTTAATGTAAAAAGGTATTATGACTTCAACACAGAAGCTATGAAGGCGATCACTGGATCCATTGCGGCCAGTGCCATCCACGTCTTCATTTTGTTGCGATGGCTTAGCGTCAAAGTCCAGAATTCCCAGTTCCTCGGTAGCGTGCCATATGCAAAGCTTATCCAGTGCCAAGTCGAGTTGTACGTTGATGTCGTCTAGTTTCTTCTTGCGCTTCTTCGGTGCAGATTGCTCGCTTTGGTCCTGAGTCTCTTCTTTCGTGAGCTGCTGGCCACCAGCTTTGCTTGTAGACATTGCTTCGAGTGCGATAATCTCAAGCATGAGTATCAGTTGCGCCAGTGTCTCGCGAACTCGTAAATCGCCAATCCGCCTCTTGATACGCTGGTCCATAGTCTCTGTAGCCATTGCATCACCACTGGGTAACTCAGACTGCCACCATCTCTTGACCAGAACCTCTTCTTGTGGATAGACACCCTCCCGACTAAGTTTTGCCTTTTTCTTTGACTTCTTCGCTTTGCTGGCTCCTGCCATAGTCTCATCATCCGAATAGCTCCCTGGCGCCATGGCCTTGATGAATGACGGTAATTTTTCGTAATACTTCTTCTCACTGGCCTTCGGGCTCAGTAGCATGGCTCGCAAGGACGTGACAAGGTCACGGGTAGGAGGTGCGCCTTCTTCAACCAAGGTGAAGGCATTCCGAATTCGAGTGAGGGGTCCTTTGGCAAAATATGCAAGAGATGTTTTGGACATGTAAACCGCATCAAGATATTGTTGTACCAGTAAATCAAGCTGCTCTTGTGGTAATAGTGGTGCTGGTAGTGGCTCAAGCAGAGACTCAGTTGGTACACTATCCAGGCTGTCCGTATCCTGCGATGCTAGAATTCCTTGTAGTTGCTGGGCGTCCATTGCGTCAGGCACTTGTGGGGGCTTTGGTCGAAGCATACCCATTCTGGTGCGTCCTACTAACGGCTCCACGGCCTGTGTCTCTACTGCAGCATGTTGCCACCATTCCCCAGATGTGCTTGTGCTTGTATCCACCCTGGTTCTTATGGGAAGTTTATGCAAATTGCCTGGATCCCACAAGTCGGCGACATCCTTCTCCTTCAGCCAGCTTGCCAGCTTGCAAATACTGTATATGCGTGCTTTTACCCGCTCTATTGCGTATAGACTCTTCTTCGTCTCTAGCTGTGCAATAAGCACCCTCAGAACCCTATCCTCTTCCTTTTCCAGTTCATCCTGTTCCAAAATATCGACATGAGCGGCGAAGAGGCTGTTTGGAGCGAAGTCATCGTCGGTAGAGGTATCGAGGAGTGTAAGAGGCAGTTGAGAACGCCCAACCACCCGGACGGGCTTGAACGTCACAGTCTTAGCGTGCGATGATCCGGAATACGGCCGAATCGTAAAAGGCTTATTGAAGGCTCCGAGGCCGCAGAGAGAGTCTCTGGTGAGTTTCGAGGGCAGTTGGGGCTTTAGTTCCTCATGTTTGGTGGCTAGTCGCAGCAGTTGTGTTTGCGTGTCTGAAACAGGTTGTAGCATTGTCTTTGTTTGCAATGCGTATGCCGACATTGGACCTGGGCATGGTTGTTGGTGGGCTGTGGAAGGCCGTCGTCAATTCTCGAAACGGTTTGAGTATGCCCTCCGCCAACGCGTGTCGCGAATCACGAAGGCTCGTGCACTCCATCTCCCGCGCTACCACGTCATTCCCGATTGCCATCTCGATTCATAAGAGCAACCCCTGCTTTTCAAATAAGAGAACCAAGTCAGTCACCAGGAGCGGCGATCAAAAAAGGTAGTCATTGTCATAGTTGGTAATCCTTGTCGGTATCCCGCTATTACCACGTTTCTTAGTGTCTAATAAAAGTAATCTTTATTGATTTCCACCCCCTTGCTGTTGTCTCGCTATTGTTAGTAATTTTGGTAAGGGGCTGAGATTATCAATAGCATCTAAATCTCCGCCATGGCCATGTAAGAGACAGGGACGTGAGTTAAGAAACGTGCTCTATTTGTTTCACAATGGGTGGTGTCAGTGAGAATATATCATAGATACTATAGCAGCATTAGACAGCTACAATGTGCATGCTTCTAGCATAAAGAGTTATGATCCCAGATTGTGTATTTCTTGCCCCTATAGAAACTGTATTTCGATACAGCAGTGGCTCAAGACCTGGACCCAATACCCGACCGTACCTTCGCCAGCTTCAAACAGCAGGTCCTCTTCCAATCCAGATCCTATAACTCCGGAACGGACCACGTCTCTTATCAACATTGTTGTAGCTGAACTTCGGACCCAACATAAGCTGATTGGTGTTAAAGTATAGCCATCCATCCAAAATAGCCATTGAGTCAGCATGTTGAATCAAAGCGCTCCTCGCCAACACGTTCACTACATAATCCTGTGCTGGGATAAGACCAGAGCCACCGGGTACGTCGCCATTAATAGTCGTGTTAATCACAGATTTGATAGTGTCGACATAATATATCGCGTTTTGCTCGCTTGCAGCAATGTACACACGTCCTCGGTCGTCGGCTGTGAAGCCAGCCTGCTCCGAACCGCACTGGCCTGGATACTGTACTGTGGCGAGTACTTCCTCATCCGTCTTGTTGGGGTCGACGAGAACCTCCTGGGAGATGTAGTAGAAGCGTCGGGATGCCAGGACGCCCCAGTAAAAGTTACCAGATGCTGTTTTTTTGCTGTCAGCGCTAGGAGGTTGCTTCAACTCGACAGTACTCACCCAATGCGATTCCATCTGCTCCAGTGGTAAGATGGCCCTTCTTCGTTCCATTCCAAGTATACACAAGCTTTCCAGCATAAGAGCCAACATAGTTCTCGTCTGCTTGAACAACGCTGGTATTGAACAGCCTCCTCAGAGCACTTCCATCATCAAGATTGACTGTTAGAAGCGAACCTTTTGCACTGGCATCTGTAATAAAAGCAAACCCTTCCTTCCCACCAAGAGTTGTGTTTATGCGCAGGTCATTCATATCCGTCCGATTCGACAGTAGCTTTTCGGGTATCACATAGGTTCGAAGATGCTCGCTCGTTTTTTCATCGAAGCTCATCAGCTTTGCGCCTCCGAAAATAGCATGGGTTTCGGGCGTCGCGTTGTAAGGAATACCGCTATCAACAACCCAGAGCCGTCCTCGATCATCCAAGATGATGTTCTGTACGTTGATGAAGCATGTGCTTGGATCCTGCCCGGTTGTACAGTTCTGTATGCTTGCGTTGGGCCACGGCTTTTCATCGTTGAAAGAAGTGCATATCACGACGTTGTTGGATGTCTGCCCGCTGTTACGAGGATATGTCAGGTAGAGCTCGTGATCCGAGTCAATGGCCAATCCAGTTGCAGGTTTTTGAGAGTCATGAATTGGCTCCAGAGGCGGTCCAACTAGAGTGAAGTCTTGGGGACAGGCGCCATTGGTAAATTCAGATCCAAAAGGGCGGTAGCTACCTGCCTGTGTTTCCCAGTAGTCTGCAGCCGACGCAAAGGTCACATAGACCAATACTGCTAGTGTTTTTATCATCATACTAAAAATGTACCGGGTTGTGTCTGCTTTTTGACGGGAATCAGAGAATCGATGTATTCAATATACACGTGTTGGATTAATGCGTTCAAGATCAGCACATATGCCGCCACTGTGGATGTAGAGGGAACACAGAGTACTTAACACGCAGAACCTGAGTACTGAATACAAGATTCCCGGATGATTCGGATCATCCATGACGCTTGCAGTTGTTACCCGGTAACCAAATTTATAGTTTAGAATTTCTAAAGGACATACTGACGACATGGGCTGATTGCACGATGATCATCTCCTATGCAAGCATGTTGAAAGGGACCCTGTCGATAATCAATAACTTAGACGCGGGGTGATTCCCAACGAGAAGACCCAGTAGGACGGCTACTATTAAAGCTTAGTCAAAGTATCGGTAGTGATGTCTGCTCTGTAGTTGTCCTGTTACTACCCTTCGACTGCTTAAAGAGACATGTGTCTTGGCCTAACAGCAACATCAAGTGTGGAGATGTTATGAGAAGGCGCATCGGTACGACGATTATGAAAGGAGCAGCCACAAGAAGATGCTTCGCACGCTGAGCTTAATGGAAGCGATAATACTCCCGATCGTCTCGCCGACGGATATATCCGCATGTATACTGTATGACATCTGGAATGACAACGCGGCGACTGCTAGTCAGTGGAATGCGCAGTGACATAGCGACAATATGCGGTGTAAAGATTGCTTCTGGAGCATTGTAAGACGCTTTAGATTCAAGATAATGAGGACGATGCTAGTAGTCCGGAAACGGCGCCGGTGTGGAGTACGGAGGTCTGGGGTCCCCTGTTAGGTAGTATGATGAACATTCGTTCATCTACCTCCGTCTCCACTGTACCGTATCACCCGTCTTGTTTATAGTCTCTGACTACTTGATCATGTTGGCTGGTTTGGTGTCGCTGAGATTAACGTTGTAGCGCTGAGTGGGCTCTTGGTTGATCGAAATAAACAAATCTCTCGAACAATTCGTTAAGCGGGATTTCGCACAAAAGAAGCCAGCTGTAATGTGGCATATTAGCACTGCAATATGGTTATTATGTATGGAAAATTTATAAAGTTCGATGTACTTACTTTGGTTCTGTCAGATGTGCCGAGGATGTCTGTTAGTAACAGGTAAATTTCCAGTAAGGCGTTACCTGCTGAGGTGCAGCTACGTAGAGAGCTGTACAACTAGATCGCGGTATGCTATAACGGTACTACGCGTCCGGTTATTTGAATTAACGCTAGGACATAGCGGTTACTGGGTAGGTGATGTAACCATCTTGGCTCGGGGATTGGAGTGTACCTCTGTTAGTGTTACCCGCCGCTAACCGGTCGGCTTAGAGCCCTCACAAACACCACACCTCGGCGGCAGCACTTGGATATGTTTTTTCCGCTGAGAAGATTTGTTGACACACTCTATCCACGATGAAGTCTTTTGCAAGCAGAGAAGCGTCGCGCCTCTTTTCCCGATCAAACCTTGCCCAGCGAGCGTCAATTGCCGGACGGAGGAGCGCCAACATCCGCGTACACGAGCAAAGAAGAGGATTCCGGGAAACAAGAGGGCTGTTGGTGGTCAAGCCGTACTTGCTGGCGGATATTGGTGAAGGTTGGTATACCAACGAATAAATACATTGGTCAAGGCTAAGCGTGTTGCGTCTAGGTATCACCGAGTGCCAGGTTATCCAGTGGTTCGTCAAGCCTGGAGCGCGTGTCGAGCAGTTTGACCCCATTTGCGAAGTGCAGTCGGACAAAGCATCGGTTGAGGTAAAAGAAAGTTTATTTATGCGCGGAGCAATGGCTAATATGAGCAGATTACCTCGCGATTCGATGGCGTCATTAAGAAGCTGTACTATGAGCCGGACGACATGGCCAAGGTTGGAAAGGTAGCCTTGTTCCCCCAAATCTCTCCAAAAGCTAAGCTGACTTCCAAAGCCATTGGTAGACATTGACATTCAGAGCGAGATCTCTGCTGCCGACGAAGCCCTACTTAACGGTGGTTCAGGCGAGCGACCAAAGGATGAACCATCAAGGGCGACAGAGGCACAAGAACAAGGGATTGAGGTTGATCGCAATGATACCAAAGCTGCTACCGGACATATCCCAAAGTCAGATCAGAGTGCGGCTCTGGCACCAGGGTCATCTCAAGCAGCGGCGTTGCCAACACCACGGCAACCGGGGAAATATGCGTCCCTTGCTACACCGGCAGTACGACACATGATCAAGGAGCACAAGCTCACCATTGAGGACATACAAGGCACAGGAAAGGAAGGTCGTGTGCTCAAAGAGGATGTCCAACGGCACATCGAGTCTGCTAAGCAGACCGCAAGCGCACCGCGCGCAACAACAACACCCACGCCCGTTCCAACCCAGCAACTGGAAGACCAGATCAAGCCCCTCACACCAGTCCAATCCGGAATGTTCAAGCAAATGACTAAGTCCCTCTCAATACCACACTTCCTCTATACCGACTCCGTAGACTTCAGCTCTCTCACTTCGCTGCGCAAAAAATACAACGCAGGCCGCGAAAAGGCAGACAGAATCACACCACTACCGGTAATCATCAAAGCCGTCTCCTTAGCATTCCAGCAGTTCCCCTTGCTCAACTCGCACCTCGACACAAGCGCGAACCCCGACAAGCCGCAGATGATCTTAAAGGGAAGCCACAACATTGGCGTCGCTGTCGATTCACCATCTGGCCTCCTTGTCCCCGTCATCAAGAACGTGCAAAACCACAGTATCGCATCCCTCGCACAAGAGATCCAGCGATTGAGCTCGCTCGCCCGCTCCGGCAAGCTCACCTCGGCCGATCTCACCGGCGCCACATTTACAGTCAGCAACATTGGCAGTATCGGTGGCGGTACCGTTGCGCCTGTCATTGTAGGCCCACAAGTGGGTATACTGGGGATTGGCAAGGCGAGAGTTGTGCCTGCGTTTGGGGAGAACGGTGAGTTGATGAAGAGGGAGGAGTGCGTATTTAGCTGGAGTGCGGATCATAGGGTTGTGGATGGGGCGTATGTGGCGCGTGCGGCGGAGGAGGTGAGGAAGTGTATTGAGGGGGTGGAGAGTATGCTTGTGAGGATGAAGTAGATTGGGGTTTAAAAAGTTTGATATAGGTGGATATATGCATTATGGGCGTGATAGATGGTTGTCATCTGCAGGTATGCATTCAGATATACAATGGAGTCGTACATTTCTACCATTATCTTTTATCTTGCTCATTGATGAGAGCGTTTATATCGAGAGCTGCTGTAGTGGGCAAATCGATGCACCACCGTCACAAGCTCTCTTCCTTTGACCTTCGTAGTACTTGAGGCTTCCCACGGTCTCTATACGCTGCAGATAGTGACGAAGCTCAAGCGGCCCCCTTGAGCACCTGCTCAAGACTACTCTTACTGTTTGCATACGTCTTCTCAAGATAATCCTCCTTCTTGTCCAAATTCACCATGTCTTTAGCCAGCGCCTCACTCTCCTGTTCCAACCTCTTTTGCACATCCGGGATGGGCGTGCAGACGAACCTTTGTTTGATAAATCAGCTCCTTTTTTATCTTTTCTCCATGTCCTTCTGAACTCCAGGAACCCAACCGCAGTCATGAGGCAAAGTAAGAGATGATATGTGTGTGACTTACATCTTTCCGACACCTTCGTACACCTTTGTGTCTGCAGGCAGCGATGAAACCTCTGACGAGGTAAGCTGCAACATGCGGCTTTCCCTTGCTCTAGCAGCTTTTTGCTGCTTGACAATGACAAGTTGTTGTTCGGCAAACGCCTTTTTCTGGCTAATTTCCTGTAGGACCTGCATTTTTTTGTGTCAGGTTACAACGCACAAAAAACATTCTTTACTCCGCATTACGCATCTAGAAGGCTAAACATACCTTTTGCAAGGCCTCGTTGGGCATGGACATGTTTGCGAGGGTTTTGGGGGTTTGGCTAATGGGGACTGCCACGACCCTGGCTGGGGCTCGTGAAGTAAGGGCGGCGGGAGGATGGGTTGGTTCAAACTCGGTTCGCTGGGTGGCGGGGTTGTGATTGGCTGGTGGGGGTTACGCTGGTGCCCCTCTTGATAGATGGACTGGGATGAATGTTGATAGTATTTGGGAAAGGCTAGGGGTGCAGGTAGGTTGTAGGAGATGTATATCCCTAGTACTATGATTTCTTTCACTAGATACTTGTAGCAACTGTCTCCTCGGTTGCTGTTGTCGTCACATTGATAGTCGACCTTTAGGGGCTACAACAACGCAGGGTCATATCCAGGATACTTAGGATAAAGCATTACAACTCAATCAGTTAAAAGCTCCAAGTTTTAAATATAACCTTGCGGTCGTTTTGCCATTTCGCATCCAAATTTCCTTTTTCTAATGCCGTGTTGTGTTTTGGCCGGTTTTCGGGAGGCGCCCACTTCCGGCAAGTCCGAGACTAGATACGTATAACTGCGATCATCCAGCATTGAACGCGTGGTAGCTTATCGATTTTTTTCCGTGCTTTTCGTCTATTTTTGCTTTTCTCTTCCGGCGCCAGTATGTCTGGGCTACTCTCTCATCTTCCGTCGATAGCGTATCCGCCTGAACAGGACGGCTACTTTTCTCCGGTAACAAGCACACTGGACTGGTGTGAAGAGGTATGTTGATTCCCTCTGGTAAATACTTTTAGCAGAGTGTGTTACTGACAAGACTGCATCAAGAACTATGTTGTCACACATTTTATCGCTGAAGCAGTGAATACCCTGACCAACCTCTTGTTCATATATCTAGCTACAAAGGGCATTCGCAGCTGCTTGAAGTATGGGCACGATACAGTCTTTCTTGTTAGCTTTGTTGGCTATTTGCTTGTCGGGAGCGGCAGTTTGTTGTTTCACGCGACATTGAAGTGTACGTCTAGCAACAGAGAGAGGGAAGGAACGCTGTGAACCCATTCCTGATGACGACAGACCCCATGCAGCTTGTCGATGAGCTTTCGATGATTTACACGACATGTCTGATGAACTTTGCCACGTTCTCATACGGCAAGTCACGACTGTATTCCACGGTACTCGCCATCTGTCTCACGTCGCTTGCGGTGTTCATCACGCTCTACTACCACTACCTGCAAGACCCAACCTTTCACCAGAATGCATACGCACTTCTTACAGCAGTTGTGTTCTTTCGCGCCCTCTACGTAATGGAGGTCAATATCCGACCGCGCTTCCGATCGCAGGAGAGGGAGGCAGCGAATCCGCGTCTGGATGGGAGTGCAAAGGCAGTGCGACGGGAAAACCAGCGAGACGAGGAGATTCTGAGCACCATGTGGAAGATGATTGCCTTTGGCCTCAGCATCTTCCTGGGTGGTTTTGCCATTTGGAATCTCGACAACGTGTACTGCTCGCGGCTGATCCGGTGGCGGAGGCAAGTCGGCATGCCTTGGGGCTTCGTGCTCGAGGGGCATGGATGGTGGTACGTATCCGCAACGTGCTTGCAGCGACACAGACTCACACAGACAGGCACTTGATGACTGGGCTTGGGGCATATTTCTACATTGTGTGGGGCATTTGGCTCAGGCACTGTCTTAATTACAGACAGGACGAGTACGAGTTGCAGTGGCCAAACATGTGGACGGTGCCCGAGGTAAGGGCTAGAGGAAGGGATGCGAAGAAGGTGGCGTAGTGTGCTGTTGGGCTGGGGTTGCCATGGATGTACTACATGCAACAGCTGTTTGGTACCTGTCGGATGCTGTTAGTTTTTTCTTTTTTTCGGCGTGCGCAATGAAACCAATCTATAGATATAGACGTAAATGTAGGTGTAGATGCAGGTATACGTGTAGATGCATAAGATGATGCAGCGCAAGACATGGCCTTTGCTTATGCCCTTTGTTGTGCGTGGACATATCGGTAGTAGCACCAGATTATGTACAAAGCTGGTGCCTGTTGTGCTTAGCGCCGACGCGAGGGGGCCTGGCCTGTGCAGACCCGCACAGTTTGTTTAACTGCTCCCCTTCACACCGCTTCTCCACATCACCAACACCCATCCACCCGCCCCAAACACAGCTCCTCACACTCTCACCTCTCTACTTTCCATATCCCACACCCCAAACCGCCATCATGCGTGAGATTGTACGTATCCGACCCTCCCTCGACTGCAGCGCGTGGCGCAACCTTGCCCCGCGATCTGCATTCAGGGACAACACGAGATTGCAAACAAGACAGCTGACAGCCATTCTCTGCTACAGGTTCACCTTCAGACCGGTCAATGCGTATGTTTTCGCTCCCTGCAAAAGCCGTCGACGCGGCTTCTAACAGACTCTGCAGGGTAACCAGATTGGTGCCGCCTTCTGGCAGACCATCTCCGGCGAGCATGGTCTCGACGGCTCTGGTGTCTACAACGGCACCTCTGACCTCCAGCTCGAGCGCATGAACGTCTACTTCAACGAAGTACGTCGCCCCCTAAAGGCCCAACGGAAAAAAATACCAATACTGATCTGCATCAGGCCTCCAACAACAAGTTCGTGCCCCGTGCCGTCCTCGTTGATCTCGAGCCCGGTACTATGGACGCCGTCCGCGCTGGTCCCTTTGGCCAGCTCTTCCGCCCCGACAACTTCGTCTTCGGCCAGTCTGGTGCTGGTAACAACTGGGCAAAGGGTCACTACACCGAGGGTGCCGAGCTCGTCGACCAGGTCCTCGATGTCGTCCGTCGCGAGGCTGAGGGCTGCGACTGCCTCCAGGGTTTCCAGATCACTCACTCTCTCGGTGGTGGTACCGGTGCCGGTATGGGAACGCTTCTCATTTCCAAGATCCGTGAGGAGTTCCCCGACCGCATGATGGCCACATACTCTGTTGTGCCCTCGCCAAAGGTCTCCGACACCGTTGTCGAGCCCTACAACGCCACACTCTCCATCCACCAGCTGGTTGAGAACTCCGACGAGACCTTCTGCATTGACAACGAGGCTCTCTACGACATCTGCATGAGGACCCTCAAGCTGAACAACCCTTCCTACGGTGACCTGAACCACCTCGTCTCCGCCGTCATGTCGGGTGTCACCACCTGCCTGCGTTTCCCTGGTCAGCTCAACTCTGACCTGAGGAAGCTGGCCGTCAACATGGTTCCCTTCCCCCGTCTCCACTTCTTCATGGTTGGTTTCGCTCCTCTCACCAGCCGTGGCGCCCACTCCTTCCGCGCCGTCACCGTTCCCGAGCTCACCCAGCAAATGTTCGACCCCAAGAACATGATGGCTGCTTCCGACTTCCGCAACGGTCGCTACCTGACCTGCTCCGCCTACTTCCGCGGTAAGGTCTCGATGAAGGAGGTTGAGGACCAGATGCGCAACGTACAGAACAAGAACTCTTCCTACTTCGTTGAGTGGATCCCCAACAACGTCCAGACCGCCCTCTGCTCCATTCCTCCTCGCGGTCTCAAGATGTCCTCCACCTTCGTCGGTAACTCGACCTCGATCCAGGAGCTGTTCAAGCGTGTCGGTGACCAGTTCACTGCCATGTTCAGGCGCAAGGCTTTCTTGCATTGGTACACTGGTGAGGGTATGGACGAGATGGAGTTCACTGAGGCTGAGTCCAACATGAACGATTTGGTCTCCGAGTACCAGCAATACCAGGAGGCTTCCGTCTCTGAGGGTGAGGAGGAGTACGACGAGGAGGCTCCTCTTGAGGCTGAGGAGTAGAGTGGTCAAGACTAAATATCCCTGCCGGGCTTGGCTGTTGGATCATTGCGAATGCGGGTCAACAACCATGTTATCAATTCGATTCGTACTGCGAGCAATCAGGTCGTGCTTCTATGGGATGCAATGATGCGGGAGTGGTAGTCTTGATTCCCGCGACAAAGCATCGTCACGGGCAACGGCACTATTCTCCTTGAAACTTCTTGTTAGCGAAAAGATGCTGTAATCAATTATCATATGTGGAATGCTTTCTTGTGCTGTGCCATGCATGGAGAGTGATGAGTGAATTTGATGTTACTAAACTACTTTTGGCAACGTGCGTATGCATGTGTATAAACGTTTGTCTGGTATGTTTTGGCAGGCGGGGTAGACGCGTAGTTTGTTTTTCCTCCGATTGTTTTTTTGCTTACTTGTTGCTTTTTGCGGGGTACATCCATGCATGGCATGCGACCAGTTTTGTATTTGTGACTAATTGCTATAGTGTGCCAAAACGCCTCATGTCCTCTATGCCATGTCTATGAAATTCTGATGCGGGGGTCAATGACTGAAGTGAAAGTAGGACAAAAGACGCGTTAGGAGTATTAGTGCAAAGGAGAAAACGTCAAGTCACAATACTACATACACTCGCGTAGACATATCTTCTGTTAGACCTTCAAACACAGGAAACCAATCAAAGTACGGGGATAACTCATCAGAACATGCCTCAGCTACATACAGTATCGCGTAACCCTCATTCAATTCCTTGAACCTAGCCTAACCTGGAAAAACCGACCGCCAAAGATCTAGTAGCCAGACTAGATGGGTGCACAGTGGTATTACATTCCCCCCCCTCCCTTAAAACCTTCTAACTGACATACAAAGGGAAAAAAAGGAACTATAGTCGCATAGAGTGTGGGTTAAAGTAGAACAGAGGCAAGTCGAGGGTATTGGAAAGGTAACCTGCTCATGTAATGCAAGGGCGGTAATTGTGTACATATAGTATTTACATCTTACTGCTTGGTAGCTAGAGCATTAGCTTCGCTTTGGTATTTCTGATTCTCACGTTAGTACGATGATTGTATGCTGACTGTTTAGTGGGAAAAGAACATACCTGCTTTTCGCTCTCGCTCAATGATTTCCACTCAGCACCAATGAGCCTGGAGGCTTGGGGAGCAGCGATGCCCTTTAAGTCGCCGCTGGCGTGTCTGTCTCGGAAGAACAAGGCGTAGGGGTTCAGTGCGGCCTTGACGTGGCGAGGGTCGTGCAGTTTGGAAGTGTGAGAGGGGAGAGACTTCTGTTTGTCGGCGAGTCTCTTGCGCAGCTGGGTGCGAGCGAGGTTGGCAATGCGGATCTGTTGCGGGGTGTAATTCAGGATCCATTTCTCGAACTCGGCCTTCCTTGCGGCATTTTGCTCATTGGCAAGGTGGTTGTAGTGCTAAGCATGACCGTTAGTGCAAACGTGTATGAGGTAGTTGTTGACTGGAGTTGTCTCTTACCTCGAGCTGTGCGGGTGACAGGTTCTTGAATTCCTTAGTAGATTTCGTGATCTTGGACAGCTGATCGTCGCTACTGCTTGGTTTGCCCTTGATGACCTCAGATATAAAGATATTGTAGGCCGAGAGCGTCCTCTGCGTGACGGGCTCCTTCAAGGCCTTTGCGCGCAGCTGACGGATCTTGGCCCTCTCCTTTTCTTCCTCGGTCAGTGGCTTCTTCACACGCTTCTTGGCCGGCTTCTTCTTTGTCTTGTTGGCCACCTTCTTCTTAGCCGCCGGCTTCTTCTTTGTCTTGTTGGCTGCTGGCTTCTTTGCAGTCGTCTTTGCCGGTGCAGCCTTCTTCTTTGGCGGGGTCTTTTCGCTTGCGACCGCCTTGACCGCCTTCTTCACCGTGGCCGTGGGCTTGGTTGCGCGTGTAGTCGTAGCATAGGCGCGGGCATACGCATAGGCGCGCGACGAGGCGTAGGCGGGGGAGGATTCAGCGGCGCTGCGAATGACGAGCACGCGCTCAAGGTGGCGTGCGAGTTGCGGCACATTGTGTGGGGACGCTCTGGGGATGTCGGCTGCCAAGCGGCAGAGTGCGCCGGCCAGCATTGTGCGAATTGCGCGAGGGGGGGTACAATGGGGCGTGTACTGGCAATGTCAAAGGGGCGGGCGGCGTAGCTCTGGCGGGCAATTGGCGACAGTCGGTGATGCACTGAGCGTGTGAGCGGAGAGCAGGCGGCAGAGGGCAGCGGGCGGAGAGGAAACAACGTGCAGAGGAGCTCGGGAGCTAGCTACATGCTAATAATGCCCCATGTGGGAACGTCATACATACATGCATTCGTTCAGGTACATGGGCCAGTATTCACCCTTATATTCGACACGATATTGCTTCACCCGCACAGTCAAGACTGGGCTGAATTGGCACAGACACAAACGCGTGATTGAGGCCCCTCTAGTCTACTGCAAGGACATTGCCTTCTATAATTCTTCCCATCACCCCACGCATCCATAGCCCCGCAATGTCCTTCATCACGTCTATCCGTCTCATGACCTGTATGGAGAAACAACGCAAAAGAAAGCACGACTTTGATCAACCTCTGCTTGTTCAAATGACCTTGTAGCTATTGAGTGTTAGCAATTGATCGACATCGACATAGTAACTGCAGTGCACATTACCTCCATGGGTGGTCCTCGTCACCATACTGGATCGCCTCCATCCATTCCTTCATCTGCTGAGCAACAGGTCCAGCTTCAACGTGGTCCTCAAGCCCGCAGTCGATGAGACGTCCCTTCCAGCTGATCTTTCGGACTGGAGCGACAATGGCAGCGGTTCCTGCGCCAAAGATCTCCATCATGCGTCCCTCGTCAGCGGCATCGGCCACTTCCTTCATGGTGAACTTGCGCTCAGTCACAGCCCAGCCCTTGGGCACCAAGCGCTCTCGCGCAAGCTCAAGAATAGAGTCACGTGTGACTCCCTCGAGAATGGTACCGTCGAGCGGCGCAGTGAGCAGCTCTGGCTTTCCAGTCTCCTTGTTCTTGATCGCAGCGAACAAGTTCATGGTGCCGACTTCGGTAATGTACTCCTCCTCACCAAACAACCACAAGTTCTGGTGGAATCCACGGCTTGCAGCCTGCATTTGTGGCACAATGCACGGCGCGTAGTTGGCACCAAGCTTCTTGTCACCGACACCTCCTGGCCATGCGCGCACAGCATAGTCTGTGGCTTCGAGTGAAATGGCCTTGAAGCCGGTGGGGTAGTAGGGGCCAACTGGCGAAGCAATCACGTAGAGCAGTGCCGAAGCCGGAGGGCCTACACCGAGGGTGCGCTGAGTGCCGATCATGGTGGGGCGAAGGTAGAGAGAATATCCTCGTGCACTGCCATGTGGTTAGTCGTATGCGTGGGTGATGTACACAGGGCTCAAGAGTGAACTTACTCGGGAACGAACCGCTCGTCCTCCTTGACAAACTTGCCAATGAGCTCAGTCAGGGCGTCTGGGTCAAATGTAGGCAATGCAATTCGGGCAGATGACTTGTTCAGCCTGGCCATGTTCTTATCCGGCCTGAAGAGCCGAATGTTGCCGCTCTTATCCTTGTAGGCCTTCATGCCCTCGAAGCACTCGAATGCATAGTGGAAGACGCAGGTTGCGGGGTCGAGACTGAGGTTCTGGTAGGGCGTGATACGCGCTGGAAGCCATCCTTGGGTTGCTGTCCATTCGAGCGAGAGCATGTGGTCTAGGAATTGAGGGTCAGTCGCAGAGTCGACTACATAATCTACTGCGGCAGGGGCTCTTACCTGAGAAGTTACGACCAAAGACGAGTTCCTCGTGAGGCAACAGGTCCTTTGGTGTGGTCGTCCTGGTGATGCTGAGCTTGGTGGGATCAATGTCCCGGATCTTTTCGCCAACAGATACATCGGCGTGTATGCTGTACGGTCTCCTCGTCCGACATCGCAGCGAGGCGCTGAGCGGTGCTGCTGACGAGCGGAACGCGCAATGGGACAGCGAGGATATCAATCGTGACGACCGCTGCTGAAGCATTGTGATGTATACTACACAAGCAGAATGGATGTGGACGTGGATGGGAGTTGCAAGTTGTGTCAAAGGTTTATTCTTTCGGACTATGCGACCTGACTGGGGTCTAGACGTAACCGGAGCCCCTACCAGCGATGCGAACAGTCATATCGAATTACAAACGCCCGCCCTCACCGCCACATGCGAAAGGGCGTGGCCGAAGGATGGAGACTACCAAGGCGGATATTTGAGGTTATTCGCGTCATTGCCTAGAGTGCTAATGCGTCTGTGGCGGCGGCGGCAGCATACTGTACACACAGTGTCGTGTTCATGCACGCGACGTACACTAAAAGACACCCCTGGACCGTGGCTCGCGTGGGGTCTAACACTTGGCTTCAACTATCATTCAACGTGCCTACATTGACGATCCGCTAGCAACCGAGACGGTTCGGAACGCCGCGCGGAAAAGAGGGCTATTATCTGAGATGCCTGGAATTTGAACTCTCGGGCCCAGTTGTCTCAGACTCTTACGCGAATCCCAGCCCAAGAGGCCACGGTCCATGACGCCTTCGCCCTACACCCACGACATTGCCGCGCGGGCGAGACCACTGGCACCATGTTCTCCAACGCCCTAAAGTCCTTCACTTCCAACATCTCCAGCAACTACACCCTCAGTCCGCAGCCCACATCCTATTCAGGGCCATGGAAGATATACGACGCCAAGAAGAAATCAACGGGCAAACCGGCCTCCATCTTTATCTTCGAGAAGAAGTCATTGGAACCGCCTGCTGGCGCCGGCTTCGGTGGCCGCTCTGCAGCTTCGGGGCTCAAGCGGGTGCATGAGGAGGTGGTCGAACGGCTCAAGAAAGAGGCCAGCTCGCTCGCGAGATTACGGCATCCGAGTGTCTTGGAGTTGGTGGAACCTGTTGAGGAAACGCGCGGTGGAGGCCTCATGTTCGCAACAGAGCCTGTCACAGCCTCGCTTTCTGGTCTGTTACTGGAAAAGGACGAACAAGAGAAGGCTGGCGGTGTTGGAGGACGTCGCAGTCGCTATGTCATCGAAGAAGCGGACGGCCAGAAACGCAGGCGCGAACTCGAGATTGACGAACTTGAGATACAGAAGGGCTTGTTACAGATTGCAAAAGGACTCGAGTTCTTGCATGAGAGCGCTGGCTTGGTACATGCTAACCTAACGCCTGATGCCATCTTCATCAACGCTAAAGTAGGTAGTCGCAATGCTATATATGCCTCAAATTACTGATCGCGGTGATAGTCTGATTGGAAAATATCAGGTTTAGGCTTCGCAACGCCTCCGGAGAACTCTACGAAACCCACGTCCGTAACGCCGATTTCACTTGCCGAAGTCCTCAACTATGATGCCCGACTCCCTCGACATGTTCAGCTCAACCTCGATTACTCCTCGCCTGATTTCGTCATGGACAATAACATAACACCTGCAGCAGATATGTTCAGTCTGGGTATGCTCATAATCGCACTATACAATTCGCCGCACAAGAGCCCACTTGAATTCAATGGAAGCTCTTCCTCGTACAAGCGAGCTTTTTCGTCGTCATCTTCGGTGCCCAGCAAAACCAACAACTTCATGTCTTCACAGCCACTACCACGGGATCTTACCAACGGGGTCCTGGATCGCTTGATCACAAGACGCCCTGCGCAACGATTGGACGCTCGAGAGTTCCAGCAGGCACAATACTTTGACAACATCTTGGTTTCTACGATTCGATTTCTCGATTCGCTGCCGGCAAAGACTCCTAATGAGAAGTCACAATTCATGAGGGGCCTACCACGCATTTTGAATCAATTTCCAAAATCTGTAGTAGACAAAAAGATACTCCCGGCTTTGCTCGAGGAGATGAAGGACCGCGAGCTCCTCACGCTGATCCTTCAGAATGTGTTCAAGATCATAACCATGCTTCCGTCTGGCAAAAAGGCTTTCACTGAAAAGGTCATTCCCAAGTTGCGAGAGACATTCTTAAATCCGGCGGCTACAAACACGAAAGCACCAGGTCAGGAAAGAGACAGCCTGAAGGAAGCCGGACTCATGGTTGTACTCGAAAACATACAGGTCGCTGCGGACAACTGCAGTGGCAAGGAGTTCAAAGATGATATTCTTCCTATCATCAACTATGCCCTCGAGTCTCCTACCCACTCTCTGGTCGATGCTGCCCTGCGTACCCTACCTGTCGTTTTGCCGATTCTTGACTTCTCGACTGTTAAGAACGAGCTGTTCCCTGTTATTGCTAGTATATTTGCAAAGACTAGTAGTATGGGTATCAAGATTCGTGGTCTGGAAGCTTTCAAGACTCTTTGTGGTGGTGGAAATGAACAGCAAAACGACTATCAGGGTGACGACCTGACTGGTGTGGTAGCGGTACCCAAGGCCAAAAGCTCCAATGTATCGATCCTCGACAAGTACACCATCCAGGAAAAGGTTGTGCCGCTCCTCCGTGCTATCAAGACAAAGGAGCCCGCAGTCATGGTATGTTTGACTACACAAATCCCAAAACAGAAAGCTAACTATTATAGATGGCTGCACTAGATGTCTTCAAAGCTATCAGCAATTCAGTTGATAGCGATTTCCTGGCCATGGATATTCTACCTATTCTGTGGCAATTCAGTTTGGGGCCCCTACTTAATCTTCCCCAGTTTCAAGCGTACATGAGCCTCATTAAATCGACATCAGCACGTGTGGAGAACGAGCAGACCCGAAAGCTACAAGAGTTGGGCGCAAACAGCTCGACAGCAACCACACGCAACGAGTTCATGACGTTTGGAGGCCCATCAACTACGAATGGCTTCGACACCAGCAATGGGAATGGTGAGGCAGACTTTGAAGCCCTCGTACGGGGTGGGCAGCAGGGATCTTCTAGTGGTACAGACATGCTTGGAGGAGACGCATGGGCAAACGCTCCATCATCTGCAACGTCCTCGACGATTCTCCCTTCGCGTCCATCAAACAATCGAATAGGATCCAATAATGCATCTCCAGCCCCAACATTCTCCTGGTCTACACCTCCAGTGTCTCCTCCACCGATGACGAATCTCTCAGCTCTCAAACCACAGGGTCGTTCTGTCACACCGGACACGACACTCAATTCGCTCAACTCATCCTTCCCAGCTTTAAGTGCAGCCAACCCCGGTATCGGCAGCTCATCTTTTACTCAGCCTCAGCAACAGTCAAGACCGGCAATGGGAATGAATAGCGTTATATCTCCCAGTGGTACCTCAACACAAAGTTCAAGTATTGGTTGGAGTAAAGCAACAAACTCCATGTCCACGAACTCGTCTTCGTTCTCCAGCTTCCCTTCTATGGCACCTCCGCCAGCACAGTCTCAAGCTTACGGTAACCCGTATTCGTCTTTCAGTATTGCACCGCCACCTATGAAATCAGCGGCAGGCAGTGGTGCCGGTACGTTTAGTATAGCGCCTCCACCGAGCATGGGCAATAGAACGGCAAGCTCAAATAGTGGCATGGGTATGGGTATGAATAATAGTATGGCGAGTTTGCGGGCACAAACACAAAATCAGCAGCAGCAACAGTCTCAGCAACAGATGAGCTGGGGGAGTGGCGGAGATAGCTTGATTTAATTTGTGGCATACGCGGCGGGGGAGACATACCTGGTTTTATAAAATGTTTATTAGCGAGGGCGTTTTCTTGTCGTTTCTTTTGTTTCACGGTGCGCAGTACTGAGAATGCGAGAAGCACCATTCTCACGCGTCTCGTTTTATCTTCTTTCTTCATTAGACAAGGGAGAGGAGAGGAGAAAAATAGATCAGTTGTAGTTTCTGAAAAACACATTTCAAAGTTTTGGTGTTAGCAATAGAATCCGAAGATGGAAAAGACGGAAACGCCACCCGCCACCTCCACAAAAAGACAAAGGCGGTTGCCGACAACGGTTAAAAGTCGCGATAGTGGGGTTAGTTCAAGCCAGCTCTCGCTGCAAAATGCACTGGACGGGTCTATGAACTCTCTAGGACGGCTGATGAGTCGTTGGTGCCTATTGCGCATACGTGTGTAGAAGACATTGTTCTCTGGTGTGCCAAGCCGGAGGCAACACGGTCGACGACCAGGTGCCAGAGCACGTCATATGGCGAATTCATTGTTCATCAGCATAAACCCCCAATCCACGACGTCAGAGCCGTCCCGTCAGCCACAGACGCAGATGCGGCGCGATTCTGTCCAACTGATAACGACTCCAGACCAGCCAAACAGGAGGATTTCTTATGTTCCCGCGGGAGGATTGGCGAGGCTTGGTTGTGTCGAATGGCCCGCAGGTTCGCGTAAGCTAAGCAAGCCAAGTCGAGGGGTGTGGAGCTTAGCCACAGTGCTTATTGGACGCACTGTGACATCAGGATGGCTATTCTTACTTTTGCCGTGTGTAACAAACCGCCGGCCTTGCAGAAAGGATGTGAGAATGAAATCCCAGTTTTGGGAGTCGCTTGTTAAAGCCATCAGGCCGTATATCGGGCCTTGATTAACGGTCATAAAGCAGCATTTCGAGGAGGTTGATACACATGAACATGGTCTCGCTAACAGGAGCCCCAGCAAGGCAGCATTGCCGATCATGGGCCCAACGCTGAGATTTCATAGAGGCGAGGTTGGAGGGTGTCACAGTCATAGCGTGGCGCCAGTAGGCCGGAAGTGATCCACTCTTATGCTCGCTATTCGCTTTCACCGAACCTCTTAATCCCCACTAATCTTACCCTAGCCGTCCTGGAGCAGTCTCTTCGCCATCTCTTTCCCTCACTCAGCATATATAACGATCTGCGTGCCGGGCCCTTTTATCTGCGGTACAAGTCGCTTCCACTCAGGAATATCCACGTCCTACCTGCGCAATTAATGCTCTCGGAACCAACCTCCCCTTGTCGTTTTTACTACACACCTTCTAAGAGGTGTATACGCTGCCTGAAATGGCGTTGAAAGGTCTATTAGGTCGCAAGGCCTCACCATCCGACAATATTAGCCACAGCAGCAGCGACAAAGTTGCCAACGACCGAGAGAAGAATTACGACCCAGAAGCTGCCGCCGTAAAAGGAATTATTGCGCCTACCAACGATGATATCTCAGACGCCAGCATCACTATCGGCAAACAGATTGAACTCGAGGCCAACAACGTTTTGAAATATCGCACCTGCAGCTGGAAGAAGACTGCTGCTCTCTTGTTCTCCGAGTACATCTGTTTGGCCATTATGAGTTTTCCATGGAGTTATTCGATTTTGGGACTGGTACCAGGTCTTATACTCACAGCGGTGATTGCGGGTCTGGTCCTTTATACATCCTTGACGACATGGTGGGTTTCATCTTTATAGCTCATGATAGCATGCGCCTTCTAACACTATTCCAGGGAGTTTTGTATGCGTCACCCTCAGATTCGAGATGTCTGTGATATTGGCCAAATGCTTTTCTGGAATAAGAAATGGGCATTTTATGCTACTGCAGTCATGTTCGTTCTAAACAGTAAGCCAGCCTCCATGTTCCTCATTCGCTGTGTACTCGACTAACGCCCCGTATAGACGTCTTTATCATGGGTTTGCACTGTCTCGTAGGAGCCAAGTGGTGGAACACAATCACTTCACATGGCACATGCACCATTACATTCGCTGCCATCACCGCCATCATCTCGTTTGTGGCTTCTCTTCCCCGTACATTCAACACTCTGGCCACAATAGCAACCGGTTCCGCTTTGTTCACATTCGTCTCCGTCATACTCGCAGCAGCATTCTCTGGAGTCGACGGAAAACCCGCAGGTTACCCGAGTAAGGGAGAACTTGAAGTACATGCTGTACCTCCCGCTGGGACCACCTTCATCCTTGGAATGAGCGCTTTCATGAACATCTCTTACACCTTCATTGGTCAAATCACTCTTCCCAGCTTCATTGCCGAGATGAGAGAACCCAAGGATTTCCCAAAGGCGCTCTGGGCTGTCACCATCTGCGAGGTCATTGTCTTTTCCCTGGTGGGAGGTGTCGTGTACGGATATACAGGCACCAATTACATGACCTCTCCAGCATTTGGTTCCATTTCCAACGAAGTCTACAAGAAGGTGTCATTCACGTTCATGGTACCCACCATCATCTTCCTTGGTGTCCTGTACGCTTCCGTAACCGCACGATTCGTACTCTTCCGCATCTTTGGACCTACCTCACGACACAGGACGGACCATACCGCCGTTGGCTGGCTCACATGGACTGGAATTCTCGCCGTCATCTGGGTCCTGGCTTTCATCATTGCCGAAGTCATTCCGTTCTTTTCTGACTTGTTGTCCCTCATGAGCTCGCTCTTCGATTCCTTCTTTGGCTTCATCTTCTGGGGCGTTGCGTACTTTCAGCTTCGCTCGGAAAAGTACGGCCCAAGGTACTGGAGGACACGTGGGCTCCGCGGATACTTTGGATTTTTCTTCAATATTCTGCTTTGCCTGATTGGTCTGTTGTTCCTCACTGCAGGCACATACGCTACGGTTCAATCGATTATTGATGGGTATAAAGCGGATGGATTTGGTGGGCCATTTACATGCGCCGACAATGGCTTGTAATTGACTTTTTTCTTTGTATTGGGACAGTGGATATCGTTTCTTTTATATGTAATTGCGAGAGACGAACTCCGCGCCTACGCCCATAAGTAACTGAGATCCTGCGCAAATTGATTTTTCAGTATCGTTTATTCATCTTTAGCTTTTCGAAATTTGTGAGCCTCTGCATAGCGTGTCGTGCGTGCAAAAGGGCAGGAGATGGTTTCTGTCCATGAGATAGTGCCAAACTGACGATATCGATAACCTCACGTGAGCCCTATTGGATCTTTCTTTAAGTCCGTAAGAACTGACTCCTCGTGAATCTGTAATATTTTATTCTACTAAAATGGTACATACGACCATTGGAAACTGAGAATTAGTTCTCTTATCCGATCAGCCAGACATTGAGGTACTGCTTACGGGTCATTTACTACAATTGCACTCCGGAAACAGAATCAGGTAAGTTGTTACTGTTTCAAGGTTGAACCAGGCGAGTACGACTACCTCCAGCCGTGCCGCCTGCCCACCATGATCGTGTTTATAGTTTTTAGCAATCTTTGAAGCAACAAGGCGTGCCCAACAATTATGCGCACGCTCATGCGCCGCCTACACGGTGGTCTCCGATATCTTCTGTTTCTGTTTCTCTTTCCCTTGTCTCTCATGGCTTCATGCCAGCTCATCGCCCTTCCCATCTGCGACGACAGACCCTGCTCCTCTCCAAGATAGACCGAAAACGAGGCACACACTCCAAATCTGTCGGCGACCCACAAGAGCGTGCAAAGGCTGTGCAAATTACAACCTGTCCTTCTACACGCAAGCATGCAAGGTGTCAGAAGATGGGGTTTGAGGTGCAGGTGGAGCAAGAGTTGGGGGTCAGGATCTATCTGAACCAAAATGGCAGAGACGCAAAGGGGGTGAGGAGATGTGTGGCGCAAGATATTTACAGCGTGGTTTTATTGATGCGAGGGTTGGCGGATGGTCAAGGTGCACAGAGGAGGTGGTATTGTATCACAAGGGAAGATGAGTGATATAGGGGCATGTAGTTGTTGAAGCGGTTCAGATTTCATGCTCTTTTTCTTGACCCAGTGTCTCATGCTTAGGGAGTGATAGTGCTGGTGTGATCGGATCATTTGTCGTGAAGGTTTCTAAATACAGAATAACCAATGTATGGAAGTCCGCCAGTGCTGGTCGTTGCCGGCAATCCACAATTTCACTCATCTCGGCTACTTCGCATTTCATGTGTCCTCAGGTATCTCGTTCGCTAGTGCTCTGAACAGTGTTCGTGCTATCTGTGCCTATTGCTCGTTGTTGCTCCCGCTCAGCTGAGGCGGGCTCTTTTGGTAATCTGCATGTCCCCTTCCGCCGCGGTCTCATCACCGAATGTGATTCCTTTCCAGGAAGTCGTTGTATTAGCCTTTGGATATCTCTCTCCCCACATGATATCTGTAGATCGTGGTTTCGCAAGAGCCTTGATATCTTTTCGCACAATCGAAGGTGCAGTCGGCCCAGCGCCTCGACCAAAAATATAGAACGGCTCTGCTGTTTTGTTAAGAACAATCATAATCCTTTCATCTCGAGAGCGTTCTGGCAATCTCACGCTCGCTGAGATATTGTGCACGTCACTCCATGCCGGCAGTGAGAGCAACGCTTGTTCATGATTTCTGCCATTGGCCGAATGTACCAGCTTTATGGCGCGATTTGATGCTCCTGCGTCGAAAGCAAGACTGGTAACACTTCCATCAGTGTGTTGCACAGGTTCGTTTGTAGCCATGGATCCTGGTAAGCTATGCATCTTCTGCACTGCGGTTTGTCTCGGTGCACTCGATCCAAAACTTTGTGAAGACACTTTTACTTTTCCTGATTCATGTTGCTGCTTGGCGACATTGTATACATGCAGATCCTCAATAGATTTTGTAAACAAGGAGGCGTTTTCATAGAGCTGATGTATGATTGTCGTACCACAGGCTGAGAATTGAAGCATCTTGATGCGCGATGCTAGCTTAGTAACGTAGCAAGCCGAAAGGCCGCCCTCGAGAGATCTGAATGAGAATATGTCGTGGTTAAGAAGGACAATTTCATCTCCGGGCTTTTTGAACAGCCAAAGCACAATATGGGAGTCTCCAATCTGCGACTTGTAATGGAAGGCGATGAGCGGATATTGGGGATGGAAGGTAGGGTGTAATATCGACCCCACTGATCCATCACCCGTGATACAGCCAACGAGCTTTGGGCTTTCCAAATGCCTAACATCCCGCCAATACACTGCCATACTACTTGTCATGTCATCTTCTTCGTTCAGTGTACCACGGCCGTCAATACCTTGGAGAAGGACATAATCGCGACAGGTCAGCAGACGGTACGCAGGCATACTGTCCAGACGGATGATCTTTTCTTTAAAAGATTCATTGCATATCTGTTCTGGGAAATCTTGTTTATTCTTGACCACTTCTTTTGGTAGTCCCATAAGCAATGTTGCATGCTTAGTATGACGTATAGGCAGAGGGGTTGGATTCCACATCTCTACGGCCTCTGCCTCCTGTTTGGTTGATGTTCCTGCTACGAGGCGTTGTTGGCAATCGAAAACAGTCGTTAGCACAGTAATTGTGCGCAGATCACCACTAATGCTAGTAGGAAAGTGTACTGCAAGTTCTCTCCTTGTCTTTCGAGAGCCATCCGCTATAACATCGGTTTTGATGAACTTCTGAAATTTGGCGTGCTGTGACTGTACTTCGATCTTATCGAGCACAATGCGATAATCCTCCACGAGGATAGGATCGTCGAACTCGATGTTCCAGAGCTCATATTGCGCAATCCATTCATCAAAGATATCTTCTGTGGTAGTTCGTATCGCTCGTGAGGCTGACGGTCTCCAATGGGCCTCGAAGGCTCTGGCGTTCGAGTCAGACCTCATTCTTGTTTTCTTGTTTCCAATATCACTACAAGTAGATATAATCTAAGACTTACCTAGAGGGCCAAATAGTAAGAGTTGCCAGGAAGTCTGTTTTTGGGTCATCCCTCGAGATCTTGCTCAAAGGTACGCTACTCCGTCCTGACCAGTGGGAGCGCTCCGATACCAGAGACTTGATAGCAACAGCACCAGTTGTAACGAAGAAAGGGCTAGATGTAAAAGCAGTTACATCCTGCCATATATGATGAGGTCCAGCAACGAGGGTGTCACCCCAGAATTGGTGCAAAGTCGACAGGTCTTCTGCAAATGCTATGATTGCTGGCGGTACGCTTGCTGAATCACCCGGTAGCCACCCGAGATCGTAGCTTTGAATCCACTGTGACCATTTCAGCAAGGCGGTATGCAAGGCGTCATGCGCGTCCGATCTTTTCTCGAAGGTGTATTTTAATTCAACCCAAACCATTGGAAGCAATCTGTTCAAGAGAATTCTAGCTAGAATGGTTGTCAGCTTCTCTATGATGTCTCGGAAACCGGTGATTGGGTTTGCATTCCACATGGTCCCCGGAACCCCCATATTGATTAGATGTCGTGGCCATTGCAGTGTTGCATAACTTATAAATGGACGCAGCTGATTTAGGGTATCTAGACATACAGGGTCCAAGATATTTCCGGAAAGAGGAGCGGCTGGTATTCTCCAAACAATATATTCAAGACACTGTCTTGCCAATTCAGCCTGTATTTGAGGTGCAGCAGGTAGGAAGTAGTCAATACTTCCGGTCTGACAATAGGCTCTGGCAGATGAGGAATCACATCTCGATCGGAAAAATTCGCGAACGGACAGATGTATGAATACGTATATGGTTGGTAAATTCGGAAAAGCTCGCTTCTCGATCAAGCTGCCACTAAGGATGATGACACTGCTTTCAAAATCGGTAAATTCCTCTTCCTTTGGCCTCAGAGTAATTCCCTTCGGAACTTGCGCTAATTCGCCTTTCGGTAATGGTGTCAGAACGTCTTGTAGTTGGATGGTCGTAAGAGGACGTTCTGCGAAAGTAAGCCATCCAAAAATACGACGTGCCAAAGACTGCTCAGAGAGTGGTTTCTCTGAGAGATGCTCCAGGATTCGGACATACATGTCTTCAAGTTTTTCCGGTGTAGTAAGAGCCTTGATGATATCCAGACGTTGCCACGGCGTAAAGGCCTTGGATTTCAAGTGGATTATCATTAGCTGAGCCCACTGAAACATCCCGTCAGCGCCCTTGACAAGGTTCCTGGTCATCTCGTCAACGCTTGCAGACGCCGGAAGGATATTGAGATCTTTTAAGCTACTCAGGTGGGTTTCAAAAAAGTGTTCGAGATCGCGAAGGTTGTGCGAGCGATCGATAGTAACGACTTGCCGCGATGGCAGTTTTCTGCGTAGAAATTGGACATCGGGCCGGCTGAGAAGCAAAACTCTGACTCCAATGTCCCCGAATGTTTCGCTGAAATCCTGAAGCAAGGTTTCTTCTTCCTCGCATTCATCTACAGCATCAATAATGATGGTCCAATCACCTACATGGTTGGCTACTGTTTTCATGATGTCTAATAGCTCGTTGTTCGTAGCCGTTGCCTGACCGTGTCTTCTTTTCGTGAACATGGCGAATGAGAATATCTCCAGCACATCCCGGTTGTCCGAAAACTGGTGGAAGAGCTTGCCCAATATCGCGCGATATGCTTTGTCACGAGCTGTTGCCTTTCCTTTGTCTGAATTGTACTCGAAGAAATAATAGGCAACGATCGGACTGAGTTGCGTTGTGTAATTCATATTTTCGAGCATTTCCTCCACCACAGATGCTGCTAAAACACTCTTTCCAGTACCGGGATTTCCTGTGCCCTGTGAGCTTAGATCTATGCTCTGATGGTAAATAACTGACCTCGGATCCACAAGAAATTAGCCATCGGATGTACAGGCTTGCTCAAAAGGTTGGAATTGGCCCACGCAAGAAATTCTTTGGTTTGAAATATCCACTCGGCAGTACCTTCCAGGCGCTTTTGTTTCATCAACTCAAGTGCATCAGCGAAATCTGGAGGACGTATCCAAGCTCTGATTTGTTCACATAGTGATTCTAAATCGGTTCAGTAGGTTTCCGCTCTTCTCTTCAGTGCACATACTATGTTTTTGACTTGTGAACTCTACATTCATCGCGCTTAGAGTGGTAATATGGTGCTGTACATGCTTCTCTATCTGGGATTGGTAGTACTGTATCGTGTCTTGGTTGTCGGCTATTTTATCAGATGTACTGAGTTGCAGTAAATCAATCTCAAATCTGAGTATCCCTCGATGGGAGTCAAGGCGTTGAAGAATATTGGCAAAACGTGTGTTGAATGGTGTCCACAGTAGACTGCCGATAACGGCAGGAGTCTTTCTGAGTTCTTGCATACTTAGTAACTTGATACGATCAGCTTCAATCTTAACATACTTCCATTTTTTTGAGAAAAAACTCGGGTGACACTCCTGAAAAATTCGAAGAGATCAACATAGAAAGCACGAAGTGACTTCCTAAATCCATCAGAAAATTGGGTCTGGACTTTAGTCTTCGCCAATAGCTCAGAGATATCGTTGTATGCTGGAATTTTCCTGGAGAGCTCCTCGAAGATTTGACAAAGTTTGTCAAAGAAGGTCCCGAAATTGCTGGCCAGCTGATATTCGTCAATCGATATCTCTAAATCGTTCTAATGAGTGAGCTCACGAACCAATAGTACTAACCGAAAAGAGCCCCATGCTACTGCTGCAACTTCAGGATGAGACTGGACGACTGTACCTACAACGTCGAAATAAGGTTGCAAGCAGTCTCCACATCTCTGCACACAACTTAGTAGCTTGACCCATCTCCTGTTCGATTTTCGAAACTTTTGTAGATCCTGTATCGCCGCAAGAAAACTCTGCGAATCATTGATCGCAATGAATTGCTTTTTTTCTTCGTCAGAGAGCTGAGCGAGAAATTCTGTATGCGCTTGCTGGTACTCAGCCATCCTCTCGATTTGAGACGCGCCTGCTATCCTACTGGCATGTTTTGGAAGGATGCAGGAGGATCACTTCGCCGAAACATCCTCTTATATGGCGTTACACGAACACAGCTAGTAGGCTGTGCAGGCACGGCGGTCTCAGCCTCCACCAAATTTTGGGCAGAAGTGGCTGCGCCTACCTCGTGAGAACAAGGCTGTTCGTTAGGCATACTCGCGTCTGCTTACCTTGTTAATACTTCGAAACACAACAGTCTGTTCGCGTACATCGGTAATGATATACGCCCACAATTCGAAGCAAATGACGACTGAGACACTTATTGACTATGCTTACAAGTCTATGATCTTGAAAGGCTCTTCCTGTTGTGTCTCTGAACACGGGGTTCAGCTTCAGCCCCCGTTAAAGTTCTCCTAGTAACAGTGTCATATCAAAGCGTTTACTACATGCGAGCCGTAGCTGCACTAATCTATCTGAAGCTACCTCAATAGGTCTATATGTATAAACGTGCAGCTGCCGACAAGTTCCAACTACGGACAATGCCATCCGTGTGTTATCGCACAACAGTGCATTCTGTCAAGCCAACTTGCACTGCCTTGCAGCTACAGCTTTGGCGGCGGTACACCCTTCTCCCAGCGGATATGTTGATTGGTATTCTAGTGCTGTAGCTGATGTTGGTAGAGCGCTTAGCTGTCAGGACCATTGAAGGATTTCAGTCTCAGCGCGAATCGGTCGTGTCAATTAGGTCTACTCTCTCCACTCGCTCCAGTCACTTGATGTGGTCTTGGCACGTTTCTCATCAGGCTTCTTGGGACTCTGAATACTTTCCATACGTACCACTTAATATGTTGTAATGACGCGACTAGATTATGAATGTCGACGAACTGCACGTGACGTTCCCCATTTGGATGGTTCGTCCGCAAAGCCGAGCTATGACGTTCAGTAGCTCCACATCTGCCGAGCGACACATGCTCAAGCTCGGTAAACTGACAACATCCCCCAAATCCCTCTTAACACGGGTCACTTTCGTCTTTTTGTTTCACCTGCCTGGTCGCTGTTCGTGCAAGTCCTACCTCATAATCCTCGGAATCATGTCTGAATACATCGACTTCAGCAAGCCCAGTCTCTGGAGTAAGTATTGCGATCAAGCCTTGCCCCACTCGTAAACACAAAGACTTACAAGGCAACAGTATCTGTGGCCAGCATTGCGTTCAACCCTACCTTTTGGAAGTGAGTTGGCATCGTCAAACTTTTGTAGAATATACTGACATATGGTATAGCATTGCAGCTCAGCAAGGTATGTACTTAAGGGTTGCAACGGACAGCCATAAAAACACGCAAACGACACGAGCCTAACTAGTACCAGAATACCACAACAAAGCCATTACAAAAATCTTCGGTGGTAACTCGCGACTTGGTTGCTATGCGCTCGCTGTGACCATCTTTTCGCTGGGTATCTTCAGAGACTACCTGTACGTACAGAGGGTGAAACGTCATTCGCGGGGCATTTCAATCCTTCGTCTATCGACTTCGACCGCTAACAAAACCCAGCTACAACGAAGCTCTTGCAGACCAACCCACACATCCAGCACTCCTGTCTCCTGCAATAAAGTACTCGGCAATCCCGCTTTTCCTCACTGGAAATGTCCTCGTCGTGACCTCGATGTGGGCTCTTGGTGTCACTGGTACTTATTTAGGAGACTACTTTGGAATCCTCATGGATGAGCCCGTCACGACCTTCCCTTTCAACGTCTCCAGCTCTCCCATGTACCATGGCTCTACCATGTCTTTCTTGGCTACTGCGATCTGGTATGGCAAGCCAGCCGGCATCCTCCTTTCTGGGCTGGTAGCGGTTGCCTATTCGATTGCATGCAAGTGGGAGGACCCCTTTACGGCCATGATCTACCGCAAGAGAGAAGAGGAGAGGTCCAGGGGAAAGAAAGGCCAGTAGAGATCTCTATTCTGCGGCTGACACGATGGGGCAAGGTAGTGTTAAGCCAGAGACAACCTACACCGCCCAAAATACACGCACTCTGATAACCACGCTTCGGCTGAAGAGTAGCGGAGAAAGAGTTGGAACAGCACGTCTTTTCAACACCGGCGTCCAGGTCTATCTTGAAAAGGTATTCAGCTGCCAGCTTGTTGAGGAGTATACATAGGAGCATTAAAAGCACATTTGATTTGCCATGACATCATAGCCCAAAGCGACAAGACCCAGAGCGACATCTCCTTATATCTTCCGCCGGTAAGTAAGGTACCGTTGGCTTGGTGATGACGCTGGTTCAACTTGGAAGGACGTAGCTGTTACTGTGCCTCCTGTTAGACTACAGGTCTTCTCATGCGTGTTTTTTCCCAGTCACTTATTAAATTGAGAGTTGTTGTGCGGTTCACAAGTAGATCGATCACTACGTGGTATTAATAAGATGAACACAATGTCTTATCTTTCAACATTCTTGATAATCCATGACACAGAATTGCGAGGCAAGCTCAGCGTCAAAAATAGGATCTGATGTAAGCCTACCTACTTCTACATAACTATAGTCCGTGCGACTACTACAATATCCTTACCACACCTCTAGCTGAACAAGAGGGTTAACGCTATTTGCCAGCCTCGATAGATACGCCGAGTACATTGCATCTGTATTATGAAACTTGTTTGGATAACTATGCACAGTGTGTTTTTCATGTGAGTTTGAGTTGGGATTTAGTGGTGTGGATCTGGGGTGTATGCATATGTGTGGGGTTCGGGCTAATGCGGGAAAGCATCAGTGTCGTAGATAAGGTTAGGCGGGACGGAAGGGACGGAAGGGGATCTGGTTTTGCTGGGATGGTACTAGAACTATGCAACTATGACTACATATCAAGATGCAGGAGTGTTGGTTGTGGATTGTGATTGGGTATAAAGTGGCGGTAATTATTATTTAAATTCTATACTACCGCTTGATATTTGCGCAGAGGAGGGGGTGGTTGTCAATAGTGAATAGTTGATGTTGGCAACATAAAAAGTGATAGAATAGCCAGCGCTGTGATCTCTAACATTACAGACTGTTACGATAGGAGAAAAATGTAAAAGCAGATGGGTATGATGCTTTTCTATGTACAAAGTGCAGTAAAGACGGACTGAGCTGCTAGAAAATGAGTGACCGTCATGCCGTGCGTTTCATTGGACTTGTTTTGACATTAAAATTGATGTAACGTCCTAAGTGGAAAACAAACAATGTGATTACATATCACGGGAGGCACCGCCCCTTGAAGGCCTTGAGCTGGGTGGGTTTCCAGCATGTGGCACACCGTTATGGTTCAGGACGCCCAACTCGCTATCGTCCACACTGTGTGAACCCATTTGGGCATCTGTCCTCCTCCTTGCGCTTGCACCTGCCTTGTTCCATCCCTCTGTGCCAACGTAAGAGCCCCTGCCTACGCCAATACCCCATGCACGCTCGTAGCTTCGTGGTCCCCAGGCCCAGCCCGCACCTCGCGTGACGGGGAGGTGGTACCAGCGGAATGAGAACCACGCACAGGTTACACCGATCAATGTGCCAAACAGCATGTCGAAGCCAAAGTGACGGTAGTCGGTGTAGCGTGTGCTAGTAATGTAAATGGCAGAGCCAATCGGTACGAGAATGAGGACCAGAGTGTATACGGGCGGCGCAGCATTTTGGTAGCGAATGGGGACTACGGCATCGTCGCTGTACGCTGCGGATGAAAGAGAAGTGTCTTGCTTGTGCACTGGCAGCGTAGTTTGCTTCTTGAGGTTGGATGGGGTGACGGCCGAAGTGTAGGCTGGGTTCGTTGAGAAAGGACGGGGTGGAAGAAAGGGGATTGCGACGCTGAATTTGGAAGCCAGAAAGAGAGTGAGATAGAGGAGACCGGCCCATGAAACTAAAGGAGTAATGGTTAGCAAAAGTTCATCAGCAAGAGGGGCGCGAAAAATGGCTTACAGCTGGAGTGTCCACTTGGGAAAGACTTAAAGCCGTCTTTGAGGCGATCATTGTCTGTCTGAGTGCAGATGCCAGAAGTGACGAGTACCCAGGCTGGATCAAAGATATCTCCAACAACGGGGTTTACGGCGAAGTCGGCGATGCGATTAAGATCTGGCTTGCACCTCGACAGCAGGTCTGGTCTCGGCTTTCCAAACAAGTTCTTCATGCCCTGAGTGATCAAAAAGGCCGTCGCAAGTGAAAGCGCCAGGCCCATCCATCCCGTATTCCACTCCCAGAGCTTCCTCCTCCAAATGAGCGCCTTTGGTGTTCCGCGCTCGGCCGTAGGTCCAGGGACGAAGATGAGACATACTACCATGATGATGCCAGCAGGCGCAAGGAGCGAAACAACAACCAGAAGCCAGGTGGGTATCATTTCGCTCGTCTGGTAGGGATATGAGATGTTGAGGTCGACGGGTGAGAAAGGACGGCGGAAGGGTTCGACATACTCCCAGCCGGCAGCCACGGCTGCGATGGCGATGATGACGATCCAGTCAAAGATGTAGGATGCGACCAGTCGTGCCGACGGTCTATTAGTTCCTTTGAAGGCCTGCATGTTTACCATGCTCGAAAGAATGTGTACAACGCCAACGAAGTAGAGGGTTATGGAGGTGGATGGTTAGAATCAAGTAGTGCGAGTGTCAAACGTTGCAGACGGCTCAGGTTGACAGGCGCATGGGCGGATGCTTTGAACTTGTTGATCTTGGCGGGAGTGTCGAGTGTTTTGGGTATGATTTGAAGTGCTAGTGCGTGTCACCGAGAAGAAAAGCAAGCGTAGTTTGACGTGTGCAGTGTGGAGCGGGTGCAAGCATGAATGGTGTTACCATGGGCGAGTAATATGATGATTGAGAGATGATAAGTGACGGAGTGAAGGGTTCAAGGGGTGAGGCAAGAGGGCACGCGATAACTGCCAAGTGCCCAGCGGGACGGCTTGAGGCTGTGAGGGCAGGGCTCGAGGCGGTGGCCTGAATGGATACGGCGGCGTCTCAGCAGGCGCCCAGAGCGTTGCCAGTCTATTGCGTTTGCGCCGGCGTACTGGCGTATGCGCTGAGACTGGACGTCGGTCGGGTCGGACATGGACGTATGCTCTAAGTACACTATTGCCATACGTGGAGTGATGATGATGGCCATGAGAATGATGATGACAATGGCTGTCGGAATGCGGGTGCTAGGACGGCCAGGGTTTAGTCCAGGACATGATGTGCGACGGTAGGGGCAAAGTCTCCGCACCTCCGCCCACGTCATCCTCTGTGCTTGGTTTTTCTTAGCTGTTAGGGCTGGCCCGGAGTTGTGTGTTGTGCCTATACGCAGACGCAAACGCAGACGCATACGCACGGTACAGTCAGTCGTGCAGCACCGAGGCTCAGCCCCAGTGACTGCGTCTCCTGCATCCGAATACGGACAAATACGAATATCCAGCACGCCCGAAAGCCGGCCACCGTCAGACAAGCGCATCCAAGCCAGCCAGCCCACCATGGCGCTACCGCCGCCAACCATTGACCTATTGCTCAACCTCATCGACACCCGCCCGCAGTCCATCCTCACGTCGCTGGCACAGCACCCGCACCTAGCCTCGGCGCGCGATGCTCATGGCTACTCTCTGGTCCACGCCGCCGCCTCCTACAACCAACTCGCCGTGCTGCGCGACCTGATTCAAAAATTCAATGCCGATGTCAACATCCTAGACGAGGACGGCGAAACGCCCCTCTTCGCAGCCGAAAAAATCGAAGTCGCAAAATGCCTGGTCGAGGAGCTGGGTGCAGACACTAGCATGCGTAATGGTGAGGGTCAAACGGCCGAAGACAAGATTGGCGAAGAAGAAGGCGAGGCACACGAAGTCTACCAGTACCTGAGGAGTCGGAGAACTGGCTCTGAGCCAATACCGGCGGGTCTTGTAGAAACTGAGAGTGTACACCCCCCGCCGCCATTACCCGGCGGTGTCAAGGTCAATATGGGCACTATGGAAGAAGATGCCGCTGAGGCGCCAGATCCGGAGATACGGCGGCGGATCGAAGAATTGGCGGCGAGAGACGACTACAACTCGGAGGAGGTGCAGAGTCAACTGAGAGAGCTCGTGCAAGATGTTGTCAGTGGCATTGGAGGTGAGGACGGAGGAAGAAGCGTAAAGAGAAGGGTCGACTGAGGACGACAACAAACCACAGCAACAACCGCCGCACCAACCAACCACACATCACGTGCTTGGAAGGTGCCCTAAAAGAGATGCAAAAGGGATGCAAAAGGGATGCAAAAGGGATCCCCACAAAGTATGCCAGCGACAAGCCCCGTCGGTCATTGTCGAGCCAAAATGAGAAAGGCCCCGAGTTCCTCCCACTGTGTGACTAGAAAACAGTCCAGACCATCCAGATAGTTCTAATAAATCATAAAACCAAGCTGTTTCACCATGTCCTTTCCTCATCACGTACTACTCTAATTTGATTTCGTGGGCCCTTCATCTCCCCGCATCTCCCCCACATCCTGCATTCTCATGTCAGTTTGCCAGCACGTCTGGACGCAAACCATCCCAGCAACACCAATCAACCTGCCCTGACTGATACTATCAATCAACAGCCTCATAAGCCCTCGCCAAACTCTATTTCCCTTCTGACATTGGTGCCGGACCAGTATGTTCAGCATCTCGTTGTAACCCTAGTCCTCTACCCGACCTATCGGATACGGTCCCGTTGTCGATTGGCCAGGTCCGGGTTAATCACGGCCCCATGAAACCGGCGATACTTATACTCCACCCTGCACGATTCACAAATCGAGTGTCTGAAAAGGGTTATGCCTCCGTCTGTACTTATTAATCATAGAGACTGTGAGGTTGTGTGAGTTGGGCGCTTAACATCATGGCGGCTATTCTTACGCCTGGTGGTGTTTGTGAGAGTCGATGGTATCTCAAAACTGCTGCACAGCAGTCAGTATTTACTGTAGCAGTACTATGTAGTGTACACAAAGTCGTTAAGCGCAGTCTATGGGCTACTATGCAGGGGTGCATGTCAACGATCATGCCCATCACCAACCTACAACCTGAGTCGGAGCAAGAAGATCAACCAGGCATTTGCCTCGACATCCTGACTCAGTAGATGCGGTTCTTGCATCACGCCTTTTATCTCCGCCCTATCCCCGGGCACCCGCCCAAGTCGCAGTCATACCAAACCTACCGTTAACGGCAAAAAAGACGTCCAATCTCAGTACAACCCGCCCGTTGATTGCAGTCGCATTACTTCGGACTTTCTCTGTCGGACGTACTTCCCTCTTGGGCCCACCTTTGGACCTTCTATGGCTCGCATTCGCGCCGACGGCATCGGTCGCCATCGGCGTCGGCCTTTTCTTCTCTCCTTCTTTTTCCTTCGAGCCCTCTCTTCTCGGCACAAAAAACAAAACTAAGCCTACGCCGCCTCGGCGGATTTACATCGCCACTGATGCTTTCAGGCCCCCCCTCTTCCTCTGCCCTGCCCTCCGCCCCCCGTGCTCCACCCTCCCCCCTTTGATATTTCCAACCACTTGGTTGTTTTACTGCAAAGGGAAGGGAATGTGAAAATGTGTTGATTCTAGTCGGTCAAATACGCTGCTTTTTCGGCGCTGTTCGGTCTGTAGAGTGGGTTTTTACTGCTTGTCAACTGGGGTTGACCACGCTTACACAATGCTTGCTCAGCACAACGTGTGTCTTCGTACTTTGAGTTCAGAGGTAGTGGGATGGTAAGAATCAGAAGGGCGTGAGGGGGGATCATTGGTCCATAGTGTTGCAGTTACTGCCATTATCGTGATTCTACATAGTCTGACTCCTATATGGTGTTTACCTATATGATATGAACTTATTGCATCATTAACCTCTATATCACATCTTCAGGCCCCCGATTATACCCAAACAACTCAATTGATTATAAACTGATACACAAAGTAAGTCAATCCACCCAGAAAACCATAACCTGAAGCCATATTCAACACTTAGATGTGGCAAAGACTAACCATGAGCCGCATCCACAAACCTACCTTGGCACAAACCAAAGCAACCCACAAAAGAGCCCCATCCTCTCCCTCCCCACATAAGAGCCTCTCATCCACATGAGGAAATTAAACGGGAATGACCTCTCTATTCAGTTAGCCCGCCCTTTCACCACCACTTACCTCCACCTCCTGAACAACTCGCCCCAAACACCTACGACCCGGCCCGCTCCCCCCTTACCCTTGAAACCTTAATCCCAAAACAAACAAACTCCACAACGGAACATACCATCCCTCTATATATTCCTCATCAAACAACTCAGACCGCAAAATGAAAAATATCTTATTACAATCTATGTATACATATAAGGAATCAAGGCAAAAAAAAGGAAAAAAACTGATGGGGATGAAAGATTGTTGGGGGAGAAGGGAAAAAAAGTAAAACAATAAGCCCCACCCGCGTCCCTATACTCGATCATTTAGGTGTTAATTACCCGTTTGGGAAATTGTGGCGTAGCAGAAAGAGAGAAAGGTGGGTCAAAAGGAAATAAAGAGAGGACATATGTTGCAGTTGAAGTTCTTATAGCTTGTGCATCTCCCTCTACAGGTAACTCTCTACTATTGTGTATGTTGAACGTAGGAAGTTTGCAAGCTGAGTAGTAAGTTTGCAAAGGACGAATTGTCTTATCTAATCGCCGCAATTCCAAGATAATACATATACGAGATGTCATGCAGCAATCACCTTGCATATGTACTTAATATGTACCTGATTTTCCCCACATATAGTAAGTACTATAATACCCACGCGCCCCAGTCTATACCATATTCCGATACGTCACCCCCCGCCCGCCCATCATAATCAACACTGAATCCCGTATTTCCTCAGCGTCTCCTTCGCAGTCGTAATCCTTATTCCGATCCTTTTTGCACACAAAAGTATTAGTCTACGCAACCATGCACCATCACCACAAGAGAAGGTCTAAAAAGAAGAAAAAGGAAAAAAAACGTACCTGGCATCTAAATCGTAACTTCCCCACTTCGTAACTTCATCCAACCAATCCCTACACTGTCCCAACACCTCAACATGCTCCTCAGGATGCCCCTCTGCATCCGCCACGCGCCAGATATTCGCCGCCATTTCATACCGTGCACATGGCGCTGTCCAATTATCTTTCAGCCCCCCCGTCAGCAGCGTGCGATCCACGGGCAACACTTCCTTCTCAAGCAGAGCCTTGGCTTCAGCTGGCTGCCCCATATTGCGTAGCGTAGCAGCACGGAGAACATGTAGTATGGCTTTCTCGTCGATGCCTTCCTTGTCCCAGTGCGGGTTGGCGGAGGACTCGCTCCACGCGAGGTTGGCGAGCGAGACAGCGAGGTGATCGTTACGCATGCGTTTGTAGCCGTTCCAGAAGTATATCATTTCTTCAATAGGGGAGATGCCCACGGCGTCGATGAGGGCGCACTTCCATTCTTTGGCGCGGGCTTCCCATTTTTGGATCTTGCGGCTGACGAAGACGTCGAAGGGGAGTTGGCGGGCCATGAACTTCTTTTTGCCCGTGTTAGGAATTACCTTTTTCATGATTTCTTCGGCTTTTTCGCCGTACTTCTTTGCTTCGGTGGGGTTTGTGGTCTTGTTTTTTCGGCACAGCTCGATGTAGGACGCGGCAATGATGTAGTAGTATAGTCCGTGACTCCAGTTGTTCAGAGTGATGCATTTCTCGAACCCAGCGGCAGCGGCCTCGTATTCGTGCATGTACATGTTGTTGAGACTACGTTCGAACCAGCCCAGGGCCTCAAGTTGCTTGAGCTTCGTCTCGCCCGCCTCGGCTATGAATTGAACAGCCTTTTCGAGCTCTTTCTCAGATGCCAGCATTCGGGATTCCTCAAGAAGCCACAGATGACTCTGGGGATACCTTTCACGCATGTAACGGAGCAAAGCCATGCATTTCTCCTTGGGATATGCGCCCTCTCCGTGTGATGGGAGAATGTCGCAGAAATTCGTAAATCCGTTTAGATATCCCATCAGGACCACACCTGCCATAGCACCATGGATATTGTCAAACTTGGTCGCTTGCCACAGCATTCTCATGCCTCGTTCTCGGTCACCCTTAAAGCCGACTACCTTCAGCAAGGTAGCAAACGAGGGCGGTATAAATGAGAGAATGAGTAGTAACATTCCAAAACAAAAGTTAGATCCAGACAGAACAAACGTGTCTACTGGGTGATCACTAAAGGAAGCAATGTCCTCGCCCTCATCGCTTAATGTGAGCCGCTCAAAATATTCAATGGCGTTTGGCATCGAGGAAGATGATGTTTCTCCTGTCACAGGCAGAGCCGGTGCCGAACTAGATTCTACGTTAGCCCTCTTTTGAGCATTGTCCAGTTCCACTGAAGCATTCTTGTCAACAGGAACATTAATGTGACCCGTATATTCCATAGGTGTCGCAACGTCCGGCCGGTCTTCTGCAGCATCCACAAATTCAAAATCATTGTCGTTGTCATCGTTTGCAGCCTTTTTTGTCTCCGGGGTAATTGTCGTAGTCTGTTTGAGATCGGACGTCGAGCCTGTGGCAGATGCATTCGCAGATGCAGCACCGTTGGAGTCCTGAACCTTGCTACTCTTCAAACTCGAAGGGCCTGATCCATCTTTTAAAGAGCCACTCGACCCTGTCGAGTTGAGACTGCTTGTACTCCTTTCTTTAAGGAAGTTCTTCTCATTCTGTATCACACCCTCCAACGCAATATATGCTTTCCTCAGCTTGTAGAAACTCTTGATGGCTTCAGTCAAGCTCTCGTTGAGCACGCCAACAACCGCACTCATCAACTGTGCTTCCGCCATGCATACAACATATTCAGTGCCCGGGGGGTATATCGACGATCGATACGAGTTTGGGTCTTTGCTAGCGCGTCGTTGTTGTTCGTAGGCTGAATTCTCGGCTACATACAAGGCATTGGCGGCTATGCTTCATGTTAGTCTAAGTTGGGAGGACCGAGGGTGGGCATCTGACAATACCTTCGCGGACGATTTCCGGTTCAAACCCCAACGTTGCCCTCATAAAGACGCATACACCTGCTCCGAGCTGTAGTATATAAGCCCAACACTACATGGAATATGTCTGCAAGTTGAACGTTAATACATACCTGGTGAAATGGCGAACTGCCCTTGTTAAGGTGAATTTCGGCGTTTTCGATGTCGTCGGCCATGATATAGTTAACAGCTATGTTCGCACGCCATTAGTCCTCTATGCCACATTGCCCGAAGCAGACAATCAGTAGGATTCCTACCACCCATAGCTTCCTGAACTACCGAGTGTCAGCAACCCATTCTGCCTCATGAATACCACAAGCCTCACTCTGTGCAAACTCATCTAAAGAGTCAAGACTCTTCGAATGTCCAGGCGTGTGGCCTTTGAGCCACCCACCGACTTTGAACATGTTGGCTAAAAAGAAAGTCTGATAGGCGGGGGAGAAGATCAAAGCTTCGCCAGCAGAAAAGTTGGGCAAGGGAAAACGGAGCAAAAGTTGAGGGAGGAGAGAGAGAGTATAGTATATTACAAGGGTCCGCGGATAGCGGGATAGCCCTAGCAAACGCGATGAGCGGGTATCTATGTATGCATTAACCTAGTAAGCAATCCAGACAAACGCGCCTAATGCGTCGGAGCTAAACGCAGCACGTCATGCACTTTGCCGGCGGTCAGATAGGCATAGGTACATTTCGCCAGCGCAAGCCCACGCATGCTTACACCCAAGTGTTACAAATATAGTAACGGGCAGCCTGGAAAAAAGGATTTAGTTCCTCTAGGCAGACATATTGTACCTGAGAAGCTAAGCAGCGGGTACAGCTGGAAAGTTAAAATTCCACCCACGAAACGCGAACCGGGGCTTCAATGGGCATCACGTGATTCTTAAAACTGCGGGTAAGTTGCCGCCGCCGCCGCCAATGCTAGAGCCGCGACGACTACCAAGCCTACGGAAGTACAAACACCAATACATCCCTCCCCATCGATCCAGATCCTTCTAGATTATTTTGCAGCCCCAATCGCCCTACATATAATCAGCACAATGTCCGGCTCAGCACAAGGAAGCAACGATATGAAGAAGGCCGTGACCAACGACTCAAAGAACGGCGAGCAACCGCTGGCACCGGAGAAGAAGCCCGCGACACAACTCGAGGAAGACGACGAGTTTGAGGACTTTCCTGTCGAAGGTAGGGCAGCAAGATAAGTTGGCTACAGGATTAGCTAACGGCAGGGCCAGACTGGACAGAGGAGGAGACCCAGATCCCTAACGGCAACACACACCTATGGGAGGAGAGCTGGGATGATGATGACACGAACGATGATTTCGCTGTGCAGCTGAGGTAAGAAGGCCATGTTTGATATTGCGTAGCGCTGAAGCTGACAGCATACAGGGAGGAGCTGAAGAAGCTGGGCAAATGACCAACACACTACCACGATGTTACGACACGATAGCATTCCACCGGGAAGCGGCGATGGTGGTCAATAGAGAGTGCAGTACGACACGGTCTGAGCGGCCAGGGCATATCACAAAAGGCATCATAGCATGTCTAAAGCTACAAACAAAAAGATGGCAATCGAAGCATGGTTCATCAATATTGAAACCACAAGGAGCCATATAGCTACATCATCATAACTTCGAAGATATACCTTCCCTGTTCTTGAGCCACCATTCACCTCTTTGAGTGACTGTTTTACTTACTTGACAGGGCGGAGACACCGGGCAGGTCCTTGCCCTCGAGCAGCTCAAGCGACGCGCCGCCTCCGGTTGAGACGTGGGAGAGCTTGTCTTCTACACCGTACTTGGCCGCCACAGTAGCGGTGTCACCACCACCGATGATGACAATCTTGCCGCTCTGCGCAGCGTCAACAGCGGCATCAAGTGTCGCCTTAGTACCAGCGGCAAATTTGTCGAACTCGAACACACCAGCAGGACCATTCCAGAGGATAGTTTGCGCCTCATCGATGGCCTCCTTGTAGAGCTTGATCGACTTCTCTCCACAGTCGAGACCCATCCAGCCATCTGGAATGCCATCCTTATCCTCGGCGTAGCCAGTGTTGGCGTTCTTGTCAAACTTATCGGCGGTGATGTAGTCGACAGGCAGCACAATCTTGACATTGTTCTTCTTCGCCTTCTCGACAAGGTCCTTGACGGTCTTGCTGCCAGCCTCATCGAATAAGCTGTCACCAATCTTGACGCCCTCAAGAGTCTTCTTGAAGGTGAAGGACATGCCTCCGCAGATGATCAGGCTGTTGACCTTGCCAAGCAGGTTGTCGATCAATTGGATCTTGTCAGAGACCTTTGCACCACCAAGAATGGCGAGGAAAGGTCGCTTGGGCTCCTCGAGTGCTTTTGCGAAGTAATCAAGCTCCTTCTTGACAAGGAAGCCAGAGGCCTTTTGTGGAAGGTCGACACCGACCATGGAGCTGTGCGCACGGTGAGCAGTACCGAAAGCGTCGTCTGTGGATGATCAGCTTTGTGTTTCTACCGACGCACTCATTGTATCACTCACTGATGTAGACATCACCCAGAGCAGTTAAGCCTTTCCTGAACTCGTCGACCTTGCTCTTGTCTACCTTTTGCTTCTTGCCCTCATCGTCCTTGTAGCTACCCTCTTCCTCAGCGTGGAAGCGTAGGTTCTCTAGTAGGATGACCTGGCCACCGCTAGCGCTGTTGACGGTATCCTCGACCGACTTGCCAACGCAGTCGTCAGTAAAGGTGACGCTCTTGCCAAGGAGCTTCTCCAGCTCGGCAACAACCGGCTTGAGGCTGTATTTTGCGTTTGGCTTGCCGTCTGGTCGGCCAAGGTGGGACATGAGGATGACGGCTTTAGCGCCATTGTCGATGGCGTGCTTAATTGTGGGAAGTGCGCCGACTATGCGCTGGTTGTTGGTGATGTTCTTGTCGGCGTCCAGAGGGACGTTGAAGTCGACCTAGAGGTCGTCAGGATTAGATGTGACCTCTGAATTGTACAAAAGATCACGAGATTCACTTACTCGAATCAGGACGCGCTTGTCCTTCAGATCGACGTCGGCGATCGATAGCTTGTTGGAGAGAGACATGACGTGTGTAGGGGTGTACTGCAATGGCGCGTCAGTGAAGCTCTTACTCTTAAGCTATTTGAATTTGGGCACAATTAGTAATGTGCATTGTTTTGAGAGCTCACTTACAGGAGAAGATGTGAATTAAGGAAGAAGAAAAAGGAGGAGGAGGAAAGAAACGGGTGGTGTTTGGTCTGGGTGGTAGTATGTAGCTAAGCTTGGTGGGGGTGGTTGCAGCGGGGCAGTCAGTCCACAAGTTCCTTCTCTCCTGCATGCAAAGCTTCTTGCTCCTTATCGAACCACAAAAAGAAATCTGGTGTGACTAAAACCCAGCCTTATTAGCCAAAGTAAAATGTTTTAGCTGTCCTTGTACTATGCAGAACGCGCGAGTGAGGCTTCCCTCCCCCGCGGCCGAGAGTGACGGCTGGTTTCGGAGGGCAGTAGCTACAAGAGCTTGCAGCTCCTAGCATTTCCTTTCGCCCTCCGGTGGTACATTGACGGTCCCGAGTGTCATTAATGTTTCAAACTAAACAAAGTCATTACGAAATACCCTCATGTTAAACCAACAGTACAATACAATGGAAATAGCATTTCATTCTGATCTAGTTGACAGTTGTACACGCAAACCCTAGCTCCTCTGAACAAAAGATCGACAGACCCAACGCCGCGCAAATGCCCATTCAATTGTAGAGATGCACAAAAAGGTCAAGGGCAGCAAACCAAGATCTTCATGATCTGGCTTATGTGTATCCATGATAGTTGTACAAGGGAAGTCTGTTTGTGTAGTAGGAGAGACTTAGGCGTCTTCGGCGGAGTTGGTCAAGGAAAGGTAAGCAGTCCAGGCAATACCCACACTGGATACAAAAGGCTGACAAAGTGTTAGTCTCGCCTGGGTCTTTCGAGGCCGGGCAACTCACAATTTGGTATTGAATGGGCATGACACGGAAGTTGATGATTTGCACTGCTGGCCAGACCATGTAGTTGGCCTTGAGCGCAGGCACATAGACATCCTGGAACTTGCGCTGCACAGCTCGCTTACCGCCGCCCTCGGCAATTGTCATAAAGGTAAAGAATGCAGCCAGACCAGCTGGAGCAAACAGGAACTGGTCAAAAGCCACGCGCTTCAACGCCGGAATCCATGTAGCAGTCTTTGTGACGGGGAATGTGGCGGACAGGAACCTGAACCACCTGTGCTGGATGGGCGACATGAGGAAACCGTACGACATGAACCTGGTGGTGCGCTCGAAATCAAAGGGCGGCGGCAGTTTCTTCGAATCGGGAATGAGATCGTTCTCGTTGAAGGGGTTGCGCTTGTCAAGGTCGTGAATCTCAATCGCCAGGAAGTCGTCCTTGCCTGGGCCGCCCTTCTTGCGAACGGCGCGCTCTCGCACAGCAGTCAGTGTTTGCGCTACTGTATCCGCAATACCACCCAACACCTGGTATCACTGTTAGTTCCTGCTTTGTGTATTCCTTGTGTATGTATTCGAGATTGATGTCGAAATAGATGCAGCAGTCGCATGGTTCGGAGGGGCGACTGTGTGCGACACGGGGCTCGCAATGCGCACAAGTCTTACGGGGAGCGGAGGAGGGCACATACGGCGTTGGTAATCATGGTAGTGAGGACTGGTCGCGCTGCATAGTACTGGTTGTACTTGCGCGTGAGCAGACTCACGGCAGCCATTTGCAAAAGAAAGACAATCGAATGGAGCAGCGGCTGTTCGCTGTCAGTAGATGGTCAGGCGGTTGTCGGCAGTGTCGCTCACAATCTTTCCGTAGATCCAGCGACTGTTTAGCTGGTAAAGCAGTCTGTGTCTGGTGCTGTTCATGGTAAGTGCTGGGTCCTGTGAAAAAGCTCTAGGTGTAGCGTTGCTCGCAGATGGCGCCCGATGACGTTACTGAACCGCAGCCGAAGGTCCGTGTGGAGCGATAAGTGACCCTCTTCTATCTCTCAAGGCTGTATGGCACAGGCTGGGAAGGCTGTAAGCGGATAAGGATGCTTTTGTGAGCAGAAGAGCAGTCTACCAGTATGAGGGGGTAGAAGGCGCAGCTTGCCTGGGGTTGATGCACGAATGATCATGGTGCAGTGGCGGAGAGTTTCACGCGCCGCGACCAATGACAGCTTTCATAGACCAAGGGACAGGCATCAACTGGAACCAGCCAGTTCCGAAAGGCTGCGGGCTCGTTCTACGAAATTCTATTCAATGCCTATGTGCATCTGATGCTTCACCGTCTATTCACACAAGGTTCCACGGTATAACCCGACACAGTACTCGGATATCTCGGCTCATCTGCTGAGAGGGGGAAGTGATCCTGGCATTCACCAACTTCACAATTAGCATCAGGGGCTGCTACAGACATGCATTCAAGAACGGGGGAAACTCCACAATCCATTCAATCTTCAATAATGCCTGGAAAGACGACCTGGGTATAATGGCTTCTAGAACAGACTCATGGTGCCACAGCAACAACACTGGGCAAGTCGCGGATGTCTACAGCTTCGTTGGTGACCAGATCCACTACCCGTATGGACTCGACCGACAATACACCCGCAGTGAGCGCGAGCAACTTGATATCAGCCGTATAGCAAGACCCAGGCGAGAGTTGTCTGTGTGCAATTAGTATCCTCGGTTCGCAGCCAGTCAGCTTACGTTTACTTACCCTACGCGTATGTCCGTCGTCAAACATATCAAATCTGCCGTCTCTGTCCTTGTATTCTTTTGCTTGGCATAAACAACATTCTCATCCGTGACAGCTGTTGCAAGTAGCTCTCCTGTTTCTACACGGGGACCGCCTACGGATGATGTAGACGGATGTGATCTATGCTTCTTCTCAACATCTCTTGGTCGCTTTACAATGACCAAGATTGCCAGCCTTCGCGTTTTATCGGATCGGTTGACAATGAATACGTCCCATGTAAAGATCTCGCCAACTTGAATGCTAGGTGGCCCAGAAATCGTAAGTGTGACATTCACCTCGTTACTCGAGAGTACATGCCCGTGCTGATCTTGAGAATCGGACCCAACAAGAGCATCCGGATTAGATACGTTTGTCGTTTGACTCATAGAGCTGGTGGGACGGTGAAAAGCCTTGACATGGCCAGATGCTTGTTCAGATGCAAGATCGACGGGTGTCTTCCATTCAATTGCAATGTCCGGCCGGCAATCGCTAGACATGGTGACATTGGCCTCAACGTTGAGGATCAGATAGTGGCCCTTAGTTCCAAGTGATGGAGTTCCATCAGGGGCAAGATCTGGCATAATCTTGTACAGGTATGTCAATTGGTCGCCAGGCTTGTGGCTAACTGTCGCGTCTTGTTCCGTGCTCAGCTCTTTGGTTTTGCCGCCATGTAATGCCAGCTTAACATTCTTGATTCTAACGTCGTATGTAGCGAACTGGGCGACTTCTAGGTCCAAGGAAGCGATCAAAGACAGATCATTCACTGATGCATGGAGTCTTGAATATCTTACTCTCCATATGAGCGGTGGAAGCACCCTGAATATAGGCTTTTGGCCATTCTGGATAGGGCGGACCATTTCTCTTGCAACAGGAGCACTCGGTGTGACTTTGCTGATGCGCATGGCCGAAAGCCGGGGGTGAACACCGACGAGAGTAGGGTCGTTGTCGAATGACTGAAGTAGGTTCAGTGGTGTGGGCACGCGGCTTGGGAGATAATCGTCTTCCAGTGCATCTTCTTTGGGGTTTTCTGCAGGCTTGAAGGAAGCCGTAGGTTGGAAGTAAACTGCGGGCTTATGAAATCTGCCTTGAGGACGGGCTATTTGAAATCAGATACTGCGAATACTTGGTAATCTACAGACCTTACCAATGAAGATATCAACCTTCCAGATGACAAAAGTATGGCCATTATCACCCTCATTATGGCACACAATGCTAGGCTCATCTGAAGACTTGATGGTACCAGAATAAATGAGTTCCTTTGGGGTTCCTGATTTGGGGTCTTGCTCAGGTGGGGGAGCAGTGCTGAAGGCGAATGCTTCTACATTGACCACCAACCTTTCAAGATATCCCTTGAGAATAGAGTCTTCCAACAGTGGTGTTCGAAAGACGACATATACAGCTAGTAGTTCATCTAAAAGCCTATGCATGAGTAAGAGACATGTATTGAATGGTAAGCTGGCGAGACATACCAAGGAGAAGCACCTGTCGCTGCTCCAGAAAAGGTAGAATGGACCCATCATCATCATGTCCCGCACCATCCCAAGACTCGATGGCGGTTTTGATATCGATTTCGGACTTTGCAGGAACAACCGCTTCCAGCACAGAGCTCTCGACGAATTCGAGGCTTTGACGCGGCTGCGCTTCGGCCGTATCTGCAGCCATGGCTACGTCGAAGTGAATAGTAGAGAGGGCACGTGAATCCGGTGCCTGAGCTAGGGGTCCCAGTAACCCGCGCTAGCCACAAGGTCCGTGCAGCAATAAGTTGTTTCCACAGCTCCTTCGCAACCCAGCTCGACGACACGCACACGCGCGACACTCCATCACCTCTCGCCGCAGTCTCACCGCAATGAATGGATATCCGCCTCCAATGGCGCCGCCTGGCTCCACTTGGACAAGTACTAAAACTCCAGATGGCAGGGAATACTACTACAACACGACCACGAAGCTCACCACGTGGGAGAAGCCCGACGAGCTGAAAGATGATGTTGAGGTAGAATATTTCCCATGGACTCTTTAGTTGATTGGTAGCTAATTGTTTGACTAGCGCGCACTCCCTGGCACCGGCTGGGCAGCCCACTGGGCAGATGGCAAGCGATACTTTGCGCATATTGAGACCAAGCAGACAACGTGGACTGTTCCCGATGTTGTTCAGCAGAAAATCGACCAGATGAGGCAGAGCCTGCCGCCTCAGCGACCTCCCCCAGTTGGTCCCTCTAGCTGGGCGGGGGGTCCACCCTCGAATGCGCCGTCGTACGAGAACAGACGCCCCGAACGCGACGAGTACCGTCCTGACCGCCATGACCGTCGCGACGATAGAGACCGGGATCGCGAGTCTGGCTTCGCCGGCGATCGACCCAACATTAGTTTCACGGCAGGAACCGAGCTTCAGTTTTCCACGCCCCACGAGGCCGAGGCTGCTTTCATCAAGGTGCTCAAACAGATCAAGGTTCAGCCTGACTGGTCGTGGCAGCAGGCTGTGCGTGCTGGTATTCATGATCCTAACTGGCGCGCCATACCAGAGCCTGAGAAGCGCGAGGAGGCCTTCCGGAAATATTGCGAAGATTTGCGCGCCCAGGAAAAGCTCAAGGAGCAGGATCGCCAGGCCAAACTACGCTCTGATTTCACTGCTATGCTGCGTTCGCACCCAGAGATCAAATACTACACCCGCTGGAAGACTGCTCTTCCCATTATCGAAGACGAGACCATTTTCCGCTCTGCCAAGGACGACAATGAGCGAAGGACCCTGTTCGAGGAATACATCATCTCTCTCAAAAAGGCGCATGAGGAAGAAGAGGAAGCGAGCAGAGAATCCGCACTCGACCAAGTCATGGGTCTGCTACAGGCACTGGATCTGGAGCCTTTTACTCGCTGGCACACGGCTGAGGAAAAGCTGGAGCGCAACGAGGAGTTCAAGAGTGAAAAGTTCAAGACTTTGACTCGCCTAGATGTCCTCGATCAGTTTGAGAAGCATATCAGGCAGCTCCAGCGCGAGCACAACGATCGAGTTCAGGCCGAGCGACGCATCAAGCGCCGTGTCGAGCGCAAGAACCGCGATGCGTTCATAGAGCTACTTGGTGAACTCAGGCACAAAGGCGCGTTACGTGCTGGCAGCAAATGGAAAAATATTCATGAGCTGGTCCAAGAGGATGCCCGTTACACGGCTATGCTTGGACAAAGCGGATCGTCTCCTCTTGATCTGTTCCGCGATGCTCTCGAAGAAGAAGAGAGCAAATTCCGTACCCTCCGCCGACGGGCCTTGGATGTACTAGAGGTAAGTCTAGCTCTACACTGACATGCAATCCACCGCTAACTATAGCCCTAGCAACAACGATTCGAGGTTACCACATCGACTCCTGTGGAAGAATTCCTAACTGTCATGCGAAAAGATCCTCGCACAGCTGATATTGACGAACAGTCCATGCACAGTATCTACAACTACGTCCTCAACAAAGTGAAGAAACGCGAGGAAGAAGAACGACGAGACGAGGAGTCCAACGAGCGCTACGCCGTAGACAAGCTTCGCTCTGTTATCAAGCACCTTGATCCACCAGTGTCAGTATCAGATGACTGGGAAGTGGTACGTCCCCGTGTTGAGAAGACAGACGAATACCGCGCACTGAAATCAGATACACTACGCGAATCGGCGTTCGATAAGTACATCTCCCGATTGAAGGACAAGGAGAATGATCGTCGGGATAGGAGCAGGCGCGATGATCGCGACCGTGACAGGGATAGACGTGATCGAGATCGTGAGTATCGCAGCGGACATTCTGACTCTCACCGCCATCATCGTACACGCACTCGCTCACCTGAACATGACCCTTACGCTGCAGAGCGTCGACGAGCAGTGCAAGATAGGGAGGCGCGCTACAGAAACAGCGACAGCACGGGCCTGTCTCCTCTTCCGCGTCGCGACCGCCGAGATGATGATCGATATGAGCGCTCTCGTCGAGGCTCTATTGGAGATCATTATGGTCGTGAGCGCCGCGAGCGTGAAGTGGAGCGTGAACGATCTTACGTTAGTAGAGCCGACCCTCGTGAGGCGACTGTTAGTCTGCTCGACTACGGGGACAGCGGTGGCCGCACTTCCTCGACCAGACGCCGTCGCGACAGCGAAGAAAGTTCTAGTAGGCGCGATCGAGAGACCAAGGTATGTAAACAAGCAGTGTTACATTTGACAGGAAACGACTAACTTTTCTCAGCGTGCACGCTACTCTCCCCGTGGTGCGGACCGCAAGTCCAAGACCCCCGCCCCTGAACCGTCGTCCAAGAAGGAAGAAGAAGATCGCGCTCTCCGTAGTGGAAGCGAGGAAGGCGAGATTGAGGAAGATTAGGAGTTTTCCATCATTCACCCCTCGCGTAGGAGGTTGACCCGATATGGTCGCTTCCTAAACACTAAGGGGCCTAATCCCTTTACTCCGAGGCTTAATTACTAAGTAAGTGGGCTTTAGTACTGTCATCCTGTGAATGAGTGAGCAAAATGTTCATTCCAGCAGCTACGGCCATGGTAGCATATACGTCTGTACTGTAGTCTATCAGAGATGTAGCTTATAGAATCCTACTCCTGTAAAAATTTCTGTTTAACTTCTCTTCAATTTCATGGATATCTGCGCCGATACATAGCTATCGTTGTACAATTCAAATTCTCCGTATGCATATGTTATTTGATTGTATCTGAACAATTGTCTCCATCCAGTACATGAATAAGGGACGGGCCCGCCTATTTCTTAGTGAGTGGTCTGTATGTGGATATAGTTGCGAGAGTAAAATCAATGACATTTGAGCCTTGATTCAGACTAACAATCACATGCGAGGGCAGTGGCAAGGGCAGGGTTGTCACAGCAGCTTGGTAGGGCTGTCCCACAGGCCGGGTATTGGTACCGAACATGTACAGTAGCTAAGTATACTAATCTATAATCATGAGTAAATACCCCCCTTAATATTGTTCTTGTTTCTTACATGTGCAGTCGTGAGGGGTAGGCCATGCAACGCTGATTCGTCGTCGGTCCAAGACATCGCATAAGCTGTGTCAGATTCTGGGGAACCTCGGCTCATCCGAAATTACCCCAGACTCTCCCCGCTCCCCGAACGCATAAGCACGCGTCGTTCGTAAACGACGCAGCGCGACCAACATGCACACGGGAAACGGCCTGCCATTTACATTAACGACCCAAATTTTAGTTTGAATTTTGTCTGCAATCAACCCGGCACCATGTCCGCCACTGCATTTGTCCCCTTTTCCGAGCCGCCGTACATTGTTGGGCTTCCATCCCCATACTACAAGGAGACGCATCTGAGATGGCAAAAGGCGTGTCGCGCGTTTGTGGAGAAGAATTTGCTTGAGAAGGCGCTGGAGTGGGACACGGCCGAGACGGTGCCGGAACATGTCTTTGAGACGTTTGCAAAGGCGAACATGCTGGTACCCACGCTTCCAGCGCCTCTGCCGGTGGAGTGGCTGAAGAAGCTGGGGATCCATGATATTCTCGGTGTGGTGAAGGTTGAAGAGTGGGACTATATTCACACCATGATTTACGCTGATGAGGTACAAATAGAGAGACCTGTTTCTAAAGTGGTGCTTTGAAGGTAGCTAACGGAAATGCCAGATGGCTCGATCTGGCCTTGCAGGACCCCCGGGCTCCCTCACAACGGGCATGTCGTTTGGCGTGCCGCCTATCTACAAATACGGAAATAAACAGCTACAGGAGCGCTTCCTACCAGAACTATTGACGGCCAAGAAGCGGGCTTGCATTGCGATTACCGAACCCGAAGCTGGATCAGATGTCGCAAACATCACCACAACAGCTACAAAGACACCGGATGGAAAACACTACATTGTCAACGGCACCAAGAAGTGGATTACAAATGGTATTTGGTCTGAGTACGCTACCATGGCTGTGAGGACCGGTGGACCAGGACCAACAGGCTTGTCGATGCTGGTTGTGCCTCTGAAGGGATATCCGGGAGTAAACATGCGCCGACTCAAAGTCGGAGGGCAGGTTTCTGCGGGAACGACATTTATCGAGCTCGACGACGTCAAAGTGCCTGTGGAGAACCTCATTGGAGAGGAGGGAATGGGCATGAAGTACATGTAAGCATGACATTGTGACATTGCGTGTGTTCTACGGCTGACTGCATGGCTTACAGAATGACCAACTTCAATCATGAGCGCCTCTCCATTGCCATTGGCGCAACCCGTCAAGCTCGTGTTGCTCTTGCCGCAGCAATGGAATACGTGATCAAACGCGAAGCTTTTGGCCAGCCGCTGATCAACCAAGCCGTGGTTCGACACCGCCTTGCTAAAGCTGGTGCTTTGCTGGAATCCCAATGGACATGGGTGGAAAGCTTCGTTTACCAAATGGTACACTTGCCCAAAGCGAAGGCGGATATCGAGCTGGGAGGCTTGACAGCTATGGTCAAGGCGCAAAGCGGTATCGTTCTGAATGAGTGTGCACAAACGGCACAACTGCTCTTTGGAGGAAATGGCTACACAAAGTCGGGACAAGGAGAGTTGGTTGAGAGTAAGTGGTTACTAAGTCAGAATCACTTGGGAAATGATTAACATAAATGATAGGAATATACCGCGAGGTTCCAGGTATTAGGATTCCGGGTGGTTCTGAGGATGTTATGCTGGATCTTGGAATCCGACAGTTGGTGAAGAACTTCCAGGCAAAAACGAAGGCTTTGGAAAGGCCGCAGGGTACATCGAAGCTATAGAAGACGTAGTAATAGTAGTAGTCATATTTTGTAGCCCACTAGAATACAAAATCATAACCCCACACTTTGTGTTTGACACTCCCGTGTTTCCGAAGCCCACGGATAGCGGCTGCAGCACTTTTCCGTGACTACGTCAGCACCTAAAGTCCGGCTCTTATCGGGGTGTGTGGGGCACCTGGCCAACCCCACAACATTGCTTTGAAAGCACCGATAAGTGTGAGTGAGGACTGGAATCTTGATTTCTGAAGTTTATTGTCGTTGGCCGGCCCTTCTTCGATCGGACGACAGGGCAGGCGGAGTCGGAGCTGAGGGTTGGATCCGCAAGTCCGTTCCAAGATCTTGCGCTCGACCGCTTACCGTCCCCAACGTATCCCGGTCATCGTGTTGTTGCAGGCATGTGGGTGCCATGGGCAATGCAGTGTGTGTCACATAAATACGACTTGCGCAATAGTGCCGCGTCGATGAAGGGCTACTACTCGTGCCTTGTGCGACTCTAGGTACAGGCTGTGGTACAGTCGTCGGCCGAGCCCTCGGCCACGGTCGGTCATGGCGCTCAAAGACCAGACCACGTTTAGTACCCGGGTACCCTGCAGATCAAGTCATATAGCCTACGTGCGTATTCAACCCAAGCGTGTCGAGACTTGAAGGGGACTTTGTCGCTCGTGTTAGGCTGGTTAGTTTTGAGTATTGCCGTTCTGTATCTTCTTTATGGATAATTTGCTAAGTCTAAGGATAATCCCAGGTATCTCGGAATGGGCCGCAGAAGATGCATAATTCAGACAGCAGGCTGTGGAGGAACATCGCCGATATCACGAACGAAAAAAATATATATGCAGGAGGTGCAGCAGCATGTGCCGGAGCGGGAAACGACTAGGAGCAATCTGGAAGGATGGAAGGGGTTTCTGTTCAACGGGTTGGCGTCGCCCGAGACTTCCCCGAGAAGGAAAGGCGCTCCCCGCAATTTCTCGTCTCAGGAGGCGGCTTGCGATCATCCTCCACTCGTTCGTCCATTCCTGTTCGTCCAATGCGCCCCAGCTGCTGGACAAGAACATGAGCCTTTGCTCCGAACGCCGATGGACTGCATCAAGGCCGCCCACCGTATTCTAGCCTCCGCTTTCACGTCATCAGTAGTCGCCTTTTTTTTTTTTGCATCGCGCACATACACACTAGTTACTCGACAGTCAGCTCCAGCATGTCGCTGGGAGCGGTCAGCTCCCACCAGACAAAGGAGCAGAGTACGTGTAAAGTAGGCACCGTGCCCGCTAACGCCCACAATGCAGGATTTTTATTGGGGTCAGCGTCGGGGGAATGGACCTGGGCGAGCAAATAGCAAAAAGGCGCAGCGCTGCTTAGACGCCTATTATGCAACTCACGTGCGCCCGAGACGGCTAGCACGCCGGCCATGGAATCCAGAGCTGTCTGGCTTGGTCATAGTAGTCTGTCCTGGGTAGACCAATGCCACCGACCCTTGGATGTTCATTTCCGCTCCCTACCACGATGATCCCGCATCGGCCCTCGTCTCTTGTGCGACTATTCGTGCCTTAACGACACCAGACACACCCCACATTTTTACCCTGACTCGACACGTGTTGTCAAATGCAGTCGGCGTGTAGAATGCGGTCGGCGTGGGCATGGGACGGCTGTTCTGCTCGTTGACATGTGGGAGAAATTAACACTTGGCATTCTCAAGCCGCAGGTCATAGGGCGTGGCACCAAGCACACGCTCGGCTTTGCATGCGAACATGAACCGCGGTATCTTTTTTGCTCGAACCTCAGGATTGGGGCTTGCAGCTGACGTTGCCAAACACCTTCTGTCCCAAGAGTGGTCTTTGTCCCGATGGCTTCCGACCCCAGCGTCGACACCCTAAATCGCCAAGGACAAAGCGCCGGTCATCCGCATCTGGGGGACTGGGGTATCAGCTAACGATCCCCAGTGGGGACGGAGGCGGCGTCATGAGGGACAAATCGTACCAGGTGAAGCGCCGCTTGTCTGTGAGTCCTAGCACGCGGCTTAGCCCTGGCAGTGTAATCCACTCTTGCCAAATACGACTTTATAATCTTTGCCTGCCCCCGACACCCCTCACGCGTGATCGGACTTTTCTTGACGTTTTCTTTTTTTCTTTCCCCAGATACCTCCGTGTCCTGCAATACATATACCAGACGACAAGCACTCCGCAACCATGTCTGACTATTCGGCGTCGCCATCCGACCATCATAGTGATATCCACGCACCAAAACGCAAAGCTACCCAGGCAGGCCTCGATGGTCACACAACCGGTCGTTCGGTCAAGAGGAGGGCTTCCAAGGCATGTCAGTGTTGTCGAGCTCGCAAGGTGCGATGCAATGTCACAGAGCATGGCGCTCCCTGCACAAACTGCAGACTAGATGAAGTCGAATGCATTGTATCGGAGAGCAGGCGCAAAAAGTCAGTGTCACATTTTGTTTCAATGCGGTATTTCCAAATTTCCCACCGGATGCGACCTGCGCGGCAGTTAGAGATCGTCGGCTCCGATATGCAATGTCGTAGTGAGCACCGGCATGCAAAGTCGGCTGAGATGTCGCTACCGCTAGCCTAGCCGCATACGGCATGTCTAGCCTGTGCAACAGTCGTGTGCAGCCAACAACTGCCGCTACGCCTTTTCTGACCTGTGCACGCCGTGCTGACTCCGGAAATAGGAAATGGAGCAAAGACGACGACCAAGGCACAGAAAGCACCAGCTCCTCAGGAAATGCCACTCGTAAAATTGCGTCGCGTGACGCTCTAGACGGTTCCCAGGGACTAAACCCAGCCACATCGCGAGCGTCACATGAGGCAGAATCAAGACGAGACGAGCACGTTCCTCACTCGATATGTGTGTGGGACCTATTACAACCTTATGTGCACAGCACTGACGCATATCTCAGACCAAAGCCATGGCCATCGTGTCAATCCATCTGCGTCCATATCGGATATGCGGCGCCGGCTTTCAATTACCTCGCAGATCAACAGCCTGCCAAATCTACCATTTTCACCATTTTCCAATGAGCCTCGAGCTCCATTCTTCGGGAGCCTACCGCAGAAGCCTGCGCCTGGCGAACTTCCGAGATTCATTAAGCCTCTTCCGTCCAAAATCGGGCCTGATGAGATTTCATATCTGGAGAAGAAGGGTGCCCTGAACGTGCCTAGGGGAACACTGCGTAGTGAGATGCTGCGCGCCTACGTGGAATTTGTTCATCCATATATGCCATTATTGGACCTTCATGACTTCCTCATCATGGTAGACGGCCGAGACGAACGCAAGGGCAAAGTCAGTTTGATCTTGTTTCAAGCAGTCATGTTTGCAGGATCGGCATTTGTTGATATGGAACACCTGCGCGCTGCGGGCTATACTTCTCGCAAGGATGCCCGCAAGGACTTTTTCCAGAAAACTAGGGTAAGTTCAAACCCCCTTCTTTCACCAGGCGGCTTGGCGTGTTGCAGTACCCCAATCGGTCCGCAACAATCGGACGGCATGCTTGTACGCCGACATTCCGGCCCCGTGCTAGATAATGTTAATTGGGCTGCTGCAAGCTTGGTGAGATTTGAGCCCTAAGCTAACCATGTGACAGATTCTCTACGACTTCGATTACGAATCCGACCGCGTTTCGCTGGTCCAGGCACTGCTGTTGCTGACATACTACTATGAGACTCCTGATGACCAGAAAGACACATGGCATTGGATGGGCGTTGCAACGTCTATTGCCCACACTATCGGCTTGCACAGAAACCCTGATAACACCAACCTTGATAGCAAGCGCGTCAAGCTTTGGAAGCGAATATGGTGGTCAACTTACATGCGAGATCGGCTTATTGCACTCGGTATGCGCCGACCTACAAGAATAAAGACTGAGGATTTTGATGTGCCAATGCTTACTCTGGACGATTTCGAGCTTTCGCCTCTGCCAGACGATGTTACATGCCTTCCAGCGGATTGTCGTGTTGCCAGAGATGTGGATGCGCAACGGCAGTTGGCCATCTTGTGCATTGAAAAGGCCAGGCTGTGTTTGTGCATCTCGCACGTTCTGTCCAAGCAATACTGCGTGCTCAACAACAACCAGGGCCTCCAAAACGACCGTACAACCATGATGTTGCTTCCTAAGAAACTGGATCCTGAGACGAGTGAAGTCAAAGTATGCGATGAGGATCTCCAGAAATGGGTGACGGAGCTGCCTGAAGAGGCAAAGTATACGGACAAATCAAGCGGTGTTCCAGCTATTGACCTTGCACGATCACTGTTGCACATGGTCTTTTTCACTACATTGTCCGCGCTACATCGGCCCCAGGTTTTACCAAATTCACAAGGTGGCCCAGCGAGCGCTCCAACGAAGAGCAACGTTGAACCCGAGCTTCTTGATGTTTCACGCCGCAATGTTCGCCGTGCAGCTTCAGCAATCACATCGATTGCTCAGCGGCTTGAACAAGGTGGTCTCGTCAGGTATCTGCCAACAACTGGTGTCACTGTTCTCCTTCCGGCCATTATCATCCACTTGCTTGACATCAAGGCGCCAGAAGAGGAAACACGACGATCTTCCTTACGAGGCTTTTGCCAGTGCATGGCCGTCATGGGCCAACTGCGGGATGTCTATGCCGCTGCTGACTACTCTGTAGCCTTCCTTGAGGCTGCAATCCGGAAAGCAGGCATTCACGTTGCCCCCGTAGCTACCCAAACTTCACCCGTAGCCAAGAGCACGCCCGCAAGGACAGTAGAAGAACTCGTGGACGCCGGCCGACGACTAGATCTCGTTAACGAAGCATCAACAGCCATCACATCGGCAACATCACAAACCGTCCGCCCCTCAACTCTCACACCACCTCCCGACCACGGCACCACAAACATGTACGCTCTGGAAAAACACAACAACGAACCAAACGTAACCGACGAAGAAGTCGCCCGCCGCCTCGAAACCTTCCTCGCTTCCACACCCCCGGATTCCGACCACGAGCACATGTCCAGCATCACCATCTCACAAGAAAGCCCCATGGTAACCGCCACAGCAGGCCTATCCTCAAACTCTCACCATCATAGCCATTATGACATGTCGGACATGAACAAATGGAGCGCCTTCGACCTCAGCGCCTTCTCAAACATCAACCACCACCAAGACGACGAGATGCTCTTTTCAAGTTTACCCCTCAACAACGAGTTTGACGACGGCGACTTTGATAAGCTGCTCAACATGGAAGCCGTGGGCGAGTCGTATAATCTTGACGGTGTGACGCTTGATTCCGGCAATCCGGGGAACATGGGGCTTGGTGATGTCGATTGGCTTGTTGCCGCAGAATAATCTTTTTATGTTGAAGCGTAAAAGTGAGAGTTTTATTTTGAGGGATTTCTTTGGAGTAATCGCCCTTTAATGATGTCAATGCCTCTTTTTTTTTCCGTTACATTTTTTCCCCTTTCTTGGAAGAGGATTCTGAGGGGTTTTCTTTGCTTTTCAAGGAATAGAAGTTTATGGGATACGGCTATTTGCAATGGGTAAATGATGGAGAGGGAATAAAAAGTTTACGACTTGGTTTATATATATACCCATTTCGAGGTTTTGGATTTCGGTATTTCGTTATATATTTCTGGTTTTTAGCTACTAGTTATTCTCGGATATATATGAGAAAAATATTATTTCATCTTCATACGCACTCGCACTTTCTATGTGACTTGCATTGTTTTCTTCACTCTTTAGTATCCTATCATGCCTTGTTTTTCTCAGACAAGTTGGTTCTAAGATGTAGATGTGTCTGAAAGTCAACATATATAATAATAATAATCATAATAACTAATAACTAATAATAATAATAATAATAATAGTTAATAATAATAATAATAGTTAATAATAATTCACCAGGCATATCGCTTGCTATGAAGCAATGAAGAAACTACAAAGGTCAAAAAGGGGTGTAAACAAACTCGTTGCCTCTGACATTATCAGCACTCTACACAACCTGTCATCGATAGTAACATGCAAAAAGACGAAATTCTAGGTATAAAAAACATGAATCTAACGATGATATTATGAGTTGCTCTTCTTTCTTCCATCATTCCTCTCTCTTTTGACATTAAATAAGTAGTAAATAAGATCAGGGGCGTGATATTTAAACGAAAGGACCAAGGTAAGTGCTCTAACAGAGATTGAGGGAAACAAGAAAAAAAAGAGAGAAAGATGACGAGCGACCCCAGCGCCCTCCCATGATGAGTTCATCCCATGATGAGTGTCCGGTCCTTCTAGCCTTTAACCAACAGTACCTCGTCGTTGTTTTTCCTCCATGTCTTGTCGCTGGAAAGATGAACATAACCTACTCTTCCTGAGCCCAAATCTTCTCCCTAAGAATCATACGCTCGTTCCTCTCTTCTCTTCCTCCATTGTAAGCCTTCTTCCACGCAAAGTACTCGCCTAGTCGAATCTCAGCATAGCTAGCATAGTCAAAGTCGATGAGCGAGATTTGTGCTTGGATCAATGCCCAAATACCCCAATAGAAACCAGGAACACCACGGAACAAGTCAACCTGCTCAAACAACTGATCAAGCTCAGACTCGTTGTACGACTTGTTTTGGTGGGTACTGAAGCTGCGCAGATACTCGCGGAGAAAGGCGCGACGGATGGTGCGTGTGGGCATGGCGTTGTAGTCGCAGTCAAAACCACCCCATTCGGCAAAGTGGTTTGCAATGTCAAATGAAGCAGGTGCAGGCGTAGCATACTCGTAGTCGATAAAGGAAACACAGGCTGCCGTCTCAGGCTCGTCGGAGCAACTAGATACACTGGACCGACGAGAGGCTGAGGCGGAAGACGGCGAAGGCTCGATGATCACGTTGCCTGAGAGGAGGTCGCAATGGGCGAAGACAAACGGATTGGAGCCACCGATTCCTGGCGTGTCACCAAGTATCTGCATCAGGCTTTCGAGTTCCTGCATCAGCTCATCTTTCCTCTCCGACTGGGCAGTGGTGTTGGTCGGCAAGGCAAGGATCCATTTCTGCATAGTAGTCCACAGATTCGGAATGGGTTTGCCTGGTGTGAGTGTGGCCATGGCAGCCAGAGACTCACGCTTGTTGTTTTGCGAAGTGAGTTGGGCAGGCGCAGGACATATGCTGCTAATACTCGAAATAGGTAATGTGGCATGCCATTCTCCCAACCTCTGAGCTACTCCTCGCCATACTTCTGGCCGACGCAGGTCGGCAGGCGTACACACGGTGCCTTGAATGAACTTGTATAGGAGACCATTTTCAAACCGGGCGTAGAGAGCCGGGGCAAGGTTATGGCGGGCAAGCAGCGAATGAGAGCGAGCTTCCTCTAGAACCTTGTTTTTAGCGCTGTACAGCATGGTACCGACATGCACTTACTCTCGCGGTCTATGAGGACGTCGGTGTCCTTGCCATATGCGCGCAGCAAGATGGCGTCGTCTTCGACTTCGGTTTTTGATAGGCCGGGTAACTTGTTCACCGCCTTGAGAAGCTACACCGTAGTCTTAGCCGTGCGCACATAAAGGGGCAGCAGGGGCGGTCGCGAGAGCATGGCCACAAGCAATTGCATGTGTGTACGTATGCATACCGTGTTTGTGATTCCATCTGTGAACCTGACAAACTCAATTGTGTCCTTTGAGTCTTTCCATTCTGGGCGGAGAGCGAGGATAAGGGCGAGGGCTGAGTTGTGCGAATCCGCGTAATCGTAGTACTGCGGAATGTTGCGCAGGGAATCGTAGGGCGACTGAGATTTACTCATGGTGACGGTGGTTCTGGTGCGTCGTCAGTCTTGTATGCGCAGTGCAGGCTTGACATACGCCAGCGGCGTTAATTGCATGTGAAGAAGCCAGGGCAGCAGGGGATGGAAGGCAGCGACTGGGCAGGGTTGTAGGCAGGCTTACCTGGTAATTCGAATGTGGGAGGTAGCAGAAGGGGAGAGTGCTGGTCAGTGAAAAAGGAATGAAGAGCAAAGACGAGGGCGCCGCGGTAAGGAAAGACAGGTAAAGTCAAGTGCGGTCAATTGCTAGGCGGTGCCGCTCTGGGAAGTCGCGTGGGCGCTCTTTCCTACCCCTGTAGCCCCGCAAAGCAGCGCCACAACTCCCGAGACCCTGTCTCCTAGCGCCACAATAGCTGGAATCCACAACTCTATACTACGTCCCCACTTGTACCTCGAGACCGAGAAATTTGGATGTCTTCCTAGTATTAGTCTTATCTTTTCTTCTACAAGATAACCGTTGATGCTGACATCACTGATTCTGACGATTGCGTGGGCTGATGTGGTGAGGATGGATTACATCCCGCTGCTTTGGCGCACCGTGCACATCTGCCTGTTCCTGGCTCAACAGCCACCATGACGTCTGTCATCACCAGTCTTGCACTGCCGCCTGCACCTACTACATCCATTCAACGCCTCGGTATGTAATCCACCCACCCATGCCCATGTACACGTCGACTGCGGGGCTTGTCACTCGCCATCTCGCCAGTGGGAGTCTTTGATGGCCCCGATTGGTAGCTGGGAAACCACCTTCTGCATCGAGGAGATACATACATATGTATCTTGTCCATTCATCAATTCAAGTAACTTGCCATCTAAAACGCCACGCTTAATGCGCATGTAGGGTATATCCATAATATAAACATCACCGTTCCTGCTTCAAGAGCCCAGAGTCCCGTCAGTGCCGTTGTGTCATTGCACCTTTCTTCCACTTGCCTTCCGCGCTCTCCACTTGTATGAGCCAAGACCAACGTCCATGGCACTGCTCTGTACACTTGTCAGGCCGTCAAAAGATTCCTTGCCCAACGTAACCACCTTGACTGTATTGCCGAATCCCACTGCAATACTGCGCTTGCCCAGCTTGACAATTGGACCAGGTGCTGCCACAAACAACTCATCTTCATACGACTCTGTCGCTACATCATCCGCGTCGTCGGGCACCAATGGTCTTGAGCGAAAGTCGCCCGCTGTCGACAGTGTCCAAACCTCCCATGCGTCAGAATCTTCAAACGAGTTATCCATCGGGTCGATCTTGGTCAACGCTCCATCCCCAAATCTTGAAAGGTTCACGTGCCCCTGACGTTGAGCACGCTGCTTCAATGCAGACGCAAGCGCCACTGCATCAACACCTGTATAGTTCTCTTCTGCGCCTGAATGAGTCGATGATGGCGTAGCCAATTGTGCGCGTCTTCTGACTCCAATCACGCTCTGCGCCTCTGTCGACTCCCACACCCCAGCGGGTTCCACAGAATAGACCGCTTCCTTTGCGCACTCGAGACTACGACACTTGTGCTTTTCCCGGTCTAGCGGTTTTCCAAGGCACATCTGTGAAGTCGTCTTATCGTCTAGACTGAAGGTCTGCATCACCATGTGGTTTGCACTGTGCTCTGCATATGCCACAGAGAGTGAGTTGACCGCAGGAGCTCCGCATTGACACACGCGTCGTACAGAGTGGAGCACTCTGAACGAGTGTGGACGCACATGGCCGATTTGGAATGCGTGAACCAGCGCGCGGCTAGAAAAGTCGAAAATCTCCGCCTCTTCGTCGCGAAGCGCAAACATGACCCCGAGGCTAGGAACAGCGTATATACACCGTATCTTCGCAGGGTTGCTACCAGGAGGTGGGCCTGGATCCAGACCTGCAACCACTTCTGACGTGTAGTTATCCTCCTGCTTGAGTGACAGTATGTGTACTTCACCAGCCTTGGTCACAAAGGCCAGGCTAGTATCCCCTTTCTCCGAGGTGTAGATTGAGCTGCACACGATTGAACTGGTGGCAATACGCCTAGTGTGGTGGATGCCTGTGCGTGCTTCTAGCTTCGTCAAGTGTCCATCCGGGCTGACGATAATGAGGTATAGCCTCTCTACATCCGTCCGCGTTCTTAGTGTAACAAAGCTGAAGCGTATTGGCGCCTGTCCCCGAATGTCGATTAGCGGGAACATAAGAAATCGCGATGCAGGGATATCCCATAGACCAATCTGTCCAGTTTGCCCGCATATCGCTAACATGCTTCCGCCATCGTCGATAGCGGTAGCATAGATGGGCCAGAGCCTAGGCTTCATCGACGCCGTCTGTAAGGTAGTATGCAGGTAGCCCCCACGGCCATGTAGCCATATCGCAGTACTCCTATCCAGCGATACACTTGCAAGATGGCCTTTTGGACAACCAGCCAACTGGACAACATCCAAGTTTTGTGGCGTTGGCAATGTCTTTACTGAAAACTCTGTTTCTACGTCATCATTTTCCTCTGCATCAATTGGAAGACCTGTCCAGAGAAGGTAATTCATAAACAAGGCTACAATGGCAATGAGTGTAACAGTAATCAAAGCTGCTGGGAAAGCATGTCCATGTGCAAAGCGGCGAAACCCCTCTACGAGGGACGAGGGTGGTTGCGGCCGGTCACGTCCTTGTGCTCCCTTAGATACGACCAGAATGGGGTTGTATATGCGAGCTACAAATGTTTGGGCTCCAGGTTTGATGAAGCTAAACAGTTCTTGAGCTGTATTGTGGTCTTGGAGCCGAAGCCAATCAGCGGGGGTCCTAGCTTGGTTAATTGGCGAATGGCTCCAGCTTGTGTCGATGGAACGTTTCCGCCTTCTGGAAGTGAAACTTTGCCGAAGTGTGTTGAAGGACAGCAGTTTGTCACCGCTATCGAAGAAATGCCAATTGACGGCAAGAATAACGGAGA